GAGCACATCCCACCCAAAGGCTTCCCTGTGAGCAAAGCCTCCTGACCTGGAGCCCTTGCTGGCTGTCCTTTCCCAAGTATCCAGCGATAGGGATCCCAGATCTCTGTGCTGAGCCGGTCAAGCATGGAGCTGGCCGGCCTCAAGGCTCTAGGTGGCCGTGGTTATGGGTTGAAGTCTCTGAGGTTTTTGCAGAGAGACAGCAGGGCTTTGGCTGTGGTTCTACTGCCTCTTACAGCAGAAACCAACCCTACCCAGGGCTTGAGTTTGCCCCCCCAAAAAGCCCAGCAGTTATGCGCCTGATGTCTGTACCACTCTCCGCTTCAGCAACATCCAAGAAGCCTCCTGACTGCTGGACTATGAACTGCAAAGGCTGGCTCACATTCCTGCTTGCTGGTTCATGTTCCAGAAACTACTCCAATGCCTGACAACACAGCTGTCAATCAATAAGCGCTTCTCTGACTGTTGGTTTTCTTATCTATAAAATAGGAAAGAGGTCATCCATCCTGTAGGGTCACTGTGCAAGGAAGCAGAGCTTGTCAAAGTGCTTTGCCTGGCTGAGCAGTGTCATTGATGGCACACACCTCTGATCCCAGGACTTGGGGGGCTGAGGGAGGAGATCATGCCAAGGCCAGCCTGGGGTACATAGTGAGACTTTTCTCAACCTCCCCCTGCAATAAAAAAAATGTGGTTTGCCTGATTGCTGGCACGCAGAGAGGGCACTAATACTGCAAGCTGTTATTCTGACATTGTGAAGACTGGGATGGGGCCCAAGACTGCTTTGCTTGAGGACAGTGGTCCCCAAGCAGGGATTAATGGGAGAATCCAGGACTTTCTGATCGAACTACATCCCTAGCCCATCATTATCATCATCATCATTTTGAGACAGAATTTTACTAAATTGCTAAGTTGCTCAGGCTGGACTCAAACTCGTGATTGTCCTGCCTCAGCCTGCCAGAGTGCTGCCCAAATTCTGATCTTCCCAAGTGAGCCAGGGATATCTATCACTATTTTAACACTTTTAGGAGGCTTTTTTTTTTTTTTTTTTTTTTTTTTTGGAGACAGGGTCTGTCTATGCAGTTCAGGCTGGCCTTGAGCTTACTTTGTAGCCCAGGCTGGTCTCGAACTCGCAATGATCCTCCTGCCTCAGCCTCCCGAGTGCTGGAATTACAGGCGTGAGCCACCACACCAGGTTTAGGAAGCTTTTTATAAGAAAAAACTCTACCACACCTAGCTACATGAATTATTTTGAGGAGCCCTAGAAAGTACTCTACAGAGTAGATTTTGACAGATGAGGAAAAGGTTAAATGACTTACTATAAATTCACTCAGATGAGATTAAATCCAGCAAAGCTAATTTTTTTTTTGGCAGTACTGAAGATTGAACCCAGGAATACTTTACCACTGAGCTACCCTCTAGCCCTTTTAATTTTACGACAAGTTCTCACAAATTGCCTAGGCTTTGGACCTTGAATTTGAGATCCTCCCACTTCAGTTTCCCAAGTAGTTGGGATTATAGGCATAATGTTAAAAAAATTTGGGGGACAAAATCTTGCTATGTAGTTTAGGTTAGCCTTGAACTCATAGCAGTTAGATTACAGGCATGTGCTAGCATGCCCAGGAATGTTTTTGTTTTGTTTTGTGACAGGGTCTTACTTTGTAGTGTAAGCTGGCCTTGAACTCACTGAAATGTAGACTGACCTCAAAGTCATGAAGATCTTCCTCCTTCAATCTCCCAAATGCTGAGATTATAGGAGCGTGCCATCACAGCTGGCCCTAATGTTAATATTCTTTTTTTTTTTTTTTTTTAATCAGTACTGGGGATTGAACTCACGACCGCCTGCTTGCAAGGCAGGTACTTATGCCACTGAGCTAAATCCCCAGCCCCTAAGTTAATATTCTTAAATATTCTGCAGGGATTTAAATATTCTGGACTTTGTAGGGAGGTCATTTCCAGGCTTTTATGAAAAAGGAAAAACTAAAATCTTTCTCTGTGTCCACCAATAAGGGAATTCCACATAATACACATATATCCCCATAAGGAAACACGATATATTCAGGAAAAAGCAGGAGGCAGATTGTATGTACCTACCATGACGTGATGGTCACAGTGCATCATTGCTTGATTGGAAAAGTGACAGAATAATACATAGTGTACAACCCCATGTTTACACTTAAAAATAAAACTTAAAAAAATCCATTTACCTGTTAGTTGATCATAGAAAAACTATGCAGAAGGGTAAACCCTGAATAGTCCCCAGTGACCACTCCAAGAGGTGGAGGAGGGGAGCGTCAATTTCTTGCTTTCAGATTTTGTGCTGTTTGAAAACTTTACCACCAGCCAGTATCATTTTCTAATTCACAGAAGACAGGAGGAAGGAAGTGGGCAGAAGTACCAGGTGCCTGAAGGACAGACGCCTCCAGCCTTGGCCCCTGCTCCAGAGGTGCCTGCTCTTGAGAATCCTCCCCGATGTCTCCCGTTTGTCCCACAAGCAACTCGACTCAGCCTTTCTGGGCCACTCTAGTCTCTGAGGATGTTCCGGGCCTGGTTATCTTCTAGACTAAGGCAATCGCTCAGGCTCCCTGATTAGAAGGCCATGAGTCCTATGCCTGTGCTTCCTCTTGGGGAGAATGGATAGGGGACATTACAGACCTGTGGCATCATCATCATAGTTAGTTAGGCCTGTGACATCACAGGGCATGGAAGCCAGCAGAACAGGATCTAGGAGATGGGAACAGGAAAGCTGGCTACGGAGAGGCTGTCTGGAGTGAGACCCTGAGGACTGTCAGCCCACCACCTAGGGCATTTCCTTGCTAAGCAGGGACTTTCAAGATTAGGGATCTCGAAGTCCTTAAAACCATTTCTCTTTTTGTTTTCTTTGCAAACATTATACTAACTCTTCCAAGAGTGAGGGACAGTGATCCCAGGAAAGGGTGGCATTGGCAGACGGAAACCAAAGGTGTGTGGATCCCCTTGGTGGTGTGGGTACCAGTGACCTTCACTCCTCCTGCGGTCCCCAGCAAGGTCTGCTGGGAGTCCGGGAGGGTTCTACCTCGAGGAGTGGAGTTGTGGTGAACCCAGACTGCAAGGGGGTCCTGCGAAGAGCTCTTCCATGAATCAGAAGGATATGAGGGGGCTCTTGGGGTGAGGGCTGGGGAAGGCCAAGGGGTTGTCTGGGAAGTGGTAATGTCGCATCAGAAGAGAGGGTGTGAGAAGCAGACATGAGGGCGTGGATGTGGTGACAAAGGGAGCTGCCATTGCCAAGAGGTGGTGGCACTGAAGACCTCTGGGCTACTTGCTGTGTGGCTCTGGGCGAGTTGCTAACTGTCTCAGCACTCCTGTTGATCATGGAAATAATAAAACCAACTACCCGGGCTTATCATGAAGATTAAGTGAGGTAAAGCCTATACAGTCCCTAGCACAGTTCCAGACACAAAGTAAGAAAAAGTAAAGGCAACTACACTGATCCTGGTCTATTCTAGCCCGAGCCCTGGGGCTTTACCATTTATCCTGGGCACATATAAGATGAGGTTCTTGGTCGTAAGTTGTAGACTATGGATGCCACTTCAAGAGAATTTAGGAGACAAGGAATTTGAGAAGACACTAGGGAAACACAGAGGCCTGGGGAGGTTGCAGAACCAGGCTGGGAGAACAGGCTGGATCAGGGGAGGCCAGGAGCATCAAGGACCACAGCTGAAATCCTGCCCCGGACCAGCCCAGCAGGGAGTCAGCAGCCTCCTCTAAGCCCCGTCTTCCCTCCTCTGCCTGGCAGCCCCTGTGTACCTCCCTGATCACAGAGTGGAGGCTCCCACTACCTGCTCTCGGGGCCAGTGTCTTCGGGTACACAGTACAGGTGCAGCACATGAGCGGCCTGCTCAGCTCCCGTGCTGGGCGAGGGAGGTTAGCATTAACCATCCGGCCATTCTGACTTTTTAGTAGAAGGTGCCTTCTGCTTCCCTTAGTACAGGCTGGGGTCCATGTCCAGATGCTGGGCATCCAAAACAGCTGGTGAATGTTTCCATGGGAAACTTCTTTGGACCGGGGATCGAACTCATGTCCTCACACTTGCCAGGCAAGTGCTTATGCCGCTGAGCTAAACCCCCAGTCTACATGGGAAACAAAAACGAGCAGATAGTGGTCCCTGTCCTTGAAATACTCCAAGACACATAGGGACGAGTTCACAGCAAATGATCATGAGAGCAAGGGACAGAAGCCATGGTGAGGGTGAGTGCCAGCCCCAGGCTGAGCTGGTGGAAAAACACTGTCACATGTCCTTCAGCCACAGTGAGATGTTCCTGTGTGTTCCTTGATGGCACAGACTGACTGGGACTGAGTTACTTTGGGTCAGGCTTGGACCCACTGAGCGAGGACCGTGTCTTCCCGGGCCAGACCCAAAAACTCGAGGACTCGGGTGAGGCCACAGGGCCAGTGGACCTTCTTAGTGGCTCAAATCCTCTGCTTCCTTCCTGCTTCATACCCATTTTGCTGTGTCCTTGCACCATCTCTTGCCCTCTTGGGGCTTCAGCTCTCTTTCTAGATCTGAGAATGGAATTTCTGAGCATCAGAGATCTGAGATGGGACGTGGAGGAAGGAGGTGGGTTAGCTGCATCCTGGGCCCCTGCTCCGTGAGCTCAGCTTCCTGCTCTGTTCTCCATCTCACCCTCTCCTGCTGCACTGCCTGCTCCTGTCCCTCCCCACAACCATCTCTGCCTCTTCTGGCACCATCTCTGCCTGCTCCTGCTCCTGAGCGTCACCATCACTGGCTTCCCTGACATCATCACTGCCTGTTGCTCTCAGCTTGGCCCTCAACCCCAGAATTCCAGCTTCAGCCTTTGAAACCTACTGTGTCCCTCTCCAGCTCAGCCATCTGGGTTCTCTGAGCACAGAGATAGGTAACACCCTACCACCTTGCAGCATGTGCACACACACACACACACACACACACACACACACACACACACATGCACGCACACACAGGCACACACACATGCACGCACACACAGGCACACACACATGCACGCACACACAGGCACGCATGCATGCACAAGGGTGCCACAGCTCAGTTCACTGCAGTGTAACTCCAGCAAGTCATCCTGTAGAGTAGCCACTGGGAGGTAAGAGATGGGTGGTGGGGTTCCCCTTGTCAGGTCTCACCCGGCCCCCAGGTCTGCCTGGCTGCCCTCCTCTTCCTATTTGAAGCAACTTCAAACACAGCACCTTCCTGTCATCTCTCACACCCACTGAGGCCTCAGTCACAGGCAGCTGCTGTCGTCCTGCTTGCTCGCTCCTTCCTCAGCCAAGAGGACCGCCACAGAGCCAGGTGCTGAGATACCGGGTCACCTTTGGGCTCACAGTACGTGAGAGCTGAGGCAGGCTTGGGGAGGAATCAGCGAAGAGGGGAAGGAAGTGGGGGTTCAGAGGGCAGAGTCACTGGAGTCAGGGTTTTGGGATGGGTGTGTGTGGGGTGAAGGATGGGGAGGGCGGTTGTGAGGTAGGCTTGTCGGGCATTTGTTGAGCTAAGATGGCCCCTGGACTGTGTGGCTTCACATGAAAGATGGCAAAGAAGCCAGGTGCTGACTGAGCAGACAGCTGAGAGCATTCAGGGGATCTGTCCCAGGACCAAGGGATCCTGGGAACTCTCAGCTCACTCGGGCTACCTCTCTGGCCAGGAAGCAGTGCCCGGGGAATTCTGGGTGACAGGACACGGAGGCCGCCTTGGTGGCCTGGTATAGCTGTCTGGGTGAGCTTGGATGGTGTAGAGTCACGGGTTGGTGGAGACATGGATCCCTCTCCACAGGGAAAGGGTGGCTTCTCAATTCTCTGTGGTCCTGAAGAAGCTGGCTTGTTCCCTGGGAACCTGCAAGCTTGCCTGCCCCGAGCTCAGTGCTCAGGGCTGGGGGAGGAAGGAGGTGGACAGGCGGGCAGCAGCGCCCGTGGGTGACACCTCAGTGGGTGTGAGAGATGGCAGGAGAGCCCTTCCTCTCTCCTCTCAGGCCTCCTCTGCTCCTCATCTCTCCTTGATCAACTGTCATCAAATCCCTTTTTTATGCCTACTAGAACAACACTGACTTCTAAATGTCAGAACCACAGGAGACCTTACTGGTTTAAATCCGTTTTGCAGATAGGGAATCTGAGGCGTGGAGGGAAATTTTGTGAGAGAGCCCTTTCTAGAAGCCAGGCTTACACCTGGAGAACCTTCACAACTCCCCTTGACACCCATTGTCCCAGCAGGTAGCAGGAGCACAAAGAGAAAATCAGCTGCAAAACTGGGCTGTTGTTACAAGACCAAGGCACTGGGAGACTCAGGGGGCTCCCTGACCCCCAGCCTGGACTTCCAGCTCTGCCAAGGCAAGCAGGTAGGATGCGGTCCTACACTCACCTTCACCGTAGGAGGAGAGTTTAGGAGGGAGTTGGGAATGTCTGAATGGGCTAGATGGGCACCTCGCTGGTGTCCTAAGTACCCCCTGCCCCGGGTACATCATGGAGGTAAGTCCTTGAGATGCCAGAGACCCTGACCCCCATGCTTCAGGGGCCCAGACACTCTGTGCAGAAGGCTTGGCTGGATGGCCATGGCCCTTGGGCTTCAGTACAAGGGGGCACAGGCCCATTTTGGGGTGTTTACGTCTTGGAGGAAGATTTGCCCCAAAATCATCCTGGTTCCATTCAAAACAACACAGTGGATGGTCTGAGCTACTACAGGGACCACAATGGTCAGGGATTGGGCTGGGTTGGGGCAGGGAGGGAGAAGAGGACAGGTCCTAGGGGGAGGGGAAGGCAGCCCATAGTGTGTGAGAAAGTCCTTGGGAAAGAGTCCCTTGGATGAGAGAAGAAATATTTGAGTGACGGACATGGGGGGAGAGGACTTACTGTATCATAGATTTTCCTGTCTGGAAACGAAACTAGGCGTGGGACAAGCCAAGAGGCCCAGGCGTCCAGGCGCCGACCCCTAAGCCCCTTGCCCTCTGCTCTCTAGGTCTCCTCAGCCTACAGGTCACTTTCTGACACAATGGATGCTCATGGCTCACCCTGCACCAGCTGGCCATGTCCCTTGACACAGGCACCAGCCAGGCCCTCCCTGCTGGCCTGCCCCCAGTGGCTGGACCTATTCTTGTATCCCCTGCATCCGCAAGCACAGCTGGCACCACTGAGCACAGCCCCACAAGGTCTCGGAGAAGACACCTCAACCCTAAGTAAGCCCAGGGCACAGGTGGAACCTGCAGCGTGGCACAGGACCGGGCCAGGCTGACATGATGGATTTCAGGATGGCGGGGAGGGGACTCTGGGCCACTGGGGAGGTCATTTTACCTCTGCATCTTGGCCTGAAGTTCTCCTAGGGGCTTTTTTTTTTGTCTTTTTCCTTTTTATCGGTACCAGGGATCGAACTCAAGACTGCCTGCTTGTAAGGCAGGTGCTTATGCCGCTGAGCTAAATCCCCAGCCCCTTCTTTTTCTTTTTTCTTTTCTTTTCTTTTTTTTTTTTGTCTCTCCTAGGGGATTTTTCAAGATGGGGACAGCTGAGCCAGTGGAGGTGGGCAGAGGCTCTCTTCTGCTTAGGAGTAGGAGCAGGTGTAGCTGAGGTCACACGATGGTGGCGGCAGTACTTTGCCTAGAACATTTGGGGTGCAAGTCAGGGAGCAGGCCTGGCCTAGAGTTCTGGTTCTGTCCCTTCTAGTTTTAGGACTTTGGACACATCCCTGGACACATCCACAAAGTCATTATACCCACATTCTAGTTTTGTTGAATCCTATTATTTTCATATGTGACCAAGTCCTCTTGGAGAGGTAAGGACTACTGGGTCGTGTCCTGCATTTCTGGGCTGCTGGCTCCGAAAAGAGCGAAAGTGTCAGCCCACTGAGTAAATGCAGCTCCAACCAGATAATTTATTTTTTTCCCCCCTTATTGCTGGGGAGTGAGCCCAAGGCCTGCACATGCTGAGGGCTTAACCACTGAGCTACACCTCCAGCCCTAGGGCTTTACTTTTTACCAGTGGCCTGAATCCTACTTTGCTCATGTGATATCTCACTTTCTCCTTACTGTCTAAATATTTCCAACCCTCAAACTCAATCCAGTGCCCTCTTTTCCCCTCCTCTTCTCTCTTCTTCCCTTTTCTCAACTTCTATTGGGTACTTTCAGTGTGGCTGGTAGAACACAGAAAGTGGATTTTTAATTAAACTTTTTGTTGTTTGTTTGTTTGAGTTAGGGTTTTAAACTCGTGATGATGATCCTCTTGCCTCAGTTTCCTGAGTGTCGGGATTACAGGCATGCACCACAATGTACAGTTCCACTGGTTCCCCCCACCCCATTCCGAGGATAGACTCATGACCACCTGCTTGCAAGGCAGGTGCTTATGCCGCTGAGCTAAATCCCGAGCCCCACCACCATGTACAGTTTAAACTTGGTCTTAATGTAAATTTAGTCACATATATACAGCAGCTGCCTCTTTGGACGCACAAGACACAGTATCACCTTATGCAATCTCATCTGAGCCTAAGGCACTCAAATTTATTTATTTATTTAGTTAGTTAGTTAATTAGTTAGTTTGAGACCGAGTTTTGCCAGTCAAACTGGCCTTGAACTTTCAGTGATCCTCCTGCCTCAGCCTCCCATGTGCTGAGATTACAGGTGTGCGCCACCATACCTGGCCAGCACCCAAATTTATGACTCCAGTTCACATCTGTCCTTTGAACTCCCAATTAATAAATCCTCCTGCCCACTTGACTTCTCTACCACGATGTCTGATAGGTTTTTTTTTTTTTTTGTCTTTTTCCTTTTTATTGGTACCGGGGATCGAACTCGTGACTGCCTGCTTGCAAGGCAGGCGCTTATGCCGCTGAGCTAAATCCATGCCCCTGATAGGCTTTTTGAACTGTTTTCTCTCCCTGAAACTGCTGAGCACTACAGAAAGACTAGCAGTTTTTACTGGCAAGTAAATAGCAGCAGGGAGAAGGAAGGGCAGCAGACAGACACCTCGTCCGAGTCACCCTAGTCTGCAGACTGCAGCTCTTTCCCAGCCAGGCTGGACAAGTGGGATGGGGGACAGACCTTTACCCCTGGCAGTGGAGACCCGATCATAATCCTTTTTCTGCTTAGAGCTCCAGGCCCCAGGGCTGCATGGCAGCTCCACTGATGAGGAAAAGCTCACAGCCAAGTACCCACTGAACAGGGACAAGATGGAAAGGCAGCCTGAAACAGCTGGCCACGGGGCACACTGCCTAGCCCTGCCTCCTCAGAACAGCTCCAATGCAACCACCGCACAGCTGAACACAGAGAGCCCTAGCCCTTCGGCATCCTGCCCCTGCCCTCCTTCCACCCCCATCTCCAAGGAGCTCCCGTTCCACTTCCTCCCCCTTTACCCCAGGTACCCTCTTCTCCTGCCTCCGCCTTGCCTGCTCACGTACGGAGCCCTGCCTTCTGTCCAATGTTCCCACCTCCTCCTACTGCCCCCAAACACCGCCTACCCCACCATGGCTGCACCCCGTTTGCTGACCATGGCCAATGACCCTGAGCACCAAGGCACTCCAGGGGAGACCCTGCTTCCCAACCCTGGGGCCTTCCGAGCCTCTGGCCCCACCCTTCCCTCCCAGACCCAAGATCCAGGCCCTGGAGCTGTCCCAACCCCCTCCCCAGGAACAGTGGGGGCCGGCATGCCAGCTCCAGCGAAGCGGGCCTCCGCGGGCTCCCGAGTGGGCACCGCAGCGCTCCCTTACCCACTGAAGAAAGAAAACGGCAAAATCCTGTACCAGTGCAACGTGTGCAGCAAGAGCTTTGGGCAGCTCTCCAACCTCAAGGTATCTGCCTCCGGGCTCCGCCCACTCCCCAGGCTTTCAGTGACTCCCTTCGCTGCCGGCGGCGGCTTCCAGGAGCAAGATCTGAGAGCTGGAGAGCATTCCTGGGTGTCCTCTAGCACTGAGTGACCTTGGACAGTTCATCTGAGTGGAGATGCACAGTAAGAGGGCACCACCAAAGTCCTCTCCGCTCTAGAAGACTGCCTATGAGCACAACTCATTTAAGTTAAAAATGGGGAAACTGAGGCCCCTCGTGGGGAGGGTTTTCCTAGGGTACTGGGAAATGGTGAGCTAAGCTTTGATTTTAATCTCTCGACATCTAATGCAAAGCTGTTTGCCAGACAACCACAGCTCTCTCCCAGTTAAGTTTCTTTATTTTGTTTGAAGCTCAAATGGTGGGATGAGTAGATTTCAGTGGCTCTAGACCACAGACCAGATGCAAACCTTTTTCAAGTGGAATCCCACAAATTTGCCCCGGCGTTGTTGGCGTCATCACCTGCATTTATCCAGCAGGGGGCGCGCGTGGGCGACTCTCTCGTTACCAAAAAACGCAACGCTGTGAGCAAATTGGCACCCATCCGTTCAGAAAAAAGTTAATGGCTATTGGGGCAGAGGGGTACTGGTTTCTCAAGGGCAGGAGTTCCTAAACTTTAATGAGCTTCAAACAACCTGGGCAGATAATAAGCCCAAGGATTTCCAGGCCCTGGCCCCAAAGATTTTGCCTCAGCAGGTCTAGGGTGAGGGCTGAGAATCTTCATTTCTAAGGAGCTCCCAAGGTGATGCTGCTGGTGTATGGATCATACTTTGAATTGCAGAGCAGGGCAAGAGGAAGAGTGCAAGTATCCCAGAGGTGATAGAAAGGTCTGGAAGGGATGATCAAGAGGTCTGGATGCCAACGAGGGGTGCTGCATGGAGCCAGGCAGAGATTTGGAGAGGATCCCTGGCCCTGCTGTGGCTCAGGGCAGTTGGCAGCATTTCTCCCACACCTGGCCCAGGTCCACCTGCGCGTGCACAGTGGGGAGCGACCGTTCCAGTGTGCCTTGTGCCACAAGAGCTTCACCCAGTTCGCCCACCTGCAGAAGCACCATCTGGTGCACACAGGGGAGAGGCCCCACAAGTGCCAGGTGAGACCTTCCTTCTCTCCTGCGGCCTGAGGAGGAGCTGTATACCCCCAGGGAGGGACAGCACCTAAGCACCCATGCCCCAGACCTCTGAGTGAGTGGAGACGGGAAAGGCAGGACAAGGTAGAACTAGGAATGGGAAGGACAGGGTAGAGCTAGGAATGAGAGTCGGAGGAAGGTGAAAATGAGACCCCCTTTTGTGCTGGGAGGAGTGATATTGGCAGAGGAGCAAAAGCAATGCAACTGAGGTCCTAGATGATGCATAGCCATCACTTAGCTCCCAGGGTGGTGGGACAAGTTAATGCCATAGAATCTACAAAGTATCCAAGCAGGAAAATCATTAGATCCATGTGAGTCCCTCCTTCCAGCCTCACCTATCCCTTGAGAGGCCAGAGGGCAGAGGTGAAAGCAGTGTAGTGGTTCAGAGTGAAGGCTACAGTCAGACTGCCTGTGTTCAAATCCTAGCTATGCTCCAACTTGCCATGTGGTCTCTGGTTAGTGGCTGCTTCTGAGCAGAGGCTTGGAGGGCCTCCTAGGGAGCCCAGGAGACAAATTCCTGGCATGTTCAGCTCCCACTAAGTGATTATTACATCCACTAATGCTGCAGCCTCACATATGTGTTCGATGTGATTATCTCATTAAGTCTACCTCAATATATGAGGTTTGGAATTAACAGTCACATACTACTGATAAGAAAAGAGGAAGGCTCAGAGATAGCTCATTTATACAACATCACACTGGAAGTCAAAGGCTTGGGTTGGCCTAACTTTCATGCAACAGATACTGTGGGTTCCAGGGAGGGAATCATCAGGAAAAGCTTCCTAGCTTGCACTGAAAGGGACCTGGCTAAGGGGATGCTTCCAAAATGGGGAGGAAGGAAAGAGACTCCAAGCCAGCCTGAAGGACATAGCTGACATCAGTGCCCATTCTTGTCAGATGTGCCACAAGTGCTTCAGCAGTTCTAGCAATCTCAGGAGCCACCTGCGCCTGCACTCTGCGGTCCAGCCCTTCCACTGCAGTGTCTGCTCAAGCCGCTTCACCCAGCATGTCCATCAGAAGCTGCACCAGCTTCATGCTTCACAGCCCTACAGCATGACTCACCTGGCCTCTCTCACCTGCCTTGCGCAGTGGCACCAGTGAGCACTGGATCTTGTTGGGGAGCCCTCGGAGGAGCAGTTGGGTTGGGTTGTGGACAGCATCCAGGTGTCCTTGGTATCCCAGGGAAAGCAAGGGCAGCCAGCGTGAACCAGGTCTGCTCCGGGGTGGGGGCAAGGGCAGAGCAATTAAAGGATTTTTCAAAATGATGAGCTGAGGCTTCCTGCACTTCCACAGTGAGGGTGTCACTCTGTACTTGCCAGACCTCACACTTTACCTGACAGCAGCTCAGAGGACGCAGCCAGAGAGGGCCTGTGCATGGGCTGAGTGCCTGTAGCTATCTATTAAGGATGGGTTTAGGTTCTACTCCCCGTGACCAGTCTGAAACCAAACCCTCTGTTTCAGTTCACCAGTGGACAGTGCCGCCCTTCAGGGTGGCAGGTCCTGCCAGGTGCAGGCCATGCTGCCCAGCACGGTACATTGCCCTCTTTTCTGATCAGCTTCCCCAAACCTATTCAGATGTCCCCCTGCTTTCTTTGATCTCACCGTCCCTACTCAGCCACCTGCAGTGTACCCTCAGCTGGTCCATCCTGCCACAGTGGGGTGTGGTGTGCTCCTGAAGGCTCCAAGAAGCGGGACATACGTCACTGCCCACTCATAACCCGTAGGCACGATGCTTCTGTATGCTAGGACTAGTCACAGAAGGCAAGGCTTAACAGGCTGCTGAGTTCAGGGACGAATAGTTAGGGGTATGTGCAGGGAAGAACTGGCCAAGAGGGCCGGGACTGGGACTTTCCTGAGACTTATCTCCTTACAGTTCCAGGAGATCCCCTTAAAAGTTCAAGATCTCCCCCACACACATACACACACTCGTGTGCCAGGCAACTGGAAGGAGGCCGAAGTTCCAGCCGCAATAAACAATAAACGAGGGCTATTACTGAAGACTCATTTTCAGACAGTATGGGGTTCTCCCATCGACTTCCGGCAGGGGGCACCGGTCACCGCCGCATGGGTTGGGTGCTGCCGCTCCTCCGCGGTGCGGAGCGAGATTCCGCGCTCCGGATCCTGGTGGCTCCAGCACACAAGGGGAATCCTCGCAGGGAGACCAGCACGACGGGGCAACGGCAGGGAGGACTTCGCTTCCACTGTCAACGGAGGTCCCAAGCCTACATTATCACCCGGGTGCCCGGAGGAGCCCACCCTTGGGCTAGGCCCCGCCCAGCAGACAAGACCACGCCCCCGAGCCACGCCCCTCTCGGGAAGCCCGCGTCTCGGCCGCGCCTCCCGGGCTCTTGCTCCCCGGTCCGCTCTCCCGAGCCCCACCTCCCGCAATTCTAGCAGTTTAGGTGTAGCACCACATCTGCCCCTGTCGCCTCCAGGGGCCTGAAGAAGCAGCGCGGACGGACCAGAGCAGGGGCCGCGTTGGGGATGGGGCTTGGGCGGAATGTCCGGGGACTGCAGTGCCCCGAGTGCACCCCAGCTCAGGGCATTGGCAGCATCTGGTCAGGTCCCGACCTCCACTCTTGCAGGCGGGGCCGCTGTTTGCTCAGAGTGGGCGGGTGGGGCGGACCGGAGGAGGCGTTCCTCGCGGATGCAGCGGATCCGGGAGGCCCAGCGGTCAGGTGTCCAGACTGCCCAAGCCTGGGGCCTTGGCCTTGCCATGACCGAGCGGCGTGGGGGACTTGGGGCCCGCCTGGCCCGCCTGCTGGCTGGACTAGGGGCCCGGAGGGAGCGCAGGGGGAAGGCGACCTCAGAGGAGGCCAAACCCCGGGATAGGTGAGGGGAGATGCAGAAAGGTCGGGGGAGAGGGCTGGCCTAGAGGTATCTGTCTGTCTGTCTGTGTATCCGTCTGTCCGTGTCCCAAGTGTATTAGTGTGTTCTGAGTGCTCAAGTCAGCATGCATGAATATCTTAGAGCATAAAAATGTATGTGTCCAGTGTTCCACGATTTTGGATCTGTGATTGTGGACTGTCCCTGCGATTGTGGACTGTCAAACAACTTTGACAATTTCATGATTTCTTTCCTAGAGACAGTTTAAAAGCAAACATGGCAGTTCCTGCTGCCGCTGTGGACTTTGATTTCCACAGCACAGGTCAGTGTCGCCTCTGGTCTTTATGTCCTGTTCTGAGAAGTCTTAACAGATTCGTAGTGGCCTTGTACAAGAGCATTGTGTTTGTCCTCATCTGGAGACAGCTCTAGATTGTAACAGCAATAAACCTATATTAGCCACTTGCTTCTGTGGTTTGGTCAGATTAGCTCTTGTGATCTTTTTTTTTTCATTGGTCCAGGAATCGAACTCACAACTAACTGCCTGCTTGCAAGGCAGGTGCTTATGCCGCTAAGCTAAATCCCCAGCCCCTAGCTCTTGTGATCTTCATGGCAGCACTATGAGATATTGCTTGTCATTCACATCCAGAAATAGAGGCTCAGAGAGGTGAAGTCACCTGCTGCAGTCACAGAGCAGGGAAGTGTTGGAGCTGAGATACACTCATAAGCAGTCTTGACTCCAGAGCTCACATCTCATGGAGGAACTCTGTTGCCTTGGAGACTTGCCAGACTGCAAGCTAGCTCCTAAGCCTGGTGCCACTGGCCTGGTGACCTTGAACAAGTTGCTTCACCTCCCTGGGCATTCCTGGTAGCTGATATCCCTCTAAACGGGAATGAAAATCCAAGCGGGCCCAACAGGTCACAGGCCCTCTGTCGGCACAGTGTGGCTGTGTTGTCGACCAGCGGGTGTTTGTGTGTATGCAGTTACTGGGCAATTTGTTCTGATCTTATCAGGCAGCTGTCTTCAGCCTCCCTAGGAGGGGTGAGGTGAGGTGGAGACAGCTGAAGGGAGGGGCTTGTGCCTCTCTCTGGCCCTGCAGAGGGGAAGGTCTAGTCTGAAAGTTGACTGGGGTGCCCACGTGCCCCCTCCAGGAAGACACGCCCTCTCCCTTTTCCTTCTTTGGCGGAAACCAGCCCCATAGGCCTGGGCGGACCTTCCCCTCCCTGCCCCCACTTGCAGAGCAGGCAGGCTGGGGGTGCAGGTGAGTCAGGACTGAGGGAGGTGGGGAGGGACTGTGAACCTGATGTGATGACACAAGCTGTGTTTGCTGGTGGACTCAGATCCTCTCAGCCACAGAAAAGGGATCCTCACCTGAGGCACAGGCCTCTAATCCCCACTGATTACCCGGGGTGGGCGCTGGGACAGAGGGGACAAGGCTGTCCCTCATCTTGCTCCCCTTAATGCTGTAACGGTCAACTGACTTTGATTGGGACAGTCCTTGTGGCCTGCCTCCAAAGCTTACTAGCTGTGTGACACCAAGCAAGTCACTTTGGTCCTCAGCTTCTTTATCTGAAAAATGAGGGCATTGATACCCACCTGCAAGGGTGACCATGGAGGCACAAAACCTAGTGCCCAGCTAGACGCTCAGGATGGCCTCAGGAAATTTGGACCTTTGGAGCCACCAAAGCACTGTCTTCTCTCTGATGTGGACCTAATTCAGGCCCCTCCATAGATTTTTTTTTTTTTTTTGGTACCAGGGATTGAACTCATGACCTGTTTGCCAAGCAGGCACTTACATTGCTGCTGAGTTAAACCCCCGGCCCTTTGTTTTTGTTTTTTGAGACAGGGTCTCATTATATAGCCCAGGCTGGCCTCGAACTCATGCTTTTCCTGCCTCAGCTTCTGGAAACCCTGGGGTTGCTAGTCTGTGCCACCATGCCTGGACTGGCCCCCTTTTTGATCCTAGCTCATCCCTGTCCCTTTCTTTGCCTGGTGGGGGGCAGTCAGCAAGGGGAGGAAGCAGAAGAGTTTGCCACATAGGCAGTCCCCAACGGTTTAAGGGGTCTCTAGCTGCTGGGCTGTGGGCCCTGAGAGAAGATTCAGGAAAGGGGTACTGGGCCCAGTCTGGGGTGACAGTGCGAGGATAGGAAGAGACTACTCCATTCTCTTCCTCTATGCTTTCTTCTCAGGCCCTGGGGTGGCCAGAGCTGCCCTGACCTGGCCCAGGGTCAGGGCAGCACCAGCGATGTCAGACTCAAGGTAGGAGAAAACCTGAAGGAGAAGGAAAAAGGGGGGCAGAAACTCGGGCGGGGGCTGGACAGGCTCTAAGAACCCTGACTTACAAGTCATGCAACTGGAATTCTAATCCTTCCTCTGTTGCTGATTCAGTGTGACCCTGAGAAAAATTTTGCCCCACTTCTGAACCTCAGTGTACTCATCTGAAAAATGGGTACAATAATGCCTTTTAGAGGGCTGTGGAGAGAATCCAGCATGGGACCTGAATGCTCAGGAAATGTGTGTCCTAATGCTGGGATCCTTAGGCATAGAGGGGAAAGGCCTGTTCCCAGGACCCCCTTCCACCCACCACCTTGACTTTCTGCCCATGTTTGGCTCCTTTTCCTCACTTCCTGCCAGGGACTCCCAGAAATGACACTGAGCCTGTGACTTCTGCAGTCAGGACCTGAGCCATGAATTGGACAATGATGGATATTCTCCCCTGGGAGGAGCAGAGGGCAGCCTTCTCTGGAGGAGGCTGAAGCAGCCATATGGCTCTCTTTGGTCCCAAATATCATGAGTAATGAGCGGAGTTTAATTGAGTACTCATTATGCACAGGTGCTGTGTGTGGATTATCTTACGCGATCTGCACAGCACTCCAGGGAGCCAGGTGTTGTTCTTATCACATCCATTCTACACACAGGGAAACTGAGATGCAGGTGGCATTGCAGCCAAGTAGCAGCACTGGGATTCAGGTCCAGGTCCCCGCCATTCAGGTGCCCACAGTAATCATACTGTTTTGTCTCCTGAAGTATCCAACTCCTAGGAAATGAAATGTTGTGTGTATTTCATGAGTAAATGAAAGCCCTGGAGATCAAAGGCCTCTGTTAGGTGGGGTTTTGACCCCATGTTTGCCAAAGACACAGGCTCACCTGGTAGTTTCAGGGGGGTGGTCAGTGTTCATGTGGATCTGGGATGCTGAGGCCTCTCCCCTCATTCCCATAGCCCAGCTGAACCCCAGGGAATTGAGCAGATAGACATCAGCTGTTCACTCTTTCCTGCTTCCTGCATGTCCCCTTCACCTCTGTGACTAGGCACGGCTTCCCAGGTGTGCTGTGAGAATTTTAGGCTGGCAGAGTACAAGGGAGGTGTGGCTGCAGGCCCTCAGGTGGCCTGCAGCAGGCAGAGGCCGTGGGCACTTGAGGCAGGCATGCCCACGCAGCCCTTAATCCCGAGGGCAGTTGGTGCCAAAGAGCCAGAGGCCTGTAGACGCCTGGGAAAGCAGCAGTAGGCCTACGAGGAAGCCGAGGTCACAGCCTCGGAAGGCACAGCCAGGTCCTAGAGTTGCATCATTGGGGTGTCTGAGGGTTGGGAGCTCACTGCCCTGCGGTGGGACCCTAGTCATGGCACTGTCCTTCTGGACCTCACTTTCCTCGTGTGTGGAATAGGAGGGCATGAGCTTAACCTTTCCATGGTCTTGCTGTTTTGCTCAGCTCTGGTGCCCTGACAGCATCTGCTAGTGCAGCTCATCTGGGTGTCAGACCCTGCTTGGCTTCCCTTGTGCCAAAGAGGGCGGGAAGGGATGTCCAGGGAACATGCAGGACACGAGAGATGCCTTCACGTTTCTGTCCCTGTCACTGTGTCTCCCTGCCTCTGGTTTTTCCCAGGTCCAAGCCCAGAGCCATTCAGAATGGGACCTCCGGGTCAGGAGCCAAGGTGGCATCTGGTCTGGGAAGCCACAGCAGCTCTCAGGGAGACCTGCCCAGCCTCTGGGGCGCCTGCAGAGGCCAGCAGTGGGCAGTGCTTCAGACCTGGCCAACTATGCATCCGTAGCACCCAAGGACCTGGCCCCAGCTGAGACCTCTGCAGAACGTGATGATGCCCACCCGGGGCCTACTCCTCAACATATGGAACAGGGAACCCCAGGCCGCCTCTGCCAGCAACCCCCACATGTAGCCCCAGACGTCACTCAGAGGCTGGAGCCGCCCAGCAATCTGGAAAACACAGTCCTGCCGCCCCACCCAGCATGCCTCCCAGAGGTGGAGGGGGCAAAGGGCGAGCGGGACATCTCAGGGCCTGTCCAGTCAGAGTCATTCCCCCTACATTCACGTCCCTCGGCCAGGAGGACCCGCTACCACATCACTGTCATCCTACAGGGGTGTGGGCAGACACCTGGGGAGGAGGGTGAGGAACCGGCCCAACCAGCTCCCCACCCCTGCGGCCCTGAGGAATCCAGGGGCTGGCAGGAGCCTCCCCTGGGACTCCGCCCCGTCACGGGGTGCCTGACTGACCTGCCCCAGGAGCCCCAGCTGAGAGCCCTGCCGCTGCATCAGGGGAGCACAGCCCAGTGGCAGGCTGGCCGGAAGCCTGGATCCCCACACGGGCGGTGAGTAGAGGTTGGCTCCTGTGGGGTCTGATGGCGGGAAGGGACCCTGGCTTGGCTGGCTGATCCCTCTTGGGTCTCTCTGCCTTGTCTCTGGGCTTCTCAGACTGCAGGCTCATTCATTTGGCAGCTGATCCCGCCTGAGCTGACTCTGCCACCCTTCCCCCTTCCTCTCTGCCTTTCCTGCCTCCCTCTCTCCCTTCCAGGAGGTACCCTGGGACCCACTGCTGTTCTCTGCCCCTGCCCATTTGAGGAGGTAGATCTTGTCATGGAAAAGATGGGCAGCTTGAAGGGTCACTTTTTTCTCAGCTATACCCACCACTCCTCAGTTCTGTTCATGTGGCCACAGACCAGCCTGGGAACAGGCCTGGAGCCAAGGTGCTGGCTGTCTTGAAGCAAATTGCTTAGCCTCTCTGGGCCTTGTGTTATTGAGTGGATTTGGTAGTCAGGTTACAGGAACATCCTTTGAACTCCAAAAAGCTGGGCTGCCAAAATAGCAGGGATGCTTATTAATTACACCTCAGTGGCAGCGATAATTACCCCACCTGGGTTTGTGCTGGCCGCCACAGGAATAGGCGCCAAGACTCTGGAGCCCCGGTTTTTATTTGGCTCTCCTGCCTGGTGAGCTCCATGGTGGGGATGTGGATCCCTCGAAACTCGGGGAGGAGGGCTGAACATGGCACCTCCCTAAGGACCATGTGACGAGGTCCTAAAAATGAATATGGTGGCTGACATTTATGGTTTGTTTCCTAGCATTAATTTTATTTAATCTGCACACAGTCCCATGAAATAGGAACTAAGTCCACCACTTAATTACAATAGGAAGCTAAGGTTCAGCAAGGCTAAGCCACTCACCCAAAGCCAACTGGACGGTGAAGGGAATCCGAATTCGATTCTATGTTTCTACAACTCCAGCACCTGTGCTCTGCCCATTTTCCCATCCAGCCTCCAAAAGAACCCTCTCAGGCCCCGTGTGAAAGCAGAGGTGCCTGTGGTAGCTGTGGGATCCATGGTTCCCTGGGACCCTGGGAATTGGGCAGCAGAGGCTGAGGCAGAGCTGTCCAGGGGTCGGGGCAGAAGTCAGCGGTCTGGGTCTCTGCTGAGGACCAGGAAGACGTGGGGCCCAGTCTGGCCAGGAGAGCTGTCCAGTGCCCCATCTGGGGCAGGAAAGGAGTTTGGGGCGAGCCTTAGAGAGTGGGAAAGGGAAGAGTGGTGGCCTGCGCTGGACTCCACCTGATACTCCCTGGCTGTTTTGGATTCGGATGGGTAATAACAGACTGTGGTGGGACCCCTTAAGAGATGGGGAAAGGCGACTTGCAAGGACATCATGTTTCTCTGTCCGCTTTTCGGAGGAAAGTTCTCTAGGCCAGAATTTGCAAATATGAAAAGGAAGTGGGATCCAGCTGGAGCTGCAAGGGGAAACACATAAGATGGGTGTGCACACAGAAGTGTGTGTCTGTGTTCACGTGCAAGTGTGTTTCAAGGGAGGAGAGTTTATGGCTGTGAGTTAACTGTAGACTGGGAATGTGTGCACATGTGTGTGCCACTGCGTCTGTGTGTGTGACTGTGTGACTTAGTATGTTGTCTCTTTGAGTGTCTCTGTGTGGACATGTGTGTCAGGTAAGTGTCTGTCTGTATTTCTGTGCTGTGTGTGACTTCTGTGCTTGTGTATGCCTGTGTTTGCCAGCATGTAGGCCCGTGGACTGGTTTAGCCTAGTTTGGGGGTGACTCACGCATAAGCGAGGAGATCCAGGACTTGTTGGGTTAGACAAGGGTTTCCCACACTCCCCTTTCCCCCTTCACACCCACCAGCCTTGTTTGGAGGCTACTGGTCAGCCTGCCGACAGATCCATGCCTGGTCTGGGACCTTGGAGAAGAGAGTGCCTTGGAAATGGGCACATCTGCTTGCCCAGCAGGGGCAGCTGGTTAGTGGGGTGTGCCTCCTGAACAAGGACAAAGCGGGGAGCACTAGGCGGGCAGATTCCAGCAGTTTGAAGAACCTTCTAGTAGGCATGACTGTCCAGGGATGGGGCAGATGAATTGTCAAGTGGTGATCTCCCTGTCCCTTGAAGTATGTGAGAAGCCAGTGACCACATGTTTGTGGAATGAGTGGCTGGCAGGGGTGTTGTCCAGGGGCTGGGTTGTGCTGAGAGGGTTGGGCTGAGAAAGGTGTGGAGATCTGATTGCCAGGAGTTCACAGGAAGTACCCGAGAGGATCATCAATAGCTTCCTTTCAGGTTGCTGTCCTGTGAGTCTGTGGAGCCTTTCAAACATCTGATGCTTAAAAACAAAACCAAAAACAAAATCGTGGTTCTTCGCCTCCTGGATTTTTAGGGTACCACTTTTATGAGAAACCAGAGCCTAGCACATGGCCTGCCATGCTTAGCAATGAATGAATGAATAGACGGGCGAGAGGCCGGGCTTTGCCCCTTACAGTCAGCACCATCAGACAAAGTCTGGTGAGTAGCAGGGAGTTGTTCTAACTCAAAAGTGGACAGGGGACCCAGTGAGGAGGACAGCGGCTTTAGAGGATGTTGGTGAGTGTCAAAGGCACGTGGGAGGAGTGCCAGGCAGAGGGGACAAAGTGTGCTGAGAAGGAAGGTCATCCCTAATGAGGACAGGAGGGGCTGGCTGTCGGGTGTGTCCTGTTCTCAGGAAGCCCTGGCCTGGGGGAAGGATTGGGATCACCTGTTTCCCCGTCTCTCCTACCAGAGGCTGTCCAGGGTCCCTCCGTCTCTATCCCAGACTCCATCAGAAACCCCATGTGGTCCAGGAGTCCAGTCAGGCTTCCCTGGGCCTCAGCCCCTTTCATCTGTGCTCCTCATAAAACCTGAGTCATTGTTGGGGCATCAGAGCAGGGTCAAAGTTCTGGGTTCCACCAGCTTCTCAGGAGGGACAGGGTGGAGATAGGGGAAGGGAGTTGGGGCAGTGGGTCCATTTCTGGCCCGGGATGGAGCCTCAGAGGGAACCACAGACCTAGGGTAGGGTAGGCCAAGAGTAGGGATAAACAGGCGTCGACCTCAGGGGTCTGGGGATCTGAGAATAGGATTGTCACCGTCTGGGCAGCCTGGGAGTCAGGTAGTGTGGGTAGATGGCCCCTCTAGGACTGAGATTGCCCCCCAACACTCAAACAAGACACTCAGTTTCCCCGGGGGAGTTAGGGAGTTTGCTAGAAGGTTATACACTTGGGGTTGAGGTTAAAACCTTGACTCCCTTCTGTGTGACCCTGGGCAGTTCCTTAACTAAAAAAATCTGCACAGAATGGGAGTGTTTAATTATAATTAGTAACAATTTACTAAGGTCACAGGCTCCAAATTCTTCTGACTTTTTAATAGCACAGTATTGTTACTGTTCCTATTAAGACCAGGAAATTGACCAGTTCCTGGGAAAGCAGAGGTCCTTTTAGGCAGGGTTGTAAGTTTCCCCTCATTTAGTAAAGTAGGTTGTAAATTACCAGGGAACTCAAGGGAGGATCAGAAAAAAAGAAGACCCAGGCCCCAGCCCTCAAGGAGTAAGGGGAAAATGTGGAATCAGATGTGACTTCAAACCCGAGCTTGGCAACTTGGTGGGTACATCATCCTAGGTACCTCAGCCACTCCTCTGATCCTCTGTGTCTTCTACGTCATGGGTAAAATGAAGATTTCAGAGAGAATGGAGGAAAGCTCCAAGCGCTGTGTCCTTAGGGCAGTGGTGGCAAACCTGTGGCTTGTGTGCCTCCGCAGATGGTCTGTATCATTGAAAGCTCTGTAAGTTTTGCCATCACGGCCTTAGGGGCTCTACTGAGACCCACAGATGTACCCAGATGTGCCCCTGTGCTCTGGACATTGTCTCCAATGCTTTTGGTAGTAATACCTGCTAATAGTTGGTCACAAACCTCCAAGATGGCAGTGTGACATTTATGAGCCAGCATTTTAGTTTATAAAGCAGGGTTTCATTCTTTCTCTCCTACTGCATCCTGCCTGGCAAGATGCTGTGAGTCTTAGGACTCCTGTTGTGTGGTTGGGGACCCTGAGGTCTGAAAGAGAGATGTGGCCCTCCAAGGTAGTGGCGATAGTGGGCAAGGGTCCGTGGGAGCCCAGCTAGGCCTGAGTCCCAAGCCTCATTTTCCTGAACTTCTCTTTTAAGGTACCTCCCGGGAATGGGTGAGAACGGTGTTTGTGTAGTTTCCACCCTTCTGGTTTTCTGATTTTTAGCTCTGGAGGACTGGACCCAGGGCTGCTTGGGCAGAGGCCTAGGCCATCCATGTGCCGGCACATTAGACTCATCTTCCTTTCTGCTCTCTCCTTTCTTCCTCTTTCCCGGCTTAGGCCTCAGCTTTTGAGGGACCTAGACAGAGGGAATCCCTTGAAAGTGGGGAGATGAATAAGAAGTGAATCCCATCAGAACTGGGAGTATCACACCCATATAAACAGGGAAACAGACCGAAAGGTCACGTGACCGCCTGAGGGTGCTCAGCATGAGTGTGGCAGGGTAGTTATTCTGCACTTCAGGGACCCAGCCATCCTTGCCACCCTCTGACGCTCTTCTCTCTTCTTCCTGGGACTGTCTGCAGGGCACTGGACTGCAGTGTGACGGAAACACCTCTGGACAGGTTGCCAGGGCCCAATATGGAGGAGGCAGCTGGGCCTCCGGCCCGGGCTGAGGCCCGAGTGGTAAGTGCCACACTGACGTGGCGACAGCGGCCGCCAGCCCAGGAAGAAATTAGACACCATTTTCACAAGGTGTCCCTGGTGTCAGGGGCCCGAGAGGAGATGTTTGGGTACACCTATGCTCAAGAGGAAGTCAATGGCTTTGCTACTCGGGAAGAAGAGACTGTGAATCACCAGGGCCTTCGGGATGAAGCTGGCTCTGCAAACTTCCAGAGCCATGGGCCCATCTTTTCCAAGAAGTACATGCCTCCCCCAAAGGAGAAAAAGCTGGTGGGCAGGCCAAAGTGGACTTCGGACCAGACTGACAGCATCCCCCAGGCTCCTAGGACTGAGCCACCAGGCTTGGGAGCCGCAGCCAGGACTGAGCTGTTGGTGCCTCTACCTGGGCCCCGGGACCCAAGCCCCCACCCAGGCGGGAATCACACTGGTGGGAGCACCTGGAACCGAGAGGAATGTCGAGTGACACGCACTGTGCGCACAACCACAGTAGTCGGGGGCCATGTGGACCACCGGATGAGCAGCTCAGTGACTGTGGGACCGATGCTGTCCAGTGAGACCTTGCCAAGGGGCCGCCACGTGGTCCGCTCGGTCCGGGCAGCAGTGGTGAACCCTCAAGCTGAGGACTCACCCAGCCGCAGCAAGGCCCGGGAGCTGCTGGGTAGCCTGGTGGCTGCTGAGTCCAGCTCTCCTGCCAGCCGCCTCCCCAGGCCCACAAATGTTGTGCCAAGGAGCCCGGGGCTGGGTGGCACAGAGGGGACTGTCTTGGAGCAGCTGCCTGAGACTGGGACAGCCCAGCCAAAGGTCCCTGCGGGCAGCCCAGTGGGTCCTCATCCACCCCAGAACCACGAAGTCCCTACCACCTGCCCAGACCAAGACCAAGGCAGAGCCTTGGACATCAAGGCTTGTGAGCCCCTAAGGGTGCAGGGAGCCTCCAGCCCTACTCCGTTGCCTCCTCAGACTTCTCGGGGCCAAACACCAGTGCCCTCTTCTCCCAGACTCCAGACCCGTGCTTCCTCCCCGGGCTTGGCCCAACGCTCAGAGCAGCCCGTGCTTGCCTCTCAGCCCAGGGCCGAGCCCAGTCCCCAGCCCAGGCCCCATGGCCTGCCCTCTGTAGAGGGGGAAAGACTTGCAGATCCCCCTGCTGCGCCCACCCCACCTGTAGAGAGGACTGAGGCTGCTACAGTCCCTGGACAGCCTCTCATTCCACCTTCTATTACGAAGAAGCCTGTCCCCAGCCCAGGAGGTCTTTCCGCTGCCTCCTCACGAAGGAGTAAATTTGTTCAGGACTCTGAGAATGTGCCTCTGTCCTCCCTTACTCAGAAAGAGGTTCTTCACGTCCCTGGTGCACCCAGTGCCTCATCCCCTAAGCCAACCAAGGTTACCCAGGGCCCAGAAGGAGATCCTAGCACCCAAAAGGAGGTTGCTAAAAGCATCCCCACCCCCTCTCTTCCCAAGGAAGAGACTGTTCAAGGCCCAGCTGCTCCTGTTCCCCTACTCCTCAAAGAGGAGGAGGCCAGCCCCGGGGCCAGAGGGAGCCCTGTGTCATCTTCTACTCAGAAAGAGGATATCCAGAGCCCTGCTGTTTCTTTCACCCCATCCTCGGTGGGCAAGGAGACCCCCAGTCCAGGAGGCACCCCTGTTTCAGTGCCAGTGGAAACAGAGGCCAGCACGGAGTCCCAACTTGTCCCTGACTCTGTTGAGGACAAGTCACTTCCAGAGTCATCAAACGAGGAGGATGAGATGGCCCTGGCTGCTGACCTGGAGATTTTCCTGGATACACTTCGGAGCATGGAGCCCCCTGAGATCCTCCGCACTCACCGGCTGCCCCGAGCCCCACGCTCCTCCTACTTGGCCATGTACGCCACGCTGCCTGCCATTGATGAAGACCATCCTGGGCCATGGATGCTGGGGCCCAGTCCCCAGGTGGTGCCTACCTTGGAGGAGGAGAAAGAGAAGGTAGATGAGAAGGAGGAAGAGGAACTAGAGAACCCTTATCTGAGTGATGATGAGAAGCTTCAGCGCAGGCAGGAGAAAGCTGGACCCAGTCCTTCCTGGGGTTCCCGTCCTGCCAGACCCACCCAGGACTCCTGCTCACCTCTGGAGATGATGAAGAAACATGTAGCGGATGCCAAGAGTTCTCACCCAGAACTTGGGCTGGAACTGCAGACTGGCACCCGGCCCACTTCCCGGCTCGGCAGCAGTATTCTTTTTAGCAATCTGGTTCCTGCCACCAAAGAGGCCCCCAGCCTGGAGCCACTGGGTGCAAAACTATCTGTTCTGCCACCCCATCCGGCACCGGGGCTCAGGAAAGTGCCTGGACAGTTGCCCCTACTCTGCAGCGGAAGGCCACCACCAGAGAAGCTGACATGTGCCCAGCCCCTGGAGGGGTGGGTGAGTGAGGCCTCGGGTGGGCAGCGGAGGCACCTGGCCTCCTCTGGGTCCAGGTTTGGGTGTTGTGAGGAGAATGGTACTGGGAGTCAAGAGTCCCTGGAGAGGGCTGGGGATTTAGCTCAGCGGCATAAGCGCCTGCCTTGCAAGCAGGCAGTCGTGAGTTTGATCCCGGGTACCGATAGAAAAAGACAAAAAAAAAAACAAAAAACAAAAAAGAGTCCCTGGAGGCAGGAAGGAGGGCTGCATCTGAGGTCTTGTTCAGTTAACCTGTGCAAGCCACATCTCTCTGGGCCTCAGTTTCCCTGTTCATATAACAGGAAGTTTGTACCGTGGATTTTTAAAATCCACGGATTTTTATTTTATATTTTTATTTTGTTCTGTGGATTTTGAAGGGCTTGGGGGCTCCCACATCCTGGAAGCTGGGGAAGGGGAGTGAAACCCAGGGGTGGAAACAAGTGTGGCATCCTCTGAGGACCAACTCCTTGCGGGTGGAGACCAGTAAGAGAGGACATGGAACCTGTAGAATGTTAGGTTGCGGGGAGCAGTAGGTAGATGACCCTGTAAGACTTCTCACTACTTCCTGTGTTCCAGAGCCCATCCTTGAAGAAACAGGGCAAGCTCAATACCAGGCCTGGGAAGGTAGGCGTGTGGGGCAAAGGGCCAGGGGTGGCAGGAGGTGGGGCCTGGGGATACAACCTGAGGGCGTGTGCTGTGCCTTCTCAGGTGATCTTCTTCTCAGAGCCCGGCTGCCAGGGCAGCAGCAGAGAGGTCTATGAAGATATTGCTGATGCCTCGGGCTGGGACCTTGTCGCCTCCATAAGGGTGGTGCGAGGATGGTAAGTGGGCGTGGCTGTGACCCTAAGGGTGCAAAGGGCCTCCCAGCCTAGCGGAAACACCATCGGCTACTCAAAGACTGGGTACACCCTCTTTCCTAACTGTGACCTGGGGGTCTCTGTGCCCACAGCTGGGTGCTATACGAACAGCCGCAGTTCCAGGGCCAAAAGTTGGTTCTGCCTGAAGGAGACGTGGAACTCAGAGGCCTGCGGCCAGCCTGGAGCACTCACGGCATTGGCTCCCTCCGGCGGGTTGTCCGGGTGAGCAGGCTGGGTGGAGCCTAGAGTGGGAATCCTTCCAGAGAGAATATGGGGTAGGAGCAGGAGGGACTTTACTGTGGGCCAGCTATAGGTTCCTGACCTTGGAAGAACCGGGGAAGGAAGAGACCCTGAGGAGTGTTCCGTCTGGGGCCAAAACCCAGCTCAATAAAGCAGCCTAGGGATGTCTGAGCTGGAGATGAGGCAAAAACCCAGCTCAATAAAGCAGCCTAGGGATGTCTGAGCTGGAGATGAGGCAAGGTCTGAGTGATAGAAATGGGCCAGGTTTGCCCAGCACCCAGTGCAAGGAGCCAGCAAGAAGCACAGTCTTCACTTGTTCACAGATGCTTGCCAATTACTGAGTGCCGCTCCCTGGGCCAGGCGTAGGGGGTGAGGGTGGGCGAACTCTTTGCCCCGCCTACCCTGTCAGATAAGCTGGGAGGGCTGGTTCAAAGAAGGAAGACCCTGTCACCAGAGTGGGGATTATGAACACCCTTCTGGATTTCAGGAAAAAAGACAGGGAGACCAGATAGGGTTGGAAATCCTACAGAGTCCCCTGAGGCTTTTAGGGGGAGGAAGAAAGAGTAGCAAAGTCAACATTGCAATTTCATAAATGTAAAGCAAAAAACAACCCTGTTTTCAGAGCACAATTAGCAAACTTGATAAAAATAACCTTGATCCCCAGAGAGACCTAGCAGAAAGAACAATGAGTCTAAACAGGGCCTAGTTTGGGTGTTTGTTTTTGTTTTTAATGAAGGAGCTAAGTAACTAGGTCTAGAGTTGTTGCAATATTGCTGGTGTAGCTGACACAGTGTCCCAGGAGGAGGATAGAGCAGTTTTCAAAGCCAGGGCAGTTGTGGATAATTTATTGTGAGAAACTCACAATAAATTCACCTTCATGTGGGAGTAATGAGGTACAAGAGAAAAGCAAGGCTTTGAAGTTAAGACATCCTAGGATGGAATCCAACACTGAGTGGGCACCTACTGTGTGCTGGGTGCGTGGGTGGTACCAGGTTGCAACACTGAACATAAACTATGTGGGTCTGTTCTTGGTTCTGCTGCTTAGAAGCACCTTGACCTGGAGCAGTTTGCTTAACTTCGATGAGCCTCTCTTTCCACAACTCTATTTTTGTTTTTAATCGGTACCGGGGATTGAATTCACGATTGCTTATGTGTAAGGCAGGCGCGTATGCCGCTGAGCTAAATCCCCAGCCCACTTCTCACAACTCTGAAGGGACAAATAACACCACTGCAGCCATGACCTTAGTGTAGTGCTCCACTCAGTTGATGCTTCTTAGGCACTTGATGAATGAATGAATGAATGAATGAATGAATGAAAGAAAATGGTCCCCAGGATAAAGAAACACTCAGAAAGCTGAGAGTGCTGTCTACCATGCGATTCAGACACCAGTCGAAGCCAGGCTGGAGGCATGCAGGCTGCAGGTGTAGTTAGTTGGGTGGTGCAGCATATACTTAGCATACCTGAGGTCCTGACCATCCCTAGTACGAAAATACAACAACAACAACAACAACAAAACAGTTTGGATGGAGACTGGAAAAATACCTAAAGCTGGACCTGAGGAAGTGGGTTACAGGCTTGTTCATCCTTCTGGCAGACAGGAAGTCAGGCTGCCCATAAGGGAAGGGTGTTATGCTTTGCAGCTTCTCCTGGGATCTTTGGTTTCAGGTCCCAAAGGTGGATGAAAGCTTTGGTCTCAGGCTTGGTTAGCTGATTTTTGCAGGAACATCCCAGTTTCCCCCTCTCCTGTTTTTGAGGAGACAGCCAGAAAGGTTTTCAGGCCATTTGGAGCTCTGGCTGCACAGATTTGGAAAAGCAAGAAAGTAGTCTCCAAAGAGTGTCACTTTACATCTTCTTGTCCCCGCTTCTCCTTTTTCAGGACTACTGCACCCCAGAGATCATCCTGTTCTCTGAGGAGGGCCTCAAGGGTGAGCAAGTGAAGCTAACTGAGGCCTTGAAGGATCCTGAGGGCCTGGAGAGGCCCCTGCAAGTGGCCTCTGCCACTGTCTCTGCAGGACTGTGAGTTTGGGCTTTTCTGGAATCTCCTCATATAACATTCACTACTATGCTGGGGGCTGGGGACACAGGTGACAGGACACAGTTTCTCTTAGAAGTGCTCAGTCTACTGGTGGGAACAGGCAAGTAACAGTAGCAGTCCAGAGTTGGGGGATAGGGAAGCACAGGGTTTCAGGAACACAGAAAAGCACCAAACTGGCTGAGCGAGGGGTAAGGGAATAGTCCAGCCCTCCTGGAGGAGTAGCCATCTCAGCGGGGATGAGTAGTCTAAGAACCTAATCTCCAGGAGGGCTTGACTATGTATGCTTGGTCAGTCCCAGATTGATGCTGGAAACGGCTAGTTCGGAGTCCATGCCCCTAAATATCTGTTATTGAATGAATGGGGGAAGCAGTGTACCTGGAACAGGTGCGTGCTAACAGAGCTAAGCTTCTAAAGTTCAGCCTGGCGGCTGGGAGTATCCCTTGGGATCTGGGGTACGATAGCCTTTCTACCTTCCCCAGGTGGATGCTGTACCCCAAACCATTCTTTGAAGACACCCCCTATATCCTGGAACCTGGAGAGTACCCTACTTTGGAGGCCTGGGGTACATCAAACCCCACCGTGGGCTCCCTGAAGCCCATGACATTGGTAAGGAGTAGGCACACCCACAAGCTGCTCCGTCTCTTGTCCCAAATAGTATGGTCCTGCATCTGTGTGCAAGACAGAGGAACTAAAGTGTGGAACCCGAGCTCCTGGTGAACAACTCTTGGGAGGTCCTACTGGGAACTGGAGGAGAGTGAGGATTCTTCCAGGGGTTGGGGAGAAGAAGGACATGGTCTGACATTTTTAGGGGGTCTCAGGATCAAGAAAATCCTAGGTCCTCAGTCCCATCTGTCTTCCCCACTTTGGGGCTGATGTCTCAGCAGAGTCTCCTTTGCAGGGCTGTCCAAGTGTGGAGAAGCCAGCGGAGCCCAAGGTAAGGAGCTGGACTTCGGGCTCAAAGAGGGGCATTGTTTGCGGGTGGTTGTCATGGGCTGGACTGGAAGACAGGAGAGGAAGGCTGGGAATCGAAGGACTCACTGGGAACTGGCCTTTGACGTGTAAGGACAGGGCAGAGGTCAGAGTAGAAACGGGATGCAGCTCTGTGAGGCTGGTACTGGGCAGACCCCTTCTTGGATGGCTAGGTTTGTCTGAGTCCAATGATACCCCATCAGTCTGACACCCTGTTTCTCCCTAGGCAGTGGTGTATGAGGCTCCAGATTTTCAGGGCAAGAGCTGGGAAGTGAGCAGAGATATCTACAACCTTCAGCAGCCAGAGGACAGCCAGAGCCCCGACCTGGCCTCTGTGGGGTCCTTGCGGGTTCTTGGGGGCTGGTGAGCATTTAGGTTGATTTCTTCTACCTTATCACCCCTACGACCGTTGCTGTGGGGATGGGATGTGACTGATGTTGTCTGGGTGGAGTAGCTGTGCAGGGCCTTCCTATAAGTGAGTCTGTCCATTCTCCCCTGCCACCAGCTGGGTGGGCTATGAGAAGGCGGGCTTCCGCGGCCACCAGTACCTGCTGGAGGAAGGCGAGTATGCTGACTGGTCGCACTGGGGAGGCTATGATGAATTGCTGACCTCCCTGCGGATCATCCGGACGGTAAGCAAGGGCAGCTGCCTCTGGTCACAGCTGACTGTCCCAGTATAATCTGAGGGAGGAACCTGAACCCCACTCCCAGTTCTCCAAGTGTCCGATGAGGGCCATACTGAGGACTTCACCCCTAATTCCTCCAGTGGGCTGTGTCCTTGGGGTCTGGGGCACTCCCTGGTGTTTTGTGATGGGCTGGCCAGACCTGTTGATCCCTGGGGTCCAGGACTTCGGGGACCCGGCTGTGGTGCTATTTGAGGCCATGGACTTCCAAGGGCACGGCGTGGAGGTGAGCACTGCACTGCCGGATGTGGAGCTAATGCAACATGGACCGCACACACAGGCCATCCACGTGCTCAGCGGCGTGTAAGTGATCCTGCCTCACGGGGCTGAGAGCGGTTGCGGTTGCGGTTGCGGTTGCGGGAGGGGTGCAGTTCAGCGCCTTGACCCGCGCCTCGCCCTTCTGCAGGTGGGTGGCCTACGAGCAGGTGGGCTTCTCTGGCGAGCAGTACGTGCTAGAGAAGGGTGTGTACCGAAATTGCGATGACTGGGGCGCGGGCAACAGCGCCCTCGCCTCGCTGCAGCCGGTACTGCAGGTGTGTGCGGGCGGCGGACGGGGCCGGGGAGGGGCGGGGCACCGGGGAGGGGCGGGGCACCGGGGGAGGGGCGGGGCACCGGGGAGAGGCGGGGTCAGTGTCAGGGAAAGAAGCCCGGCAAGTTCCACTAGGTTGGTGCCAATGAAACCTAGCGGAATAAATAGGGGCCAGGGGTTGACAGCCTCCTTGAATCTCAAAACTGGTCCCGTCCTTTAGGTCGGGGAGCACGATCTGCACTTCGTCTCAAAGGTAAGGAGGCGGACTCGGAAGCGATTTCCTTCAGTGGAAGCTCTCATCCCTTTCGCCAGCCCCTTCGGGCCGATCCTGCGCCCTCCTGCACTCTCATCTCCCTCTGCCTTCAGATTCAGCTTTTCTCCGGCCCCGACTTCCTGGGCGAACACCTCTGCTTCGAGGATGACCAAGCCTGTCTGCCCCCCTCCTTCCAGCCGCAGTCCTGCCGGGTTCTCGGAGGCAGGTGAGGAGGGCGGAGCGCTGAGGGGCGGGGCCGAAGGGCGCCTTCTTTCAAGTGATTTAAATTTGGGGGCTGGACTTGAATTTACAGTTTTCTTTCCTTAGCCTCCTGACTGGGTGGCGTTATAGGCATGTAGCATTATAAGCCTAGCATCTTTTAACCTTTCATGTTTTTATTCTTTTGCTTTTTTTTTTTTTTTTTTTTTTTTGGTGGCTTCCAGGAGTCCAGCTCAGGACCTTGTGCTTGCAGGGCAGGCACTGTGCCGCTAAGCTATATCACTAAGCTATAACCCTGGCTCACTGTTTCTTTTTTTGTTGGTTTGTTTGGGGTTTTTTTTGAGTCCTGGGGCTTGAACCCAGAGACAATGCTCCACATTTTAATTTTTTTTTTTAAACAGAGCTTCACTTAGTTGTGAGGCAGGAGTCCAACTCTTACATCAGCTTCCCAAGAATTGGCATTCCTCTAGTCCTACACCACTGTGTCTACCTGTCTGTATTTTTACATTTCTTGCCCAAACATGGAATCAACCATTTCTTGAAGAACCGTAGTTTTTTAGAGTAGAAAATGGTATTTAGAGACCAGTATCTGCATTCTAGGTGTTTCACAATCATAATAGCAAATATTACTAATAGTAAAAACCACTGAAAGCTATTTGAGATTTCTTTGTGGTTCCTTTTGTCCCCAGAACATTATGTGTTGTATGATATGTATGTATTCAAAACACTATACTTTCAGGACATTTGAAATAAACCTTATTTTGTGCCATTATGTCACCAGTAGGTTCCTAAAAATTAATTTTAATTTTTAGGAATATTTTCCATTTTTATTTAGCCACAGTACCTCCCCACACACAAATGCTGGGGATAGAACCCAGGGCCTCCCACTTGCTAGACAAGTACTCTTCCACTGAGCTACACCTCCAGTGTGTAATCTTTTTAAGGCTGCCCAGGCTTGAACTGGTGATCCTCCCACATTGGCCTCGTGAGTGAGGGGATTCTAGGCATGTGCCATTGTACCAGGAACATGGTTTTCAAAAATGTCTCAAAATTTGCATGGCTCCTGTTTTAGCGCAGACTGCTCTACTGAAATACTATAGACCATGTGGCTTAGACAACAGGAATTTATTTTCTTAGTTATAACAGAAAGTGCCAGACCGAGGTGCTGGCTACTTCATTTGTCTAGTGAGAACTTTTACTGGCTTGCAAAAGGCTACCTCCCCATCGCATCCTCATATAGTGGAGAGACACTTTTTCTGTCTTTACTTGGAGGGACACTTTTTCTGTCATAGAGTCCCAGTCTAGTGACCTCATGGAAACCAGATTACCTCCAGCAGCCTTGCCTTCTCAACACCATTACTTTGAGGGTTGAGGTTTCAATGTGTGATGGGGGTGTGGCGTAAATATTCAGTCTCTAATAATTCCAAAGCCACAAATTCCATTTCTCCCTGCAGCCTTCTCCTTCCTCTCTGAATGGGGAAGCATTTTTCCCCCTGCGTTTGTCTTACTCTTTGTTTCTTTTTGAAGATGTAAGCAAATATGCATACATATAACTAGTGAAACCAAATACATTGTGTAAAACTTCCCTATTGTACAAAAGCGAGCGTTTTATAATCTGGTACATATACTAAACAATATCAAATTGTAGAGTTAATTCAGCCAGTCTCTTACTGATGCACATCTGGGCCAATTCTACTCTTTGCTGTTGCAAACAGTGCTGTAATGCATGACCTAGTGCTTAGATTCCAAGTTTTTGTTTTTGGTTTTTTTTTTTTTTTTTTTTTTTTTTGGTCTTTTTTTCCTTTTTATCGGTACCGGGGATTGAACACACGACTGCCTGCTTGCAAGGCAGGCGCTTATGCTGCTGAGCTAAAATCCCCAGCCCCCAGATTCCAAGTTTTTGAAGGGTATCCTTGTGACAGATTCCTAGATGGGAGATTGCTGAGTACTTGTCCATGGAATGTTGTTTCAAATTGCTAAATCCCCTCCAGAGCAGCAGTAGGGTTTCCGTCGGTCCTGTCTTAAGTCTGACCTCAATCCCTGCTGCTGCAGTGCCTTTTCATTTTTGACCTTCCCTGGATTGGGGCGGGACATGGGGTGGAGTGGACAGCAACCCCACATCCACTCTTGGATCACAGGGTGATCTGGCTGATCTGGGATTGGGTAGGCTGAGATGACCCACTCTCCCTTCCCCAGCTGGATCCTGTTTGATGGGAAGAACTTCGAGGGGGACCAGCACATCCTCTCTGAGGGCGAGTTCCCTACCCTCATGGCCATGGGCTGCCTGGCCTCCACGGTCCTGGGCTCCCTCCGGAAAGTGCCCCTGGTGAGTGTCCCTGTTCAGTTCTGGGCCACCCCAAAGGCAGCAGGAGAGTCTTGTGGAAGATCCTGGGCTGAGCCTCATCTTGCTGTTTTGTAGGCTGGGTCAAAGAGTTTTTCAGAGCTGCCCCTCAAACCTGGGGCTTTCCAGCTAGCTCAGCTTACTATATATTTAGCAAGCATCTGTTGAGATAGGTGTTGGGGACACCGGAAAAACAGACACAGCTCTGCCTTCAAAGACCCCATGGTCACAGTCTCCTAACAGTTCCCAAGGAGAGAGGTATGTCCAGATGTGGACGTTGGTCAGAGATGAGGGGGACTGATGCTCTGGGGGGGGGGGGGAAGATGGCAGTATGGCCTGAGTGGTGTTCCTTGCATACATAGAAGGGTGTTTAACCAGGAAGGTGGCTCTGTGGAGGACAGATGGGATGAGGATAGCAGGGGATGGCTGCTTCAGGGACCAGAGGACTGGGGAATCCTGGACCAGGAAAGAGACAGGCACAAGTGATGTGGGCCCTCTTAAGCCATTCGCACCTGGGGTGGGGGGTGCTGGCTCCTGTATGGGCTGCCAGTCAGAACAACTGACACTTGCTGAGTACACCCTGCATGAGCTTCCATCTTAACCAAGGCCTCTAATGCTCACCACAGCCATTATTAGACCCATTTTCCAGATGTGGAAACTGAGGTACAGAGCTACCCAGCCACATGTTTCAGGATGCACAGTTAAGAATAGGCAGCCTGACTTGCTGAGCTCTGAAGACCTATGGCCTAGGGTCTGAAGCCCAGTTTTAGGGCCTCGAGCAAGCAATTTCACCTTCTCTAACTTCAGTTTCCTTTCTGCCAGACGGGGATCTTAGTAGGATGTACCTATATAGAATTGTTGAGTTATATTATTGAGATAAGATAAAGTATTCAGCATAGTACCTAGCATGCAGTGAACCCCATAAATGAGCACAGATATTATTACCAGTACTATGATTATTACGGTTGTTGGAAAGATGCGAAGGAGAGGTTAGAGAACGAGCCCCTGGGTGTGGCCGGACCCTTGCTCCTACAGGTGCCTTTTGTGCTGGGCACAGCAGCACAGGTGTATATAATGTTGGCACTCACGAGACTGAGGCAGAAGGATCACTGAGTTCGAGGCCAGCCTGGACTACATAGCAAGGTCTAGTCTCAAAAAAAGAAAAAAAAGCCGTTTCCCAGCTGGTGGTGTTGCAGTCAGTGAGCTAGCGCAGGAGCGTCAAGGGCTTGCAGAACAGATCGGGGAGTCCTGCAGTCGTGGCCTTACCCCTTTTCTCTGGTCGCAGCACTTTTCAGAACCTGCCATTTTCTTGTACGGACTGGAGTGCTTCGAAGGGAAGGAGATCGAGCTCAGCGGGGAGGTTCGGAGCCTGCAAGCCCAGGGCTTCAACAACCACGTACTGTCCGTGCGGATCAAGGGGGGCGTGTGAGTGTTGGTGGGGGAGGCCTGGGTGGGTGTGGGGACTGCTAGGGTGAGTGGGCATCCCATGGGGTCTCCTCCCCTCTCCGTTCCTGTCCCCCACCCACAGACCAGGAAGGAGGGAGAAAAGTAGACTGAGAGCCATCACTGGCTCCCAGGGACTGGACCGCAGCACCTGTGGGCCCCTCAGGACCCTCCCTTGCCCTACGAACCTCAAAACTACTTCTTAGCCTCCTTCTCCTTGCTTGAGACCCTGACTTTAGGCAGAAGGGCCCCAACATGAGAAAAGAGAAGGGAAGATCATTCTGATGTCATTCTTCCATCTGTCTGTCTGTCTGTCTGCCTGTGTTCTTCCTTGTGTCTGTGGCACATGCTGGCCCCAGCTGGGTGCTGTGTGAGCACAGTGACTTCCGAGGCCACCAGTGGCTGGTGAGCAGCTGCGAGATCACCAACTGGCTGACCTACAGCGGCACCCAGAGGGTGGGCTCCCTCTACCCCATCAAGCAGGTGGGTAGCAGGTCGGGTGGGTCCCTGGATGGGTCTGTCCAGTGCGTGCCTGTCTGTGTGTTTCCCAAGCTTGGCATGTGTACAGACGGGCACATTTTGGCTCCATCATCATTCTTGCACAGTTAAATCTAGTTAATAGCTTTTCCTGTGTCAATTCACTTTTTTTGTTTCCTAAGTTTCTTTTCTTTTTTGGTGGTACGGAGGATTGAACACAGGGCCTTCACACTCACACTGAGCTTCATCTCCAGCCTGTGTTTTGTTTCGTCCAGGCTGTGTTTGAGCTTGAAGTTCTCCTGCCTCAGCACCCAGGATATGTATCGCAGTGTGGCATCAGGTCCAATTTAACACACTTTTTTTTTTAAACTTTATCTTTGTTCTTTTAAAGTTTTTTTAAACTTTATCTTTGTAATAGCCATGGGGCTGGGGATTTAGCTCAGTGGCATAAGTGCCTGCCTTGCAAGTGTGCGGTCCTGAGTTTGATCCCTGGTACCAATAAAAGTGAAAAAGACAAAAAAAAAAAAAAAAAAAAAGAGGGGCTGAGGATTTAGCTCAGCGGCATAAGCACCTGCCTTGCAAGCAGGCAGTTGTGAGTTCAATCCCCGGTACCAATAAAAAGGAAAAAGACAAAAAAAAAAAAAAAAAAAAAAAAAAAAAGAGAGAGAGAGAGAGAGAGAAAAGGAATAATAGCCTAAAATCATGAATTTGATGTGTATGTGTGATTTTTTTAATAGGTACAATAAATACATTACCACCAAAGTTTCAAAAATAGAGGACTAGGGATGTAGCTCAGTGGTAGAGCACTTGCCTAGCACATGCATGGGTTCAATCCCCAGTACCCCAAAAGTGTCCGTATAAGTTTTCAAAAATAAGTTTTCCACACAGGTCTCAAAATCGTCTCACGAACCACTGCCCTCGTTTTGAGAAACACGGTCTCTGCTCACGAATGTCCATGCGTGTGTTGCCTGCTTGTCTATGTGTGGGTCTCATTTCTGCACACATGCATTTCTGTGGTGGCACTGTGTGTGTGCATGTGTGTTTGTGTACAATCCACGTGCGCTAGTGTCTGTCTGAGGGTCTTTCTACGCCTGTAGCATAGTTTTGTCCGTTGTCTGTGTACCCTAGAAGTGACCTCTATGTATGTGTATGCACGTGTGCATGCATCGGCTTTGTGACTGCTCGTACCCATGTCTGTGATGCTGCCGAGTGTGTCCTTGTGCAAGGGTGTTGGTGTAGTCCCTGTATTCACAGCTTCTTAGGATATTATTGCTGGAAGAAGTCCTGGAGATTATCTCCACCCCTCACATTTTACAGATGGGGAAATAAAGGCCCAGAGAAGTGGACAAGGATTTGCTCTGCAATCTTGGGCAAGTACTGGACCTCCGTGGACCTCCATTTCCTCATCTTAAAATGGAGATAGTGTGGGTTTATTTGAGGACTGAGATCTATGTCTGTAGAACCCTTAGAATGGCACATGAGAAGGAAACACTTAACAGAGGTTAGCTGTGATTATTACTATCATGGTCATCACTGTCACCATCACCTAAGACCTCCTGCTGATTTGTGGCAGAGTCGGTCTAATATCTGACCGACTCCAGGGTCCACCCCATTGTGTCTGTCTTCAGCATGCATGTGTGAATGCGTTTCTCCCTATCCGCCTGTGTTTGCACGTTTCCATTCCTGCACGCCTCTCTTCTTGTATCGTCCTTGATTATCTGGCTCACAGTATGCTGGGCAGACCTGAGATCAGTTAGGATGGGGGGAGTCTGCATCTTCTGTGAATTCTGGGGCACTTTTGGAGCCGTGGTTGTACTTGTCATTGTATCCTGTTGCATACTTCCCTGGTACCTCCATGGGCACAGAGCAGTGGGAACGCATGTGTGCATGTGTGTGTATAGAGGAATAAGGGGTGCTTTAGAAGCGGAGTTGAGGAAGGTTTGAGGCTTGGGAGCCTGATCCTGGAGGATCCAGAGGTGAGAGGGCAGGACGTCCTTGCCTGGGGACCCCTGACTCAGCTTCTCCCCATCACCAGCGCCAAGCTTATTTCTGCCTCTGGAATGCGGCCCTGGGAGGATTCCTGGCAGTACCAGACCATGTGGAGGACATGAAGGCGGGCCGTGTGGTGGTCTCCAGGCCCCAAGCTGGGGGCAGCTACATCTGGTACTATGAGGATGGGCTGCTAAAGAACCAGGTAAGCGGCTCCTGGGCCCCAGACCTTCCAGGCCCACCTTGCGAAGTCCCAGCCAGCCCGGGTCGGGAACCCAGAGGGCCTTGGGGAGTAGAGAAGGCAGGTGTGGACTCCGGGGCAAGTCTCTTCCTGTAACCTCAGTATGCAAAACTGGTATTGATTCAGATGCTTCTGAGAGCCCCCTAGTTCTGATATTCTGGGACAGAACTTGAATCTGTTAATAATGAGACTCCACAATCTCCTGAAAACCTAAATGATTCCTGCCTACCAGGGAAGAGACAGACAGAAGTAATTTAAACGAGCAAAATGTCTAATTATCTTGGATGCTAAAAGTGCAATAAAAGAAAGATAAACCAAGAAAGGAGGATAGGGAGTTTGGGGAGCCCTGCCCGAGAAGGTGATGTTTGAGGAGGCAGTGCAGATGTCTCGAGGAAAAGCATCCCAGGCAGAGGGAAGAGCAAGTGCAGAGACCTTGAGGTATGAACGAGCCTGACATTTTCTGCACCTGCCAAGGGCCCCTGAGTGGCTGGAGAGGAATGAGGGAAGGAAGCAAGTAGCAAGAGATGACTGAGAAGGTTAGGGGGTGCAGGGCCATTGGGAGTCTTGTCCTTCACTTGGCATGGGCGGGGCTGGCTGAGTGCCAGGCACTGTATTAAGCCCTCGCCGCAGAGTCTTCTGTAATCTTCAGACAGTGCTGTGGGCCAGATCTGTCGTGCTCTCTCTTTCACAGGTGGAGAAATTCGAGCACAGAGAGGTTAAATCATTCACTGACAGTCACACAGCCAGTAAATGTGTGGAGGTTTTTCTGAGGCTCTGAGAATCCATCATGGGAGACTTCCTGAAAGAGCTAATATTTTCCAGCCCTTTTATGGTTTCTCACGTTAAAATTTTTTAAAAATGGTATTCAGAGATTCCTAGTCCCAAGGAAACTTGAATTCAGGAGAATTAAGAGACTTGCCTAGGATCACAGCCCATAAGAGCCAGAGTGTCCAGGGTATGTTGAGTCTGACAGTGTCCCTCTGGGCAGAGCAGTGCTAATGACCTCTGGGCCGTAGGTGGCTCCCACCATGAGCCTGCAGGTGATTGGACCTCCCAGCCCAGGCTCCAAGGTGGTGCTCTGGGCCGAGAGCCGCCTGCCACGCCAGACATGGAGCATCGATGAACTGGGCCACATCTGCAGCCAGATGTTTCAAGGCCAGATCCTGGATGTTAAGGGTAATATGGCTTCTGTGCATGGGAGAGGGCGCCTGTGGGGACTGAGGGCACTGTTGTCCCCAGCTCTCTTTAACCACATCTCAACACCCTATCTCTTCCTAGGTGGCCGAGGCTATGACCGGGACCACGTGGTGCTATGGGAGCTGGCTGAAGACAGGGCATCTCAGATCTGGACCATCCATGTGCTTTAAACCTCCCTCCTCCCCCCAGCCCTGGGGGCTCTTGCTGGGATGCAATGTTTTTTATAGATTTTTTTGTTGTGACATAAGCTATTTTCTAATGTGCTTCCGAGTATCTTCATCTCTGTGCACCTTGATATTTGGGGTTTAGGGGGAGGATTGTCTACTGGCCTATTATCCATACACTCAGGCTGGCTTCTCTGTTTATTTGGGGCTTGGATGTATGGTCCCCCTCGGCCACCAGAGGGAGCCTGACAACCGGACTAACTGGCATGAGTCACCCACGGGCTGTGGGGACACAGACAAATACCAAAGCTCGTGGTCCCCACCCTTAGGGAGCACATAGTTCAGTGGAAGACTCTTACAATTAGGGTGAAACTGCCAGTGTCGGGAAGAACATAGTGGAAGGATGGTCAGAGCAGGACCCTGCTGCCTGGGACCTTCTGCTGACACAGGATGGGAAAGAGTGAACCAGGTTATCGATAGCACAGGAAAAGTGTCCCGTGGAGCCAGACAAGTGTGGCGATGAACCCTGGCCTTGTGCATGCCTGTAATCCCATTTCTCAGGGAGGCAGGAGGATTGCTGAGAATTCAAGGCCAGTCTTGGCTATTTAGCGAGATCCTGTCTCAGAAAATCAGACCAACAGTGGTGACAGCTTCGCCTGTGGGTTGCATGGTGGGCTAGGCAGGAGAGATGAGGGAGGGCTACAACCTGAAGACACCTTGTCCGCAAGCCTCTCTACTACTCCCAATGTTGGTCTCAAAGCCTGAAGATTTGACTTCAACCCAAGAAACCAGGTGCTATTGTTACCTCAGCTCTTACACTGATGTCCTCTGCAAAACACAGAGATAAGAGGACTGTTTGGGGCCCCCTTCCATCTCTGCAGCTCTGCGCACCAGCACCCTCAAACCCAGGAGGACCAGGCATGTTTGAAGCAGCTATTGCCTTCTGCTTTCCCTGCCTGTGGCTGAGTGGGGGCGGGTAGACAGTTGCCTCCTTAACCTTGGTCAGTTGCAATTTCTTGGACAGAATTGTCCCTAATCTGTCATTTTGGAACAGAGGCACTTTCTGGGCCTGGGGTTGTCCAAGGCCTGGGAAGATCGTAGCCTCTGGGATCATCACCTGTCCCCACTTAGGGACAGGTAAAGCAGTGTGACGAAAGGGGATGCTGAGGGTGGCAGTTTCTGGGTCTTGTCCTTTGAAGGTGGTTCTAAGAGGACCCTTTACAATGGACTTCAGGGTCGGGAAGCGGGGGGAGCACCCTGGGGCTACCTTCTCAGCCGATGGGAACATAGGGAGCTTCTTGGCTCCTGGGTGGTGATGTCCAGTGACCACACATGGGCCCCAGCAAAACACAAAGATAGGTTTATTGACCCCCAGCTGGGTGGCACCTGCCCTTCCACCTTAGCACCTCCCCACTTTGGCCATCACCCACGTAGCACTGCCTATGTTTCTACCACCTGGGATCCCTGGCTTCAACCTCACCCAAGGGTGGGGGGAAGGCTCCTCTGATTAGTGATGGCGGCAGCTGTTTTGGTGGGTGTAGAGCTAGAGGGGACACTGTTACCTTAGCTGAGATAGAGGTAGATAAGAGTATTGATCAAGAAGAAGAGGAAATTGCCACCACCCACGTGGCTGAGAGGTGGGGCCCCGCTCTTTTTGAGTTTGTTAGCTTTGGTAGTTGTGTTCACTGGGGCCTTTGTGCTCGTTCTGGCATTTGCCTCTGTGGCCAGTCTGCTCACTGTGGTCTTTGTGGTAATGGAATTGAGGCTCGGGTTTGTGATCATGGGTTTCACTGTGGTGGTCATGGCCGTCGTGACCATATTTGGGGTGCTCAAGTTTCCCAAGACTCCAGTCTGTATCTGCAAGAGAAGTAGGGGATGCTCAGGGGGCTTTTGAATCTCATGCATATTCCTCCCTCAACTGCAGCCTCCATAAAGCTGCCATCTATCCTGTCTGAATGTTTGACTGCTTCCTGCCTTGACACAGGCAGGGACAGATGTAATCCTTTCCTCTCCTGTATACCTCACCGTGGAAACTCACCTGTCCCAGTCCTCCAGCAAAGACAGGAGCTCCAGCCCTGGCTTTATGCAGGGGGTTAGCCTCCTTGAGCCTCAGTTTCCTGCTTTCTGAATGGGGAAGAGGCTATTACAGTGCTGAAGGTCATGTGAGATAGGACGGAGGAGAACACCCTTGGCAAAATGTCAGTGGGTGGATGGGGTAGGGAATGGCCAGATGGTGATCAGCCTGTCCTTGATGCTTGAGTAAGCTGTTCCTGATAAGAACTTCATGGCTCCTGTCTCCAAGCCCCTCGAGGCATGTGGGGTGCCACCAAAATGCCTCCTGGAGTGGCAGTTGACTTTGAGTGAGAGTCTCCTTTTTGTTCCAGTACCCCTGAGTTTCTCTCCTGTGCAAGTTGGAGCCGGGGTCTCCTAGCACCTCTAGAAGCAGAGCATGTGCTGGTTGGAGCTTTCCTCAGTCCAGCCCAACAGGACCATTTCCGCAGGTTCACTGTGGGTTGATGCCAGCCACATACGCTCTCCTGTCCTCCTTAGTTCCCTAGTATTACAAGCCCTTGGGTGCAGTACCCTCAGCGCATAGTGCCCACAGGTGTTTCAGTGTGTCTGGCACTCTGAGACAGGAGCATAGGCTTTCGGCTGACAGTAGCCAGAGGGGCGGGAAGCCCTGGCAAGTAAGACCCCACGTCCCATGTCCTGTTGGAGCCTGTCTACCTCTGCCCCATGAAAAAGGCTGGGTGTCCAGAGCCTGCTTTCCCTCTGTCCCTTGCCAAGCTGGCCAGGGGAGTCCTGATGGTTGTGCCAGGGGCTCTGAGGAGTTGCTCTTACCTGAAGCATCACCAGGAGGCTGATGGTGAGGAGGAGGAAGAGGAAGCCGTTCATCCTGGAAGATCTTGCTAGGCTCTGTTGGTGGCAGCTTTGGGAGATGGGCTCAGGGCTGTGTGGGGCTCTCACCACTCAGCTGCTTTTGAACTGGAGGAAGGGGAGGCGGGGCTGGCAGAGGGAAGAAGGCAGACCTATGGGGCAGGGAGCTGCTTGCTTTCTACAGATCTGGGGGTGGCTGAAACAAGCCTCAGGCTTTCAGGGTCCACAGATAATGAGTTCTGGGCAGAGTCAGTCAGATCCCAGGGGGTGATGGCATGCAAATGAAGTGGGCAGCTACCGGGCAGTAGGTAGGGCCTGGGCTTGGAGCTTAACCCATCACTGGCTTTCTGGAGGAATCCCAGTAGCTCTCATGAGGGTCTTTAGCTGCACTATCAAGGCTGCCTTGAGGCCCTGAATCGCTCCAGATTCGTCCCTTTCATGGTCATTTCGACTGTGGGGAGAAGCCAGAAGTCACACAGTGCCAGGCTTAGGGAATGAGGTGGGTGAGGACACACCGTAATGGTTTTATGTCCCTGTCCTTCCATCGGATGGCACTTGGCAGCAGTTCATCATAGTTTTGATCACACCTAGCAAAGACACAAAGGAGGACTTCAGAACAGCTTCAGAAAGTGGTGAGAACAAGGAGAGAAGTGTGCTCTAAGTGAGGGAGGGATTTGGAGCGGGATCAATGGCAGTGTGTGTTTTGGTCATAAAATATTTAACTTACAGTTCACTGTATATTTTTATAACACTGCATACTGTTTTGCTTTATTCCCAGTGAACTGATAGTAGGTGTTTAATGACTTGTCTAAGGTCATAATGTGGAGCCCGTCCCATTGGAATTTGAGTGCAGCTCTGTCTGAAGCTGCAGGCACTCATGTAACGTCTGCGGCTGCCTCAGACTCCCCAATTGAGTCTTGACTCCCCGTTCTCCCTCACCCCAAGGACCCTCCAGCTCCTGCCCGGGCATTCTCCCTGGCTTACTCTGGTGGTTTGTTTACATGCCAGGAGCTAAGGGGACTCGCCTGCCCTTCTTTGTGTCAGTCCTGTGTCACAACTCTGCGGAAAACCTGAGTTGAGACCTCCAGCTCTGGGCTGAGCAAAAAGAAGTGACTCAAGATTGGGAGAGGCCCCCCTCAAGTTCTCCCTGCCTCTGTTTTACCTGGGAGTGGGGAGGGGATCCCCAGACTGACTGAGAGCCAGGGAGGCGACAGCAACAGGATGGAAGGACACTGGGCCAGGGAACAAGTAGCCCACATAGAAGCCCAAGATTGCTTTGCTGAAAACTGATCCTGTCATGCTGGGCAGTCTGCTCCCTGCTTGCAAAGCAGCAGCAAAGTGAGCTGAAGCCGAGGATCAGCCATGAGGTGCACAGTTCCTCCAGGCTCTGTGTACACAATGTAGGTACAGATTTAAATACTTATTTTTTATTCTTTTTTTTTTTTTTGCTTCTTCAAGACAAGTGTTCACTATGCAGTTCGGGCTGGACTTGGGCTCACTTTATAGACCAGCTGGTCTAGGGGCTGGGGATTTAGCTCAGCAGCATAAGCACCTGCCTTGCAAGCAAGTGGTCGTGAGTTCGATCCCTGGTACTGATAAAAAAGGAAAAAGACAAAAAAAAAAAAAAAAAAAAAAGAGAGAGAGAGAGAGAGAGCCTCAGTATGTAGCCTGGGCAGCCTTAAACTTACTTATTTATTTATTTAGGCCTTAAATTTGCAGTGATCCTCCTGCTTCAGCCTCTCAAGTGCTTACACTATAGGAATGCCACACCTTACACAGGCTACCCAGGCACTTTACACAGTGTATTTCCTCCCTGCAAGAAAAGCTCTTCCTTAGTTTTGGTTCCTGGTAAGATTTTTTTTAATAATGAGAATTGAACCCATGGCTTCTGAAATGAGCTGCATCTCTATTCCCTTTTTCAATTTTATTTTGAGTCAGTTTCACTATATTGGCTAGGCTGGGCTCTAACTTGTGGCCTTCCTGCTTCAACTTCCCAAGTAGCTGGGATTTGAGCCTGCAGTACCACACCCAGCATGGAAAACTCTTCTTTATTCTTCAAAATAGCTCAAATCTGGATATGGGGGTGCATGTCTATAATCCCAGCACTCTGGGAGGCTGAGACAGGAGGATGGTAAGTCCAAAGCCCAACATAGGCAACTTAGCAACCGAGTGAGACTATCTCATAGTTTAAAAAAGGAATGGGTATGTATCTCAGTGCCCTACATTCAGTCCCTATTACTACAAAAGAATTAAAAGTTATTCTGAAGCTCCTTTCCTAGGGAAGTTTTTTATTTTTCTTAGGAAACTGCTCAAAAGATGGAGAGCTGTTCCTCTGGGTTCCAAGGGCTCCTTGTGTTGATCATTGCTCTAAAAATCATTTCTGCTCGGCTGGAGATTTAGCTCAGCGGCATAAGCGCCTGCCTTGCAAGCAGGCAGTCATGAGTTCGATCCCTGGTACCGATAAAAAAGGAAAAAGACAAAAAAAAAAAAAAATTGAAGATGTTTCAAGAAAAACCAAAACCAAAACCCATGAGAAGCAACAGTGTATTAGATTTCCATTCCTGAGATAAAATACCTGACACCTACAACTTAAGGAAGAGAGGTTTATTTGGTTTACAGTTTTAGAGGGGTCAGCCTGTGGTCAGCTGGCTTCCAGACAGAAACAACATGGTGGAAGGAAGGGTGTGATGGAGGAAAGCAGCTCAGAGCAAAGGGAAGACCCACAGGGCAAGAAAGGGACCAGGGGCAGATGTAGTCCCTAAGGTCATGCCCCATGACCACCTAGACACACCCAGAAGTGGCTTCACTAATGAGGCATCCATCAGCCAATCAAGCTGCTGCAGCTGCTGCAGTGGTAGATGCCTATAGTCCCAGCACTCTGAGAGGCTGAGGTAGGAGGACTGAAATTTGGCAAGACATTCTTTTTTTTTTTGTCTTTTTCTTTTTTATAGGTACCGGGGATTGAACTCACAACTGCCTGCTTGCAAGGCAGGCGCTTATGCCGCTGAGCTACATCCCCAGCCCAACAAGACATTCTTAAAGGGCTGGGGATGTAGCTCAGTGCAGAGGCCCCGGGTTCAATCACCTATGAGAGAGAGATAGACAGACAGACAGACAAAGACTGAGACCGAGACCGAGACCGAGACCGAGACCGAGACCGAGACAGAGACAGAGACAGAGACAGAGACAGAGACAGAGACAGAGACAGAGACAGAGACAGTATGAAACCAGATAGTGGAATTATCAATGAAACTTCCAAATAACTATGCTAAATATGTTCAAAGACATATAAAATAAGATAGAACTGGATATTGTAAAGAACCACCAAATGTAAATTCCGGAACTGAGAAATAAAGTAGAAATGAAGAACTTTGTAGATACATTTAACCTCAGATCAGGAAAATTGTTGAAGTGAAAGACAGACCATAAGAAAATACTTTTATAGCATAATACATCTATGAAGTGCCTGCTTTGAGCCTGGTCCAGGTTTTGAGTTAGGCTCTGGGGATACAGTAGGGAACAAAAGCTGTAGCCTCTGAGCTTGTGGAGGAAGCAGAGAACAGAAGGGTGGCCGCAGGTTGCAGTAAAGGCTGATGTGGTGGAGGGGCAGTGTGACAGAGAAATGGAGGGAGGACATATAGCCTGGGTAAGTGGTCAGCATGGGCCAGGAGGAGGAAGCGGTGATGCTGAGACAGTGCAGAAAGAGGAGCCTAGCAAACAAAGCACCTCAGACTGCTACCAAGTTCCAGTGTCACAGTGTTCTCTGAGGACTGTGCCCAGGGCCTAGTCCTAGTCACACAGAGGACAGGCAGGAAGGGTTTCCCTTTGCCAAGGAATGGAACACAATAGGAGTGGAGAGGAGAGTATTAGTGTGGCACTTTTGACACTGTCATCTGCCCTGAGTTTTTCATCCTCACAGAGGGAGGGCTTGATCTAATAGCATTGTAGAGCACTTGAGCTAAGTATTTATTTTTCCAGTGCAGGGTTTGAACTCAGGGGTTCTTGTACTCCAGGCAAGTGCTCTACCCTGAGCTACACTCCCAGTCCCTTTTACTTTATTGTGACTCACTGTCATGCTAAATTGCCCAGGCTGGCCTTGAACTTGTGACCTACTCTGCCTCAGGCTCCTTCAAAGGATGAGATTACAGATAAGCACCACTTTGCCCGTTCACTCATCCGTTCTTTTGTTCTTTCTCTCATTAATTTATTGACCCCTAGGGGCTGGGGATTTAGCTCAGCGGCATAAGTACCTGCCTTGCAAGCAGGCGGTCGTGAGTTCGATCCCCGATACCGGACTGAGTGGGGATCCCGTCCTTTGTGGAGCTGGTCTCCAGGAGAGTTTACCTTCCCCTGCAGCTAAGCAAGAAATCCACCCTGGCAGCAGGAGAGGCCAGTGAGGCGTGCAGGGAGCTGAGGACCCAGAGCTGGTTCCATGAAGGGGATGTTCGAGCTGTTCTAGAAGGATCAAGAGGGATTTTTCTCAAGTGGAAAAGGCCAGGGAGGATGTTCCTCTTGGAAGGAGAAACCTACACTCCGGAAACAGCCCGCTGATTTTTGGAACATGAAGAGTGTGAGGCAGGATTCCCAGTATGAGGCCTCCAGGCATCATGCTGAGCTGGGGATGGCAAGGACACTCCTAAAGGGTTGGCAGTGTGGGGTGCAGAAATGGGGAAGGTAGGAGAAATAGTTATGTTTTTATTCCCAGGGAATCCTTGCTGTCCTTTATTATTTGTCTTTCTATCCTAAGCTGCTGAGACTCAGTAATTTCTTTCTTTCTCTCTCTCTCTCTTTCTTTCTTTCTTTCTTTCTTTCTTTCTTTCTTTCTTTCTTTGTCTCCCTATGTAGTGCAGGCTGGCCCTAAACTCCCTTACATATCCCAGGCTGACCTTGAACTTGTGACGATCCTCCTGCCTCAGCTTCCCAAGTGCAATTACAAGTGGTTGCCAATCACTCCTGTCGATCTCCTTGACCCAGAGAGATCACAATTGATTAGGATCTCTCAGGAAATGACCTATATGCAGAATTGTTCACTGTGGGAATAGAAACTTTCAGAACCATCTAACCCCAGTGTCAGAAACGGCCCCCTCTCCCCAGCCAGGATCTTTCCACTACTATCGGACAGAGGAAAGGATAAACAACAGCTAGCTGAGCCCCAGCCCCGGGGAGCTCGGAGGTGGACAGCTTAGCTCTCACGGCCCTCCTCACACTCAAGCCTTAGATGAACATGAAGACCTTGGAAAGCTTTGCAGGCCTCCAAGGTGAAAGATAGAGAAATACATACAGGTTGGAAAAATAACTACTAGGTGAGCTCAGGCTCTTGCTTTCCTATTTTTGAAAAAACAATAATGTGAAAATATTATAGGAAACTTAAGTTATGCAATAATCTTATGGGGTATGTTCTATTTGTATCTGTGCTTTATAGAAATAGAAACTGAGGTTAGCTGGGCATTGGCAGCACACAGCTGTAATGCCAGCACTGGGGAGGCTGAGGCAGGAGGGTCACCACAAGTTCAAGGCCAGCCTGTGCTATATAGTGAACTCAAGGGCAGCCTGCACTATGTGGCAAGGCTTTGTCTCACAAAACCGAAAGAAAGAAAGAAAGAAAGAAACTCAAGTTAGGGAAGTAAAGTCATTGAGTAGCAACAGCCAGCTAGCAAGAGACAGGCCCCAGCAGACCTCATGGAGTTATTAAATCATGCTGGTCCTCCATACAATACATCCTCAATAAATGAAGGCTATTATTTTCCAAGCTTTTCTAGTGAGGATGTATGCTCTTATTGTCTGTGCGGCACTGGGTGTTGAACCTAGGGCCTCTGCACTGAGCTACGTTCCCAGCCCTTTTATTATTTTTTATTTTGAGACAGACTGGGTCTCACTAGGTTGCCTACGCTGGTTCCACCACACCTGGTAGAGAATGCAGATTTTTATCATAAGGTTCTGCCTTCCCCCAGTGAATATTACTTTTTAAAAACTCAAGCTGGCCTGCTAGGTTGGCGGGCTTGGTTTCTCTTCCAGAAACTACTTGTAGATGGCCGCTGAGTGTCTTTCTGCACACAAGGGAGGCAGACACAAATCCTGATGCCGGCAAATGCTTCTCATGTTTCCAATCTTCCTGAGGCTCCAGCCTCCCGCGCTCTCCCTGACCATGGCTCCCCTACAGCTTCCAAAAGCACGCCAGCATGACCTCTAACTTCTTCATCCTGGTATTTCAAAGGCCTCAGAAAACTGGGCATGGCGGCATGCCTGTAATCCCAGCCACTCAGGAGGCTGAGGCAGGAGGAGGACCCTGCTTCATAAAAACTAAAAAAGACCAACGATACAGCTCAGTGCTAGAGTGCCTTCCTACATGCAGCAGGATGTGGGTTTGATCCTCAGTACCACCAAAAAAGAAAAACAATCTTCTCTCAATCCGGAGAGAACTGCAAGGTAGAATCAAAAGAGGACTGAGCAAAAGTATTTATTGTAGAGCAAAAGTAGAACGCAGAATTTATTGTAAAGTGAAGGCAAAAAAACTCTTAAGCAAATGAAAAGGGTCCCTAGAGACTCTTGCCTAGGGGTTTTTATACCCAAAATGGATTTGTAATCAGGAAAGTGTGATGTAGAAGGGGGCCTACAGCAGCTAGGGTATGTAGCAGGCATAATCGTGCATTAATTACATAATTGCTATTAATTGTAACTTTAAAAAAAAAAACAGCTCATCTGGGGCTGGAGATTTAGCTCAGCGGCATAAGCGCCTGCCTTGCAAGCAGGCAGTCGTGAGTTCGATCCCTGGTACCGATAAAAAGGAAAAAGACAAAAGCAACAACAACAACAAAAAAACAGCTCATCTAATGAGACGTTTGTTCACTGAGCCTCCAAGTGACCTGGCCTTGCTCCTGCAGGTGTCCTTCACCAAATCCTTCTGACTTCCTCTCTGGCTCGGCCTCTGCCTGATGCCCTGGCTGTCTGTCCCATCCTGGACCTCCCTTTGCCAGAATGTTTTCCACGTGCCCCTCCCCTTGTGGGCCAGTGTCACTCTAGGAAATCTCATCTCCCACAGGGCCTTGTCCTTAACAATTACTCCTGGGAGCCTCTTGTTAGGTTAGGAAAATGACACCCAAACCTCAGAAAATGGCAGCTGAGCCCAACTTGCCAGCACCGAGGGCTGGTGGTTCCTGTTCTTCAAGTCTCTTATCTCTCTGCTTCCAAACCAGCTAGAGACAGAGAGAGAGAGACAGAGAGAGAGAGAGAGAGAGAGAGAGAGAGAGACAGACAGACAGACAGAGAGAGACAGAGAGAGAGACAGACAGACAGACACAGAGACAGAGAGAGAGAGACAGAGACAGAGAGAGACAGAGACATAGAGAGACAGAGAGACAGAGACACAGAGACAGAGAGCGAGCTTCCGGGGAACATCTATGCAGAGTTCTCCCATCTCTGCTCACATTTTTCAAACCCCTCCTTTGGCAGTGGGCCTGGATCATGCTTATCTTTGACTTCTGTGGTAACACGAAGAAGGACTTTTCTAGAAAGACCATGGATTCTAGAGGAAGATGGTTCTGTATCTGAATCTACTTTTATTGCTTCCATAGTATAACCTTGAGCAGGTCACTGCATTTCTCTGATCCCCCATTTTCTCAGTGCAAACCTCCTGAGGTTGGCCTGTGGCAGGCGGAAGGGGTGCAGTGAGCGGAGGGCTGTAGCTCAGTGGTGTGGCACCCACCAACCTGAGGTCCTGGGTTTGATCTCCAGTACAACTCTCCCAAAATGAAAACAGAAGTGGAAAATAATCTACTAAAGAGTGGTCTGAGGCCTTTGGGGGGAATTTGGTGATTGAACCTTGGCAAAAAGAAGTGGGTGCCTGAGGTTAAAACTCAGACCATCGGGGCTGGGGATTTAGCTCAGCGGCATTAGCGCCTGCCTTGCAAGCAGGCAGTCGTGAGTTCAATCCCTGGTACCGATAAAAAGGAAAAAGACCAAAAAAAAAAAAAAAAAAAAAAAAACCAAAAAAACCTCAGACCATCACAACTGGACATCTTGAGATGATGATTAATAGGAGAAACAAATTTTCTTAGGAGGAAACTTTTGAAAATGTACTCCATGTACAGGTGTTTTGAGTGGTATTTTGCATTGTTTCACTGATTCCTCAGTGTTCCTGTGGAGTATTATCCCCATTTTACAGATTGGAAAACTAAGGGGTGTGTTGGAGGACATCTAAATTGATGCTCTTAACTACCTGCATTTTTAAAAACTGCCTCTTGTTGCTCTGAGATTAGTGTAGCCCAGCATCTTAATTTTACAGATGAGGCTCAGGGTAGGGAAATTAAATATGAAGAAGTATAGGGGGATACCTTATCCAGTTCTTCCTTAAAGAAACTAGAATTTGATCTTCCTTAAGGTTGTTATCTAGTCAGGGAATTAGCAGGAAGTCAGGTGTGGTGACACACACCTGTAATCTCAGCACTCTGGAAAGCTAAAGTAGGAGAATCTCAAATTCAGGCTCAGCCCAGGCAATTCAGCAATCTAGCAAGACCCTGCCTAAAAATTTAAAAAATTTTAAAAGGCAGTGGGGCTGGCTGTTGTGGTGCACACCTGTAATCCTAACACTAGGAAGGCTGAGGCCTTGTATTTGAGGCCAGGCTGGAATATACACCAAGACTCTGTCTCAAAAATAAATAAATAGATAGATAGATAGATAGATAGATAGATAGATAGAGTGGGGCATGGTGATGCATGTCTGTAATCCTAGCATTCACTTGGGAGGCTGAGGCAGGAGGATTGCTACGAGTTCGAGGCCAGCCTGCGCTACAGAGTTCAAGGCTGTCCTAAACCGCATGGTGAAACCCTGTCTTAAAAGACAAAAATAGATAGAATAAAAAGGCTGAGAATGTATGAAGGCTTTATTAAATTCTATCTCCAGTATGAAAAAAAAAGCAGCAGAGAAATTCAGAAACATTTATCAAGTATTTGCATCACTTCCATTAATCACAAAACTACCCCCAAGAAGTAGTTTCCTCCGATATCAATTTAGCACAACAGTGGCAATGTCGGGGTCATGTATGCACGTGCAAGTGCTTCCAGCAAAAGGAAAAAGACAAAAAAAAAAAAAATTTCACCAATTTAATCCCAATCCCGGGGGTTCCCTGGAGCTTCTGGGCAGTGGAGTGAGGAAGATTTAGCACAACTCAGACCTGAAGTCAGCTCAGAGCAGTGGATTCTGGGATTTGCAGGATCCCAAAATAAATCTGGAAACAGCCGTGCCGGTACCCGCCTCCGCTGCCTGTTGGTTGCTCGGTTCATCAAATTAGCCAATGAGAAGGGCACAGGCCCTGGTCGCCAGGGAAACCGCGTGACAACAAGATGGCGGTGCCGGGACGGCTCGCTGTCCCTGTGCGGTGAGTCCTCGGCCTAAGGCCTTTCAGCTTTCAAGGTTCCCCTCAGGGGAGCCCTCGCCCCAGGGGTCCCCAGGGTCCCAAGGGCTTGCGACTTCCCGAGCTGGCTGTGCCAGTGGCGATCTGCGTCCCGGGAGCTTGTTCGGACCCCGCTCACCATGACTACGTACTGAAGCGCAGGCGGCGACGCGGCTCCCAGGGCGTGGTCAGGTTGTCATAGTGGATGCTAGCTCGTCCAGCGGGAATTAGGAAGACAAGGGGAACAGTCTGCAGTTCTGTTGGCGATAGGGCCTGCGGTTAGGAATAGGCCTACCAGCCAGGCGTGATGGCGCATGCCTATAATCCCAGCACTTGGGAGGTTGAGGCAGGAGGGTCGTTGCGAGTTCGAGACCAGCTTAGGTTACAAAGTGAGCTCAAGGCCAGCCTGAACTGCACAGCGAGACCCTGTCCCAAAAAGATAGGGGGGGGGGGAAAGGAATAGGCCGAGGAATTATGTCGAAGGATGTCAGTCAACCGTACATGGTTCTGTTTGATCCCAAAGAGTACATGCATAGGGTCTTAAGAGCCCCCGGGAGATAGCCACACCTTTAGGAGCTTTGGAATTGAGGGCAAGACAACTACCTTGCCCTGGAAACCCCCTCTTATGAAGAAAGTATACTAAAGCGTCCTCAGAACCAGGCTGAGGAAGGAGGAGAGAATCAATCCTGGCCTTCCCTGGCTGCGGAGACAGTCTTTGTCCTTAGGGGACTCCGAGAATCCAGATCCCTGTCGAATTGGCCGAGAATGAGACTAGAAGCAGAGCAGTTAGTGACGGGCTACTGTGACAGCCTCACAGAAAGTTCAGGGAGCATTGCATGGGGGGGGGGAGGGCAGCGGTGAGCACTGGACGGAGACGTCGCAGAATTTTGCCTCCAGGGTTTGATAACCGATGGAATTAAGAGGGAAGGGGAACAACTTTTTGTGGCTGGATAATGGGGTCCCATGAGGAAGGGCGAAAATGGAGGAGCTGATTTTGTGGGAAGATGTCGGGTTTAGTTTGGGAGGCAGTCTTAATTTTTTTCCTTTATGATAACTTTATTGGTGCATGATTCACCTGTACTTTAGCACTTGAAAGGGTAAACTTCAATCATTTTTAATAAATAGCCCATGTAAATAAGCAAATCTGTACAAACTAGATTAATGACTGCTTTGGACTAGGGGAGGGAATAGGGTGGGAACCAAAGGTAAATAGGGTGTGGGCTTCTGGTAAAAGATACTGGTCTTTTAGGCCGATGAAAGTGCCCTAAAATTGTGGTGATGGTTTGCACTACTCTGAATATATTAAAAACTGAACTGTGCTTTTAAAAGGGTGAAATCTATTAATAAAATAATAAAGCTATTTCTAAAAATATTACATATGATACGGCTCCATTTATATAATGTTCCTAAAGTGAGAAAATTATAGAGATGGAAAAAACGCGTAGTTATTGCCGGGGCTCAGGGTTGGGGAGGAAGGAGGATGGGGGTGGCCATAAAGATGAAGCAGGAGGAGGAGGAGCTGTGCAGGAGCAGAAGCCGTCTGCATCTTGATTGCCATGGTGGTTAATCCGCATGTACCCATGTGAACAGATGGCGTAGGCCCTCACACACAGACGGCACAACATGGTCACCTGCCTCATCTTCATACTGCGCTGCAGTTAGATCAAATGTAATTGAGGGAAATTAGGTGAAGGATACACAGGACATCTCTACAGTTTCCTTAAGTTCTTGTCTGTAATAACTTTAAAATAAAAAAGCTAGATTGTGACTAAAAAGCAAAATGAAAGGAAAGAGAAAAAAGTTAGTCTGGCCAAAAGAAGGGTGCGAGTAGGATCGGGGGTCCATTCTGAGAGATTTCCAGGCAAGTGGAGCTTCAAGTGGGTTTGAGGCGCTGCCAGCCACTCACTGGCTCAGGTACAGGTGGGGGGTGAGGAGGGGGATGAGACGAGACACAGATTGGGACCAGATCACCCGTATGAAGGACTTCGTAATTTTTTGCGTGGTGGGGGGTACTGTACAAAACCTGATGTGTGAGTTTTGTGTTTTGAGTTCTCTGGCAGCAGGTAGAGATGGATAAGGGAACCATAACAGGCCATGCTCGGCCACTTAAATCATCAAGGTGTCCAGACCACACAGGGCAGGACAAAGAGAGGGGCGGGGTGGCAGATTGAATTGGGGGTGGTGAGGACACTGGGCTGGCCCTTGGGGGAGAGCTCCTCCTGAGGAGCAGGCAAGGCCTGACTCTCACACCCAGACAGGAAGCCTGGCAGCTGTTCTTGCTAGGCAGCCTCAGGGTTAGTGTGGAGGCCAGTGCCACTCTTTCCAAAGTGGAACTTTCTGGGTTTACCCTAAAACTACATTGTTCAGACTCTTCCTGATGAAAGACTTTTCTGGGGCTTTAGGGTTTCTAAGTATAACATTTAACACACATTGAATAGAATAGTGGCCTTTAGTTGTGTCCCAAATGTGCATTCCTCTCTCCAGAAAGAAGAGGGGAGGGAGGGAAACCAGCGTGTATGAGCGCCTGGTTCTGTGTGCCAGTAACATGACCCACACAGCCACAGTATTGTTTGTAAGTGCTTGCTTTGAGCATGGCACTGGGCTCTGCTTGCTGTTTCCTCCAAATTCCTCAACACTGGCTAGATCGTTACCATCTTAGCTCAGAGGAACTGAGGCGCCAGGTGCACTATGGGTGGCAAAACCTGTGCAGAACCCCGGGCTTATGATTGCCACATCATGTAGACTGTGTATTCCTTAGTGCGTGTCTGGGGGCTGCCACCTCTTACTGGGCAATGTTGGGGGAGGCACCTGGGTAGAGGGGTACTGGGCTTTATGTCAACCAGCATGATGGAGGGACGAAAGCCCAGGCCTCCTTGGGTAGCATTGCATTTAGGCTCTAGGTTTGAAGAAGCCCCAGGCCTCTGATCCAGCTCTGTACTTTGCCCCCCTTGCGTAGCCTTTATCAGGCGACTGCAGGGTTCTGCGGTCAGAGTACCCAGAGGAGTAGGTACATGTTGCAACCTCTTCCAGGCACTGGAGGAGTAAAGGGTGCTGCTCCCTGGGAAATGCTTTCTCTTAGGAAAAGGACACAAATAGGAGAACCTTCAGGCCACCCCCTGGACCTGAATCCTCAAGTCCCCTCTGTCCCCAGGGTTGACTTCCCTCTTTCCTCTCAGGGTGTTCCTGATAGGTAGCATCTAGACTAGAACTATGAGCTCACCTCTGGCCTCCCTTAGCAAGACCCGGAAAGTGCCCCTGCAGTCGGAGCCTGTGAACCCTGGGTAAGGAGCTGACCTCATGGGGTCCTTGTCACCCTGCCTGTCTCCTCTGTGACCCCTCTTCCTGTTGGTGTTATTGGGGAATACAAAAAAGAGTCACATAACTTCTCCAATCTCTGTCTGTCTCTGTCTCTGTCTGTCTGCCTCCCCCTAGACCCCTGCCCCAGTACTAGAGATTGAACCCAGGGCCTTCACAGTGAGCTACATTTTCAGTGCCCCCCACTTTATATTTTGAGACAGTATTGCATTAAGTTACATAGGATCTCATGTAGTTTCTCAGTGGCCACTTGCCTCAGCCTCTCTCCGTGCTGGGATCCCAGGCAGGCACCACTTATAAAGGGGCCAGCACCAACCCTTTTTGAATTTTTTAAAAATAATTTATGTATGACTGTTTTGAGACAGAGTCTCACTATGTATTTTGGGCTGGTCTTGAACTTGCAACAATCCTCCTGCCTTAGCCTCCTGAGTGCTGGAATACAGGCCTGTGCCACCACATCTGTTCCTTTCACTATATCCCTTCCTCTGGGAAACGCCCCTTTGTGCTGACCATAAACTGTTTTGCACCTTTCTGGAAGATTCAGGCCCTGGAGGGGTGGCTCGGTGTCTGTCACTGTCCACTCTTCTGCAAACACCAGTGACCTGATGACCCTGGGCCAGGCTGCATGAGGAACTGTCGGTAAAGGGACTCATTTATATCTGTTTCACACTTTCATCTTCAGAAAGATGCCTTGTTTCCTTCTTGATCTTCTAAATACTGCTTGGAGCCATTCAAGGTTAAGGCTGTCCAGAGAGGTTAAGCAACAGGTCAGGTGTCCCACAGCCACTTTTGAGCAGAGCGAGCACCCCAGTGTGGGCTTTGCTACCCTGGTCTGTCCCACATTGTGCAGCATTCTCTCCACTGGGAGGAGCTGGCATTGGGAAGCAGGTGGCTTGGCTCATGTGGCTGGGGCTGGGCTTGGGGCTGGATGTCCTCGGGAAGCAGAGCCCCTGCCTGCATCTCTGGCTGTGGCTGGAGCCCGGGGCTGGTGGCATTAAGGGGGTCTTAACCCGTGTTTCTTCCTTCTCCTTTCTGCCTGGCTTCCCAGGAGGCGAGGGATAAGAATCTACGGAGACGGTACGTGCAGTTTGGCCTCATGTCCTCCCTGCCTCCTGCCTGCCCGGACCTCCTCACAGCTGGGCAGATGGAAAGGAGACCCGGGGAAGGCCCCTTTGGCAAAAACTGCTTACCAGCTGCCACACGCTGTGCAGCTGCCAGTCCCTCTCCGTGCGGCCTGGGTTTCCCTCACACTTGATCCCTTTGACCCACTCCCATGGCCCCCCAGGTCCCTGTGCCCACAATACTTCCCTGGCCCCTGTAGGCTCAGCATTTGGATCCCAGCCCCACTTTCGCCCCACCGTGGAGCTGCTCAGGTCCCCTGGAGAGGGGCTGGGAGAACTCGTAAGAGGCCCATTGTGGTTGGACTCTTTCTCCTCCTGCCTCTGGGGTTTTGTGTCTTCATAGTTGTGGGGCACAGTGTACAGCTGCTTCACCCTGGCTGGGGCCCAGCTCCTGAGCTCCCTTCAGGCCTTGGTCCCAGAGCAGTGACCTGGGCATCCCTGTCTGCAGAAGATGAGGTGGACATGAATGATGGACCTGACTCTGAAGAAACGATCTCTGTCCCTTCCCACTATGGCAGCATAGCTGCCCCTGAGAGGAGCCAAGGTGAGAGCAGAGGCCTAGAGGGGACTGGGTCTTGGCTATAGGAGGGGCCCAGACAAGTGAGAGTCCCTGGAAGCCACAGCTCCTCCGCTCACCTGCTGGGTCTGATGCAGCTGCTCCCACTCCTGGTCGACCATGGCCATCTACCTGTAGCCTCCAGCCTGTCCTGGACCTGGTTTGGCCATGCCCCTGCCCACCTTCCTCCAGCCAAGCTAGACTGTAGTGGAGGCTCTAGAGACCCCATCAAGTGTGATGTCTGGAATTACAGATCAGAGAGGGAACAGGACCTAGGGAGGACTAGCCCCTGGCTGCCTGCTTCTTGTGTTTCTAGGGTCCAGATGGGCCTAGGGTCCCCTAGGTGGCCCATTACGCCTGGCCCACAGCATCTGCAAATGGAATGACCAGGCTGCTTCCCAGAGGAGGGAGGAGGGAACAGGTCTCATGAAATGGGACCCTGAGTGGGGTGAGGTGGCCTGTGTGTGGAGCAACGGGTGGGACCAGAGTCTGAGCTGGGAGGTGGGGAGCTGGGGATAAGATCAGAACTTTCCAGCAGCTGTGCTATCTCCAGCAAGCACTTGACCTCTAGGTGAAGTGGGAGTGGGAGCCCCCAGGCCACAGTGTTGGCTGGGACTCGATGATTGCACTTGACAGAGCCCGGAGTCAGTACTGGCCACACAGGCTGCTCAGAGGGGTGGCCTCGTATTAGGAAGTCAACAGAAGGAAAGAACTTGGAGATGCTTGATCAAATCCCCAACCTGTGCAGAGGAGACAGGACAAGCCTATCCCAAATCACACAGCCACTTAACCCACAAAGCCAGGATCTCCTGCACCCAGCAGAGATCATTTAAACAGTAACCACAGCAACCAGCTCCTCCTCTTAAAGATGCTGTGTGTCCTCTGCTTTTCCTGTCACTCTTTACCCCATTCCTGACCAGAGACTGTCCCCACCAAGGCCTAAAAAAGGACCTAGCTGTCCTGTTTCACTTTTCTGCTGAGCAGCTTCCGACCCGTCCCATTCCCTCCTGGGAGTGCCCTGACCCTGGCTGCCCTGTTGCCTGCCACTGCCAGGGTCTTCCCTCCTGGCTCTCTCTGCCAGCACCTCCTTTTCCCTGCAGCTTTTCAGTGTGGATGTTCCTGCTTGGACTCCTGTCTCTCTCCACTCTGCCCCAGTGACCGCATGCACGTTCTGTGTGCTCACAGCTCCCGGGAGAGTGCTTGTCTCTCAAGAAGCTTTTGACTACACGTCAAAGAGGGCCCTCACTTAGCCAGCATGAGCAGCAGGGAGATTTGTTATCCTGTGTGCTGAGAAGCCCTGGGGAGGCAGCTCCAGGGCTGGGAACTCAGTGACTGAGAGGTATCTCCCAGAGTTCAGGTTTCTCTGTCTGCCCCTGAACCACCTCTCATCCTGCAGTCGCATGACAGTGGTTGCAGTGCCAGCCTCTAGGACAAGGACAGTGACAAGAATGGCTGTTTAAAAATAGAAAAAAAGAATGGCTGTTTATTTCTTCTTCTATTTTTTTTATTTCCATCTTTGTTTTGAGACAGGATCTCACTAGATAGTCCAGACTGTCCTTGAACTCACTAAGGAGTCGGTATTGTCCTCGAACTGGCTAATCTACTGCCTCAGCTTCCTGATCACAGGCATGCTCCGCCATGCCCAGCTCTCCTAAACGTTTTATTTTGAATTTTTTTCAGTATACACTGAAATAATAGCACAGTGAATATTCCTGCATCTCCCACTTCTGTACCAACTGACGGTGTGTTACCACGCTTGCTTCTCTCTATCTACACCTGTGGATGAATGTGAATGTGTTTTGGTGAACAATTTAGGAGTAATTTGCAGAGGTCATGACGTTTCATTTCTACTTTGATTTGTTTTCTAAGAATTAGGAAATATGATGCATGCTGGTCATCCTGGCACTTGGGAGGCAGGAGGATCGTTGCAAGTCTGAGACCAGCCAAGGGTACAAAGTGAGCTCAAAGCCAGTCTGAACTGCACAGTGAGATCCTGTCTCAAAAAAAGCCAAAAAAAAAAAAAAAAAAAAAAAAGAATAGGGAAAATCACAATGTTGCTATCACCCTTACGAGCATGAATAATTCATATAACTCTAACCTTTATCTCTTCCACATTTAAATCTCCCTTGAGTTTCAAAATCTCTCTTAGAACACATTTCCTTCCCCATTTAGCACCTGAAAGTCATGCACCCCACTGTACCTCTTTAGCACAGTCTCCCTGTCTTGTAAAACAGTGACTCCCAGCATGCATCTTGCAGGAGGCCCCCCACTGGGGCGTTGCCTGTTGGTTTTCCCATGGTGCTGTGTGCCTGCTCCCTTTTCCACTGCACTGCCTGCAAACTGGAGAGTAGATCTGGAGGCTTGATTAGATTGGATTTAAGATAATCTTTCTAACAAGACTTCAAAGTGATACAGCCCACGGATTGTACCGTTCACTCAGACACTTAAGGCACTTAATGGACTCAGGTTCACCAAAATGGCTCATTTACCTCATGGGCACATTGCATGGATTACATAAGCTGATCTATATAGATTCAAGTAGTCCGTGTCTTGTGAGTTAACTGCTGTTAGTACGTTCATTTCTGTTTTTGGGACCCTTTCCCTCTCCCTGGGGCACCTCACCCCAGCTTTACTCCAGACCTGGGCTCCAGAGGCTGTCTGCTCTGCAGGCCCTGGCTTCCCAGAGTCGGAGCTGATGACCTCCATGACAAGGAAGATGCAGGAGCTGGAGCAGCAGGTGCAGGCCCAGACTGACGAGATACTGTCCAAGGTAGGACCCCAGGTGGGAGGGCCCGGGGGGTGAGTGCTGGACCTGGCAGGGTAGGTTCCAGGGCCATCTCATCTACCTAGCTGCCTAGTGTGGTGGCTTGGGGTGGCCCAGGATTGACCTGGATCCCTCTGACTTCAGCAGAAAGGCTGGAGTCTTTGGTGCAGCTGACTAGGGTCTAGCAGGTCTGGAGCCAGGCGGAGCAGCAGGCTGCTGAGCTGAGCTGCTCCATAGCCAGTGGGTCTCCTGCATGGCTGCACCTTCCCCTGCCTCAATGGGACTGCAAGAGGCATCTCAGGCTCAGGAGCAGTGGCAGGCCAAAGATGGTGGTGGCAGGGCTCTGAGCTGCCTAGTTGCCTCACATAGGCAAAAATTCTGGATCCTGTCATTGGAAGGCCAAAGGGACACACCAGACCTTGAGTTTACCCTGTGTCTCATTGCTGCAGGACCAGAAGATCCTGGCCCTGGAAGAGTTGGTAAAGACCCTCCAGCAGCACCAGGGTAAGAGACCTGGGGCTCAGCACCTCCCTTGAGCCTGTGGCTTTTGATAGTTAGGACAGTGACCCTGGGCACTGGAACTCAAGAGCATCAAGAGATCTGGACAGCTTGGCCTGCGGAGAAGCAGTGACAGCTCTGGGACAGTGCTGCAGCCACCCAGTGCCCCCCTATATACGACAGTCCCTTGCTACAGGGCACCTCATCCAAAGCTCCAAGGGGAAGAGTGGCCCCTCAGGAGTCGGTGCGCTGCCCAGGATGAGAGATGAGGGAGCAGAACAGCAGTTCTTGGGGATCCTTTGGGGCAGAGTACCTGGCAGGCTCTGGTTTGGGGCAGCTGAGGCACCCCCTCTTCCCCTGAAGGTGAAGTGACCATGCAGCGGCAGGAGGAGCTGGAGACCTTGTGCACACAGCTGCAGCGGCAAGTCGGGGAGATGGAGGTGAGCAGAGCTTGGTGGTGGTGACCCACTTGCACTCACTATGGAGCCCTGGCTGACCTCAAACTTGTGGCAGTTCTCCTGTCTCAGCCTCTCATGGTGGGCCTACAGGCATGCACCATCCAATCCAGCTTCCTCTTTCATCTCGACCCATGCTCCCTGTGAACACCAGTGCCTGTCCTCTATCTTTTTTTTAACATATAGAATTCTCTCCCAGGATCCTGGGCCGTGCTGTTGTTCCCTCTACCTGAAGTGTTTTTCCCACATTTCCCTGGCAAGTTTTCACTCATCCTCAGTCATTTTCTCAGGGACCCTTCTGGCCTCTGACTAGGGCAGGTTTCCTGTTTTCTGCTTTCTTTTTTTGTACTAGTGATAGAACCCAGAGCCTTTGTACTGAATGCATTTCCAGCTCCTTTTTTCTTTAACTTATTCATAGATTGCTTTTTTTGGACAGGCTATGTAGTTTAGGCTGACTTTGAACTCACTATGTAGCCCAGGATGGCCACGAATTTGTAGCCATCTTCCTGCCTCAGCCTCCCAAGTGCTGGAATTACAGATATGTGCCACCATTCCCCATTAGGCCGTTTTCTCAGTGCCTCATCTCTCTTCCTGCTGGGTTGTGAATTCTACTAGGGAGAGACCACTCAGGCCCAGTCCTGGGTCATCTCCTGCCTCTGAATGTGACCTATTACTTACCCTCCAGTGACTCGGTCATCTCGGGTGCTTTCCTATTCCCATTGCATACCTAGTCAAACATCAGGGCTGGATACAAGGAAGGGCACAGCTTCCTCAGCAGCCCACCCCTCCACTATCCCTGTCTCGAGTCCTCCAGCAGCCTTTCCCTCTGCAGAGTGGGGTTCTAAGGCTTTGGCCTCACTGTGTGGCCCAGGCTGGCCTCATCTTCCGGCCCCGTTCACGGTGACCCTGTTTGTACTTGGCTAGAGCCAGGGTAACACAGCTGCTCCTGAGATGCCAGCTGGGAGTGCAGGGCCCATGGGGCCTCGCTGAGCAGCTGCACTGGGCAAAGTGCTGCGCCTCAGAGCCCCAGAGGCACCACTGGCTCACACATGTCTCCTGCTCACCGTTCTTGCTTCGGTAATTTCACAGGCTCCAAGTACCTACCGTGTGTCTGGCATGCTGTCAGGCACTAGGTACAAAGAGTCGTGGTCCCCACTCTGTAGCAAGAGGGAGACAGAACCAGGTATCCAGAGAGGACACAAATGTGGGACACAAGTGTGTCAAAGTGTAGGGAGTAATGAAATTGGTGACATCATAGAGACAAGTTGGGGGATGGGCCACTGTGAAGGGGGCCTCAGGTGTGAGACCTGGTGCATAAGGAGAGGATGGGGGAGAGGATCCAAGACATGAGAGGCCCCTCCTCCAGCCAGGTACAGGTGGCCACGAGCAGGGCAGCGAGGGAAGCGTGAGAGACAGGCAGAAGCAGCCCAGGATTCTGCTGGGACGGAAGGGGAAGTGGCTGGGAGGCTTCCATAGAGGAGACCAGGATGGAAGGGCTCCATGCTGTGTGGGGTGGTGGGAGGCAGGGGCCAGTGGCCCTGTGTCCAGGAGAGCGGTGGCACAGCAGCTTGGGCAAGGGAGCTGGAATGACAGGGACAGTTTGAGCCACTTTGGAGGTGGCACCTGTGGGCCTTGCAGCTTGTCACAGTTCTACAGGAGAGAGCAGACTGGGTCATGGATGATGCCGAGGTGGAGGAGGTACAGCTTCTAGGACAGAGGAACCAAGAGGGAAGAAGGTCTGGGAGACGCACACAGGGAGCCAGGACGGTGGGTGTTTGCAGGGTTAGGGTTAGGGTTAGGTTAGAGGTGGGATCTGCACTGAAGGTGGATTTAAGTTCTCTGTTTATATTTGGAAGTGATCAAGAACCATAGAGTAGAGTAGAGATGGGGACCCTCCTGGGCCAATGCGGTAGAAATGGGGAACCAAGCCGAGTATAGTGACACATCTTGTGATCTCAGCTATTTGGGAGGCTGAAGCAGGGGGATCCCATGTTCAAGGCAAGCCTGTGTAAATTTCGGAGATCCTGTCTCAAAATAAAAGCCAAAGGGCTGGGAATATAACTCAGTGGGAGGCTCTGGATCCATGCCTCAGCACCACCAGAAAAGACAGAGAGAAACAGCAAAGGAAATAGTGGAGGGGCAGCCCATGGGTAGGAGGAGGCCCAGCTGGTGTTGAAAGAGATGAAGGCAGAAGTGCGTCCCCTCGATTTGGCAGCAAGCAGTTGTTGCTGGCTGCACCATGTGCAGGTCGGTGAGCTGTGGAGGAAAGAAGGGGCCCTAAGGAAGCCGCAGCAGGGGTGGAGACAGTTTGGAAGTTTTTCTTCTGCAGAGGGGAGGTAAGGCCTAGAGAAGCTGGCCTGGGGGGTGGGGACCAGGGTGTCCCTGTCACCTTATGTCAGACCAACAGACATAATGAGTTCCCCGGGTGCCAAGCCCTGTGCCAAGGCCTCCCCACAAGCTAATGGGGCAGGTGCTGTCACTTCCACATTGAAGAGGAGCCCGAGGCTGCAAGAGGTACAAGGCTTTGAAGGTCACAGCTGGGAAGTGGCCAGGGCCCCCCACCCCATCCCTTCGCTGATTCTGGGCTGAAGACCGACCGAGCCTGGGATTTGAGCTGATGCTGCTTTTTCCCTGGGAAGGGGCTGAGCTGACAGAGCCCTGGGCTCTTGTTTCTCCCCAGCGGTTCCTCAGTGACTATGGCCTGCAGTGGGTGGGCGAGCCCATGGACCAGGAGAACTCGGAGGACAGGACAGGCCCAGAGGATCATGAGAAGGACTGGATGATGGCCAAGAAGTTCTGGAAGCCAGGTAGAATAGCAGGAGCACCTGAGCCTTCCAGGGGCTCTCCAGTGGGGTCCTGTTGGCCAGCCTTCTATGGAGACCTTTCATTTATGCCTGGCCTCAAAGCAGGCGGGGCCCCTGTGGGAACCCACACTTGCTCCTGACCCAGGAATGGGAAAAGGGAGGCCTCTAATACTGCCCATCCTACCTGTCACCCGTCGTCCCCTCCATTTTGCCTCCATCTCTGCTTGCCTGTCAAAAATTCCAGAGAGCCAGGGATGCCAGACGTAGTAAGATGCATTATCTCGGGCTCCATAGTTTACAAAATGTCACCCCTCTAAAAGTATTGCTTAGGGCAGTCTTCCAGCCAGGTGTGATGGTCCAAGCCAATAATCCAAGCCTTCTGGGGTGTGAATCAGGAAGAGCCTGACCTTGTTTCAAAATAAAACAAGGTCAAAATAAAAAATAAAAAGGTTTGGGAAAGTAGCTTAGTGTGAAGACTCTGCCAGTGCCACAAAAATAAATAGGTGCAGGAATGTTGCTCAGTCATAGGATGCTTGCCTTTGTACTAGGGAGGGAGAGGAGAGGAGAGAAGAGACAGAATCAGGCAGCAGATGAGGTGATGTTGGTGAGGGGTGGATTGGTGAACAGGGGCAGAGAGCAGAGCTTGAGAAGGTGGTGGTCATGCCTTGGTGATGGTGCGCACAGACTGACAGGAGGACTTGGCCAGGCCAGCAAGTATGGCTGTGGGAAGATGGCTCCTCTGTGTGGGACACAGCAAGCTGGGGAGCCGTGTGCCCCAAGAGGTGCTGAGGGCAGAGTTCACCAGGGACCTGGGACCCATGGTTGAGAAGTGACCCCCTAACGGGTGCTGTGAGAATGTCCTGGGTCTAGGACCATGTGCTCCCCCATCTTGCTGGAGAGTCTCCTTCTTCCTGGCCACTGGGGACGTCCAGGCTGGAGGGTGTGTGTGTGGTGCAGACCAGATGGTTGCTTTCTGGTTCTGCCTTGCTGAGCTACTCATCTTCCCCCAAAAAAGAGCACCTTCCAACTTGCTTTTCTTGGTTGTCAGTACTCTAAGCAAGGCTGGTTCCAAAGCCAAGCTTTCAGTCTAAAAAATTCTGTGGAAACTAATTCAGGTCCATCATGGAGCTTCCTGGCTACAGGGACTTCTGCTTCCTTACTTTTTGTTTTGAGACTGAGTCTGACTATGTAAGCTAGCCTCAAACTTGAGGCAGTCTTCCTGCCTCAGCCTCCTGAGAGCTGGGATTGTGGGTGTATGCTACAATGCCTGACTTGCTTTTCAACATAAGAGGGGCTTTGATTTAGCTAGATGAAGATGTGTTTTCCCCCAAGGGCCCTTTGTCCCCAACCCTGACTTTTGCTGGCCTGAGGCTCTGTCTTGGTTCCCTGGTTCCTTTCTGTTAGATAACTCTCCCCAGGCACTCTGGGACAGTGGCCGATGAATGAGCATCATGATTGTAGGAGGAGGTGATTAGAATGTTCTAGAGTTGGGGGTTCTTGCTCCAGGAAGGAAAGTCAGTGGCACTTAGGAAAGGGCCCAACAGAGAGGTAATCTGGTCCCTCACATCCTCTAGGATGCTGAGCATCATACAGGGTGCTGTGCTAGGTGCTTCAGGGTATGTGGAGGCACAAAAGGGACAGTTCTGCTCTGGTCAGGAATTGGTGCTAGAGCTCCCAGCATTCCTGAGAAAGCCACGCCTCTGTCCTTCCTGTGCTCGCATCCTTCTGACTCCAAGGGCTGCTGAGCACATGGAATGAGAGAGCTCCTGCCCGTGGGGTGCTTCTCATGGCATTTGTGATAATGACCCTGATGACTAGCCCAGGTTACTTAATTCTTCGTATGCCCCAGCGCACTTGGCACAGGGCTTTCTTGGCATGGAAGCCAATGTCTACATGCCTGCGTGTAGACACGTCCAGTATCCCCAGGCCTGGATCATCAGGGCACAGTGTAGACCGCACACAGAATGAGGTGGGAATATGGGTAGCACTGACCTCAATGCCCCAGCCCAGGCAAGCTGCAGGTGGGATCCTGCAGGCCTGAGGTCAAACCCCTCTTGGCACAAGCTGGTTGTGTGCTCTGGCAACAACCAGACTCTCGGAGCCTCTGCTCTGTGTTGGCTCCTGAGGAGCTTCGGGAAGAGTCCCCAGAACAGTGGGTGTGGCTTGCAGACACGTGGTGATAGCAGTCCATTTCCTGTTGTAAGAGTCTTTGCATGGTGGTGGGGCTGGGGAAGCAGAGTACCTGAGAGAGGCAGGGGCACCTGGCGCTATGACAGCAGGGGTCCTCCCAGAAAACCTGCAGAGCCACCACCCACCCGACAGTGGCAGGGTCTAGGATTGTTCTGGACTTCACAGTACATGGTGACCCTTACACCACATGCCACTGTCAACTGTCTGTCATCCTGTATCCTTCACTGGGTATGAGCTTCAGGAGAGCAGGCGTTTGGGCACGAGTGCTGCCATGATGTGCGGGCCCAGCTGACTATGTGTGTTCCAGATATGGGCGCATGAACTGATGGAGGGACAGAGGGACCTGAGCACCCACCTGGCCGGCCTGTGTTGAAGGAGTGGCCAGAACAGTTGAAAGGCAGCAAAACAAGCATAGAGTAACAACAGCCTGCCACAGGGCAAAGGCATGGGCTCAGGGGCCCCAGGAATCCAGCCCTGCGGGAAAGAGGCAAGGCAAAGCTCCTCTGAGGAGGTGAGGGTGGGTGAGCTGACCTGAGCCAGTGATAAGAGGAGTCGGTGACACCAACAGCTACCATCTGCCAGGCACTTCCTCCCAGCCTTCCAGCAGCCCTGTGAATCAAGGACAGCTATTGCCCATGTTTTACAGAAGAGGATGTTGAGGCTCAGCGGGGCCTGCCTGCCCAGGGTCACAGAGCTGAGGGCAGCAGCCCTGGACAGTGTGGTTCCAGGGCTGGAGGAAGCATGCTGAGGGTGGCTGGCTGGAAGGCCTCCGTAGGCCTATGACAGTGATGGGCTCTCAAAGTTAGGGAAGGCCTGGGAAGTGATCTCCTGGCTGTAACCTACTCTAGCAAGAGACCCTGCTGAGCATTGTCCTAAGAGCTAGCACTGAGCAGCAGCCTTCAAGGTCACTGAGAGCAGAGGCTGAGTCACCATGCAAGCTGCATGACCCAAAGCATGTGTGTCAAGGCACCACGCTCCTATCTGTGAAAGGAAACGATAACGCCCACCTCAGGAGAGCTAGCACAGGCAGCTCTGGGCAGATGTGGCAGGACAGGGCCCCGGCTGCCCATATCAGAGAGGAAATACTGCCACACCACAGGCCTGCCACTGCTAGGGCAGAGCAAGGGCTGGCGCTCTGGTCTCTTCCTGTGTGTGTCCCACTCACCTCTCTCCTGGCATGGGCTGGGCCTCCGCTGCACACCCCAGGTACTGGGGCCCACTGGCCTCATGACTGCGTGTGACTCTTCTCCTCTTTCCTAGGAAGGGCTCTCCCACTGACTACACCCCCAGCCTCCAGGGTCCCTTTGGACACTCTCCCCAGGGCTTCTGCCTGACCCCTTCCCTGGAACTCCTACCCCAGGAGGGTGCTTGGAGCAATGGCAGAAGCACTGTGTTAGGAGTCAGTGTGTCTCAATGCTACTCCTGACTCTGCTCTGTTGACTGGACCAAGCCCTTGACCTTTCTAGGCCTCACTTCCCTGGCTGGAGGAAGAGTAGTGGCCTTACAGGAAATGGCATTTAAAAAAAAGTTTTATTAATTTGTTCCTCACCCTTTCCTTCTCCCTTTTCTTTTTCTTTCTTTTATGGTACTGGGGATTGGGCCCAGGGCATTCCCACTGAAGTATGCCTCTAGTTAATTTGCTAATTGCCTAGGTTGGGTTGGCACTTGCAATGTTCCTGCCTCAGCTTCTCTGAATACTGGATTATAGGTGCGGGCCACCATGCCCAACTTTATGCTAATTTATGTGTTTAGTGTTTATGTATGTATTTGAGAAGGATCTTACTGTGTAGTTCAACCTGGCATTGAGTTCACTATGTAGGCTGGCCTTGATCATAGTGACCCCCCTGCCTTCTGAGTGCTGAGATTACAGGCATGTGCCACCATACCTGGCTAGTTTATTCCTAAAGTAGTTAATTGTTAAAGGAAAATAATGTTTTAATATCATTTGGAACCATACCAAGGATGACCAGCACATTCTGTCCTAGAATCACAGGGACTCTGGGGGACCCCAGGAGAAAGGGGGCAGGTATAGCCTCTGCAACAGTAGCAGATGATGGGAGGGGGAATGTCTGGCCCAGATGCCATTTTGTATCTGCAAAGCTGACAGGAAATACAACCATCTGCATTTGTACTCCTTGGCACAGCCGCCACAGCACTGTGAGGAAAGAAGTTGGGTCTCCAGAGCCCTGAACCGTATCCTGCTACAACCGGGCTGTCCTGGTCATAGATAACTTCCAAGAAGGCCCACAGAGTCATCTGTGCAGGGAGGGGCACACCCCAAAGACTGACGAGCAGGTCCTGGCCTGTCCCCAGCCAGCATCTCTCTCGCCTAGCACTCCTGCTGCTCTAGCATCTGTTCGGACAGTCCCTACCATCCTGTCCACACATCCTGAAGTGTATACATGCTTGTATGGGTAACACCATTTCTAGGAGGCTGAAGCTTTGCAGATGTGCAAGGGGATCTGTTGCACAGAAATACTTGCAGAGCCTATGGCCTGCCTCATATCTGTCCTGTCCAGCAGCTGCCCCAGCGTCCCCCTAAACAGCCATTTGCCTTTATCTTTGACCTCCTCCTCTTGATGGTATATGAGTGGGAAAAACAGACTCCATCTTAAATCCTGAGTTATCCTTTGACCTGCCCAATGGGCTGGGGCAAGTCATTTTTCATCTTTTCCCCTGCTTTCTCATTCGTAAAATGGAGATAAGTAGCCCCTGCCTCATAGCCTCAGGGGTGCATAGGGACCATTTGTACTAGGCAGAGCTGGTGGCAATCTAATGAGGACAGAGTGCTTCTGAGTTGGCCTTACATAGTCATCTTCCTGGAGCCTTCCAGCCCCTTGGGGGGCAGACACAATTGTCATTTCATTCTAGAAGAGAATGTTCTTTTCTCTAGAAATCTAGAAATGATTTGCCTAAAGTCATGTGAGTGGAAGTGGAGGAACTGGGACTTGAACCTGAAAGCCTTCATCCAGATGTGGGAACTCTGTCCTTTGATTTTCAGAGTTCAGCTCCTGACACACATTAGGAATCAGACCTTGCTTCTGCCACTTATTGCTGTGCATTGCTGAGCAAGTTGTTTACTCCTGCTAAACCTGTTTCCTTATCTGGAAAATAGAGGTTATAATCCTTCTAGTGTAGGGTTATTAGGAGGGTTGGGTGGGTACTAAATCTCTGGCACAAAGAAAGTAATCAGTGAAAGACAGCTGTTACTATCTAGTGTTAGTTATCCTTCCTTTTCCTCAGGTGGCCACTTAAGGACATAGGCCAGTGTCCAGCCTAGGAGGAGGCCACTAAAGCTGTTAGGATACATGGCAGCCATGAAGCTCATGGCTGTCTATCATCTTTGCCAGGGGATTCATTGGTGCCTCCTGAGGTGGACTTTGACAGGCTGCTGGCCAGCCTGAAAGATCTCAGCGAGCTGGTGGTAGAGGGTGACACACAGGTGATTCCAGTTCCTGGTGGGGCACGACTCCATGCCCTTGAGCCCATCCCGCTGAAGCTCTACCAGAATGGCATCGTGATGTTCAATGGGCCCTTCCGGCCTTTTCACCACCCTGCCACACAGGTAGGAGTGGGGGTGAAGCTCCGGGGCCCCTTCTACCTATCATTAATCAGAGATGGTGGAGCCAGCTCATGCCAGGCCCAGCCTGGCTTCCACAGGTCCCTCGGTCCCCACTCAAATCCCAAGGCTCTGAGTATTTCCAGAGTGTGAGGCCCTAGGCTGGGGCACTGTCCAGATCCAGCTGGCACTGCCCTTCTTCCTACTGCAGCGCTGCCTTCGGGACATACTAGATGGCTTCTTCCCTTCAGAGCTCCAGCAACTCTACCCCAATGGAGTTCCCTTTAAGGTGATAGGCTGCTCCTCAACCTGACCCTTTGCTGTGTGGGGTTCTGGACAGAATGGGGATAGCTTCCTTGGGCACAGACATTTGGAAGGGAACCACAGCCTGAACCAGGGGACCCCAGGGAGATGAAGTCCAGGAGGAAAGTGAGCCTGAAGAGGACTGCGGAGTGAGCTGCCCCAGCCAGTGTTGTGAGATTCCCCAGGCTGAGCAGTAGGCAGCGCCCTCTGCTGACATGCTGAAGGCGCAGCCTTGGCCTCAAGCCCTCTGCTTTTTTGCTACTCCCAGCGTTAGGGCGCCTTGACAGACCTTGCACAGACCCTGGCTTCCCCTAGAGGGTCCTGAAGCCACTTGGTTGGGGTGGCAGTGCTGTGAACCACAAATAATGAACAGAGGGGCAAGTGCTGGACCTTGACACCATGAGAGAAGCCAGTCGGTGGCCAGTGGTGTGAGAATACGGTGTTGCCATGGGCTCCATGAGGCAGCAGACTGCAAAGACTTGTGAGGGAGTGTACACTACAGTCACAACAGCAAGATGGGGCCTCGGAGCTGTGCCTTGATGACACGAGTGAGGTGATGTGTGCAGTGACACTGCTCTGGTAGGGGCCTCTGAGGACAGAGCACTGGGGCTTCAGCTGGCATGGGTGCTCAAAGCATGAACTGTGAGTTTCCTGCTCCCTCCCAGAGCCTCAGTTTCCTTACTTGTAAAATGGGGATCAGGCTTGTTCTTGGAGCCCCTGGGCTAGCAGGATGGGGGTAGGGCCACAGCTGAAAACCAGGGGGCTTGTCGCTGTCATCCTTCCTGCTAGGTAAGCGACCTCCGTGACCAGGTCTACCCAGAGCATGGGCTGGGCCCATTCCCAGGCGAAGGCTGTGTGGTGGGCGGGCAAAGGATGCTCCAGGCCCCAGATAGGTTGGAGGTGCCCCCAGGTAAGCTGGGCCCCAAGGCTGGGCTGGGTGGCCAGGAGGCTGTGTAGAACAAGCCTGAGGTGGTGCCCTCCACCATCGCTCAGTCCCTGCCTGGGCTAAGGTTCCCAAATGCCCTTCCTGCAGGGATGACTGCTGAGAAACTTCTGAACAGGCTCCCTAAATTTGTGATCCGACAAGGCGAGGTGATTGACATCCGGGGCTCCATCAGGGACACCTTGAAGGTGAGGCCAGACCTAGTTCTCCAGTCTTCTCGGGAGTGCTTTACCACTGACCCTGGCTCAAGGTGGCAGAACAGTGTCTTGTGTAGAGGCTTAGCTTCGTGGGCTGGAGTGAGGGCCAATGGAGAATTGGGAAACTAGAGAGCTGGAAAGGGTGCTGCAGTGGGGCCAGAGTACCTGGCTTGGGTGTCAGTGGGGATAAAATCAGAGTTGGCCCAGGCGCAGGCCATGTCCTCACAGAGCAGTCCTGCATGCCCTGCAGGCCCTCACAGAACTCATCTTTTCCTCACTGCCCATCCTGCTGATCTTCCCAGGCCACCACCCGAGAAAGGTGCCAAACCTCTGCTTCTCAGGATTCCCCTGCCACCTCCAACTCCATGTTGTTAAGTCCTGCCTGTCCTGGATACTGCCAGAATTCCCAAGCCCATCTCTTCTCTCATTCCTACCACCTAATCTAGGCTCCAGGGTCTCCCAGGCAACCTCTCTGTGCCAGCCTCCCACCCCCACTGCTGCCCCTGCAGCCATCCTCCCACGGCAGCCTTTCCTGTCTATTCTTGGATAAAACCAATTTCCTTATCCTGGCTTTCAAGGCCTATCCTGCATCTATCAGCTCAAGCATGAGCCAAGGATTGGGGGATGACTCAGGTGGGTTCCAGGGCTCTGTGCATGCTCCATGGATGCCTTCCAGAACTACTGCCCATTGCCTGTTCCGATCCAGGAGATCATAGTGGAGACACCTGCTTTGGCTGCCGAGCGACAGAGGTAAGGGCAGGCAGAGAGGTGGGGGCGGTGGGAGCTGGCCACTGGGACACTGAAGGCCTCTAGGCCTGCAGGAGCCAGGAATCACCCAACACAGCGGCACCCCCACTCTGCATGCTGCGTGTCAAGTCTGAGAATGGGGAGCAGGCTTTCCTATTGATGATGCGGCCTGAGGACACTATTGGTGCCGTGCGTGCCCTGCTAGCACAGGCCAGGTGGGAACAGGGCACGGCTGGGGGCTGCGGGGAGGCTCTGACGCTGTGGCCCAGCCTGATCCATTCCGCTGGGCCTTCAGGGCCATGGATGCTGCCACCTTTGAGATCTTCAGCACATTCCCACCCAGAGTCTACCAGGATGATGCACTCACACTGCAAGCCACAGGCCTGGTGCCCAGTGCAACACTGCTATTGCGGGCACGCAGGGCCCAGCTGCCCAACCCTGGCTTTATTCCCATCGTGGGTTCTGACCCCACCCTTGAATAAAGTGCTGCCCCTGACACAATCAGCTCTACCAGGCTCTCTGGGAAAGGCAGTTTCCAGGGGAAGGGGCAGCCCAGCTGGGCCAGGGAAGGGCAGTGCTGACCCTCTCCTCAATTAACTTGAGCCCCAGGTGGTTGGCTCCCGCTGGGTCTTTGTCCTGAAGGTTCCTCTTTCTCCCAGGAAGGGCTAAGTGGTGTCTGTGAAGGGAGAAATTTTGAGAAGGGAGTGGCCAGGCCTGCTGGTTTGGCATCTTCAGCCTCACTGTGTAAGTGTGCACTGCTGCACACAGACCCACATGCTTGTGGGGATACTTAGTCCTTGGCACCACACAGAGCCACTGCCACTCCACACACCCATGGCCTCAAACCTACAGAGCTGCAGTTGTGCACCACACCCACAATGTACCCACACTTAGTATTCTGTTCTAACACAGGCAGGCAGCCACTCAGCACATGCATGTGAACTGGAGGTGTCCCACCCACTATCTCTAGAAACTGCTGGTCCCATACACGCATGTACACCAGACATATATCCAGAGACACCCACAGACACACACACACACACACACACACACACACACACACACACACACGCGTGACAGCCACATAAGCACATTTGGCACAATCACAACTACCAGCTTTGCCTAGGACTGGGGCCCAGGATGCCCAGGCCACAACCAGACAGACAGTGCCAATGGAATGGGCATTTAATTGTTCTAGGGTGTTCCCAGGAAGGGGACTTCGGGGCCTTTGGCAGAGCTCTGGCTAATGGAACTAAAAGAACTGCCCACCAGCCAGTGCTAGAGAAGAGTGGCAGCCGCAAGGCTTGACTGAGGACAGCCAGCCCGTGGGCTGTTACTTTAAGACAATTTCTGAGACAGTAGATAAGGAATGTTGCCTTTGAATGGAGGAAAAGGAGCTAGCAAGGGGGAGGAGAAGAGGTATAGATAGGTTGGGCAAGGGACTCCAAGGTAAGAAAGTTAGGAATGAAGGGAGTTGGTCATGAGGTCCTTCGAGACTGGGTGAGACCTGTGGGGAGAACATGCTGCGTCCAGTGGGAAGTGGGGGCGAGCTTGATTCAGGCCAGTTTCAGGAATTCCTGCAGTGTGTTCTGTTCTACAGCCTCGACGAAGAGCTCATAGTCCTGGAGGAGAAGGACAGGTTGGTCAGCCGAGGGCCAAGTGCTTTAGTGTGACCCTTATTGGAGTCCACAAACAACACCCTCCAAATCCCAATCCCCAGGGCCATACCCCACAGTACTGGTCCCCATTGACAATCTGTGGTGGGGTAGCCTTGGGATTGCCTGCCAAGGTTCGCATCTCATCCAGCAGAGCGTTGTCCAGAGAGATGTCCACTAGCTTGTACTGGATGCGCTTCCCATCCAGGATGCGGGTCACCTCACTCTGCTGGGACTTGATCTGGGGGGCATAGGGTGGGTAGGGTGAGTGAGTAGGGTGGAATGAGAGGGTGGGTAGGACTCTGAGCAGATGTGACCAGGTGCTTTTGTCCCCATGTCTCTTGCCCACTCCAGGGAAAAGTTGCAGTCACTAGTAGTTGGGCGAGTCAGGGTCCAGGCAGCACAGAATGAAGGACTACCACCAGGGGGTTGGGGGGGGAATCAGAAATCAGGAGAGTCATAAAGTTCAGGACAGGGAAAGCAGGAGTTCAGCGGGGTAGAACAGAGCAGACCTGGTTGGTGGCCACACGGTGGGGGTGAGGCTCGTAGGGCTAAGGACGGGCTAAAGAGTGCCAGAGAATGGGTGTCCTGGGGGTGGGGGATGGGCATGGATATTCATGCTGGGACTGCTGAGGACCCAGGATATGTGGCGGCGAGGGGCCCAGGATAGGGTTGCGGCCGCGAGCCGGGGGAGACCCCCAGCACCTCTAGGCTCCCCACCCTGCTCCGCCCCCGTGGTGGGGGCGGCTCCCGGGAGCACCGGGAAACGGCTGCGCGCTCCTCAGAGACAGGGGCGTACTTACTTCTCGGGAGCCGGTGACCGACGTGCTGTAGACCCGCAGGCCGCTCATGCTGCAGGCAGACAAACGTTTGGACAGGCGGAGGGGCGGTAGTAGCGGCAGCTGCACTGCCGAGAGACGAGGCCGCCGTGCTCGGGAGCGGTTTCCTTCCTGCTCCGCCCGCGAGTCACTGTTCTCCGGGCCAATGGGTGACGCGGGCGGGTAGGGCGGGGCATGCGCGACACCGCCCGGCCCCTGGATGGAGATGCCCTCCCTTCCCCCAGGGTTGGCCTGGCGCTGGCCAGGCATTGTGAGGACCCCAGTCCTCTGCAGCTGTACTGTCGACCCTGTCAGCCCTTCCCAGACCTGAGGCGCACCGGGTGAAGCTGGGGAGGGACCAGATGGCACGAAAGGCCCGGGAGGCGGTGGCAAAGGCTTAACAAATGCCTCCCCAGTTCACCCAGGTTCTAGTACACAGGACCAGTGCCAAGGTCTGTCTCCATCATAGTATAGCGCACCCTGGGACTTTATAAGATTTGTGTAGTTTCCAAACCTAAAGTTCTGGATAGGAGATAAACCAGCACAGGGCTGCCTCTGCCAGATTGTTCCTACAGCTTCTCAATCCAGACAGGTTTAGACAGGAATAGTGGCCTGAAGCAGGGGCCACACCCTCCAGGAACTAAGACATAGATGCTCATAGTTTTGGGAAAAGTGGGGACAAAGGTTAAAGCCTGGATTCTCAGGCCATGGTTCAGGTTGGCCCCCAACCCGACACTACCCCATGGGTGTTATCTTCACAATAACCTGGGGAGTTCAGAGGCAGCAGACACTTGCAGCAACCAGCCCCAATTGGGAGACTTGACTTTGTTTGTGGTTGGATGAAAAGCCCCTGAGGGTTCAGTAAGTGATAGCCCCTAAAGACAACCCTAGCTCTGAGGCTAGCAGTACCTGTTTTGCTGAGATACCACTTCCTCATAAAACCCCACTGACTTCCTCAGAGAACCCTGCCGACAAAACTATTCCGTGTCAGCTTACTCTATGACTAAGGAGAGCTCTGCCAAACAGAAAATAGTGTGGGTAGAGATCTTATTTGTCTCCAAAAATGACAGAGAAGCAGAAGTGGTAAAGATACGGACACAGAACCAGACCTTGCTGCAACCTGGGGAACTGAGATAAAACAGCCAGCCTTTGGCTTCAAAAAACCAAAGTGAGGGGCAAGGTCAGGGGATGTCAAGGGGGAGTCATAGAAGGCTATGGAAAACAAGTATCTGTTAAATATTTTATTCTGTAATCAAAATAGGCAATACAAACCAGTTGACATAACAAATATTCATATAAATAACTGCTTATAAACTTTACAAGGAAAAATACCCCTGAGCATGGTGGCTGGGCTCCCAACACAGGGTGGAGACCAACCAGGCAGCTCTGCTTTAAGAGGCAGGAGCCCAGAGGCTGAAGGGGTGGCCAGCCAGGCGGGGCCGCTCTGAATGGAAGGGATAAGTCACTCCACAAATAAAACACAAACTTGTAAAAACACTTAAGAAGGAGGCTCATTCAGGCCCCAGAGTGAGGTCCGGGATGCTGCCAACAGCCCAAAGTCTTGTGGCTGTCTTTAGGCTCCGGAAATGCTTTGCTCCTCAGAATCCAAACATGGCCCCTGCTTGGCCTGGCTCCAGATTTCGAGGTCTGGGGCTGGCCCAACAGTCTGATGCTAACAACTGGGAGATGCTTCCTAAACCCAGAGGCAAGAAAACCCAGAAAGCAGAGGGTCCAAAGACACCAGAACAAACAAAAAAACTTCAGGAAACACTGAAAGCTGTATCTTAAAGTTGACCCACACTGGGTACTGTCCTGGAGACCAGAAGAGAAAAGGGAGAGAACTTCCCCAAACGTAACAAGCACAAGAGGGCCTAGTATAGGTCCTGGGGGGAAGGGAAAGCAGTAACTTGTTAGTTAACTTGGTGGCCTGGGGGAAAATTCTACCCAACCCCTGAACCACAGTGAAGAATTTACACTCAAAGCCCAAGAAAGGAGTACCTGGAAGCCTGAGAACAAAGGAAGATGCTATACAAACCACATGGCCAGGACTCCAGGGACACAGGGCAGTTGAAGAGTGGATCTCCAATAGATAAAAAAAAGCATGGCAGACAGATTAAAGACCTGTAACTATAATCTCTAAGCACCCACTGCTAGTGGTTGCTTTGCTAATGAACAGGTCACCCTGAGGCTTCTGTGAGAACTACAGCCCTGAGGAAGAAGTTATGGGACTGGGTTGAGAAAATCCCAAAAGCCAATCCAGTTTCAGAAAGAGTGGCACATGAAGCCTGAGAATTCTCTAATGGTCATCGCTACTTATCTTTGGCCTTTCTAGGCCTCTCTAATGAGTTCTAGGATCAGCAGAACCAAAAAATGGAGTAGGAATGAATATGGATCCATCTTGGATGACAGAGAAAGGAGGTAAGCAGATTGCAGTGTCAGTATAGAGCTAGGAACATAAAGACCTATCTGTTGAACCTGAAAAAGTAACTCACCTCAAAAGGTAAATTAGGTTAAGAGGACAAACATAACATAACCAAGAAAGCCAAAGCTAGTCTAAGGCAGGGGCAGGTACACTCCTTCCTTCAACAGTCCATGGCCCCCAGAGGCAAGGTGTTCCCTCTCTACCTCTCAGACTCCTCTCTAGGAAATAGCAGCGGGCAGGAGGTAAGACTGTCAGGGTTGGAACCTGCTGGCCAGGCTCGTAGCAGCTCAGGTTCTCCTAAGGAAATACAGCCTGTCCACCCCCAGCACTCCTCACTGTGTTGCACAGTTTTCTCCCATGTCCTGGGCATATCTGTCTGACATGGTGGTCCGTAAGTCCTCAATGTCCCGACGTAGTTGTTGAACCTCTTCTAGTTTTCTCTTGATCACTTCTGGCTTCTGCAAATCTGACTGAGTCTCTCCTGGGTGCTGTATGGCTGAAAAGGAGAGCATTTCCATTGTCAGTTATCTGGTACACATTTTTCTTGAATGTGTGGTGCTGGGGATCCAACCTAGGGATTCAACTGAGCCATGCAAGGTCAATTGTTCTACTGCTGAGCTACATCCCCTGCCCCAAGGCCATGCTGTTTTTTAAAAAACACCAGGAAAGGCCTTGTAACTTGCTACTGAAGACCCACTTTTTGTTTGTTCTTCATGCAAACACCCTGTAAGGATGCCTGTTTGCAAAACACTTACTGAAGGCCTACTCCATCAAATATATATTCCCAGAGGGCAGTGACTAGTTCTGTATACCTAGTTTACCCAATTTACCAGTAGAAAAGTTAGATGCCTCAAGAATAAAAGCCCCTCTCTCAAGGATCCCAGATCGGCTGGAGAACTTACAGTGAATGCCCAAGAGCAGAGACAGATTGGGGTCGTGGCCCTGGGCTCTCTGGGTCACAATACTGCAGACATCCTGCAAATCTTGAAGGCAACTGGCCAACTCTTGGTGCAGCTCAAATGCTAGCTGGGCTGCATCTGAAGATGGGGACCTTTGTTGGGCCAGGCGCAAGTGTTCCTGCAGTGTCAGATTCTTCTCAATCAGGTCCTGGTTTTGCACTGAGAGCTGAGCAGACAGAGGGATAAGCGTATTAACTCAGCAGTAGGGAGAAGAATCTATACACATGTGTGCTTCACAGTGGCAGCACTGGGGGAGTTGCAGGTATGTGTGTGGAAAGGAGGTATGAATCATAGGCAATGCCCTCCCTTCCCCACCTCTACCAACAGGAGTAGTATTCTGGCCTCCCCACCAATACTAGGCCTAGTTCCTACTGAGAATAGGATAGGACTAAAGGGATCCAGCAGTGAAGAGGAAGCTACTGCTCAGCAGGCTCTGAGTCATCAGCCTCCAGGTTTCTTCCAGGAACCAGAGATGCCCCCACCCACAGGAACTCTATCTGAAGCCAGTCCCTCAGCCAACTCTGTTAGCCAGGCTATTAGAGATGGCCTAATGTGAACAGTGAAATCTGAGGAGACACTGGTTTCAATCTCTCCCTGCCACCTTGACCAAAGTGGCCACTAGCCAGCCTGATCATAGGCTGTCAAGAATAATAAAGGGGGTAAGAAATGAAGCTAGAGAAGGTGGAGACATGGAAGATACAAGGCTAAAACATGTCCTGCTTTACTATCTAAATGGAGTTAAGCTTTACTACAAAGACCTGCCATGTCTTTAATTTTTTGTGTGTGTCTTTGTATGTCTGTGTCACTTTCCCTGACAACTTAATTAACTCTTCTTTCCTCTATTTTGTTTTTGTTTTATTCTGTATACAGTACTGGGGATTGAAACCCATGAATACTGAGTGCTCACCTGACCAAATCCAAGGTCTCAGTCCACCTAAGACCAGAACAGGTCCAAACTTGTGATCCTCTTGCCTTAGCATTGTCTGAGGATCTAGATCACAGGCATGTACTGCCACTATACTGGGCTTCTATTCTGTTTTATACACTCTGTTCTTTCTCCAGTCTAGCACTTCACCCATAGTGGGCCATGTGACAATTTTAGCTCTGGGAAACTTTCCTAGGCACTTGGTCAGTGAACCCAGTGGTTCCCTGCTGACAGTTGTATGTTGCCTGAAGATAAACATATTAAGTCTTCTTGAACCCTTCCACCCTTCTGCCCAAACCCCACAAGGCTGTGGCTACAAGACAAAAGGAAAAGAATAACTTCCTACATCTAGAAAGTACTTCTCTATAATTATGGCCATTCTAAGGGATATGGCCTGCAGCATAAAGCATGGCATCATGTTATCCTCCTCTCCCCACAATGGGGTTCTTGTGGGGAAGGGAGGGTACACAAAAGTCAGTTTTGTGGATACTGTACCAAGAGGCCTGGCCAATGCTGCTTACCTCCTTCACAGCTGTACGCAGCTGCTGCAGAGCTGACTCCCTCCGCTGGGCCTCTTCTTTCAGGGCCTGATTTGTTCCTTCTTCTTGAACAATTTCCTGCTCTAGGCTCTGAATTCCATAGCAAGGTGTTGTGGAGAACGCATCAAGAGTGGTTAAGTCTGATTAAGGCTGAATCACTTTGGGCCTGGACTATATAGTATATACTGAAACCCCACCCAACCCACATATTGCTTAAATTATTTTAGAGCAGTGATGGTGAACCTATGGCACATGTGTCACATCCAGCTGTTTATTATCATGAAAAGCTCTAAAAGATTTGCCATAATCGTTTATATGACCTCGCATTGAAACTTTTTTTTTAGGCAAGGTTTCACTATGTAATGCAAACTGGCCTTGAATTCATGGTGATCCTCTTGCCTCAGCATCCGGAGTGCTGAGATTACAGGTGTGCACAACCACACTCAGCTCCTCATTTAAACACTTAAACAGCCTCTAACCACATACCAAACTGAGATCAACTTCTTAGCAGGCACTTGGAGTCATTTAACTGCTGTTTATGTTCCTATCACTGTCTCTTTTCACCTTCCACACAGCTTCCACTCCAGTCACACCGAATGATTGGTCTTTATCCTGAAAGACTCCAGCTTCAAAGTCTTTCCTTACTCCTCTTTCCCTTTGTTCAGACTGCTCTTCTGCTCTGCCTGTCACTCTAGGAAGCCTGAAGGCCTACCTGAACCTTCTTCAATTTGCAAATCAGATCCAGTTAATCCTAACCCCAAGTTTCACTCATACTTCTAACCTCAACTCATGACTATATCTGCTTAATATTATGTGGGCTGTATTCAGACTTTTCATTTCCATCTGAACACAACTTTGTTGAAAGTGGAGAATGTGCCATTCAGTTGAGTTCAACATTTGTTCAGTACTTCTTATGATAGGTACTGTAGATACTGGAAAGAACACTGAATAGTGCCTGCCGATTAGGAGCTACAGGCCAGTGCTGTGTATGAAATGTTTTGGAAAATGGAAAAGAGTGTGTGTGTGGGGGGGGCAAAACCACAAGCAGAGAAAGAGAGAGAGAGAGAGAGAGAGAGAGAGAGAGAGAGAGAGAGAGTATGTGTGTGTGTGTGTGTGTGTGTGTGTGTGTGTCTGTGTGGTGGTCAAAGTCACATTGAGGGATATACTTAAAAGCTTTTTATCTTATTACCTCTTTCTTCATTCTAACACCTTTCCCAATTGTAAAACTAATTTGAATAAATAACATATATTTTAGTTCCCCATTTTATATTAATAAAAAATGTAACTATCAAGGAAACCTCATGACCATGAAACACTCAAGGTGACCAGGATTAATCTACTTTATTCTCAGAAATTCATCTGTGCAAGAGGTGCAGTTTAAATTTGCAGACCCAAGGTGACGGTGCCTCTGCAAGACATGGTAGTGGAGGGGAGCAGATGTGAGGGACTGCACTGGCTCACAATGAGTGCAGAGGACTTAGTCCTCCCATGGGAGAGAGCAATTAGCTGAAAGTCATCTTGGAGATGGACTGGTTGAGCTCAGAATCCAGAACTGCAGCAGGCTCCATCTAGCAGCTCCTAGCTCGACTCAGACCCATGGGAACTGTTGGACAGTGGGGAGCCCAAGTCTGGTCTTAGGGCAGGCCTGCTGAGATTATCCATTACCCCACCAAAAAGCTACTGATAGCTGGCTGGGAGAGATCTGCATGAATTGGGACTCTGTCTCCACACGTTGTCTACTAGTGAAACAAGAGAGAACCCTAGAAGTGGACTTTTTCTTCCCTTTTTTTTTTCTCTTTCTCCTTCATTGTTTGATCTTGTTTTTATATGTGTGTGAATCTGGTTCCTAGCCTCTTTGTGGTTGTGGTTTTGTTCTTTCTTTTCTCTTCCATCTCTCTTTTCCTTCAGTCTTCTGTACCAGTCTCCCAAAGTTGGCATGATCCCCCTTTGTCTTCCAACCTTATTTCTAATCTCTTCCTCTTCTACTTTTCTATTTTCTCCTTAATCCATTTTAAATTTTAACCCCTGAGGGCAAAACTGACATGTATACTGCATATAACTTTCTGGTTTGCTTTAGATTTTGTTATATAACCACAAATCTACTTCATACAGTTAAAAGTAGCACATTAAGGGTTAGCTCAGTTTGTCATTCTCTTGGATGTGTCTGATGCTATTGATTGAAACAACTGTTCTAAACAGCTGTTCATCCTGGTTTTCCAGGAGATTGACCAGGGGTCACAGCAAATACTGTGGCACAGTCTAAAGAACCAGGGGCTGGGCCAAACAAGTAACAACTTCTCATCTCCAACAAACTTTAGAGATAAGATCTTCCAACATATTTAAATCCAAGATGATACCTCAGAGAAGCAGTTATCACCTAGAGATCCTAGGTGCTAGTGATAAAGCAATCTACCATAGGCAATTTACAAGCATTACCACAGGAATTAAACTAAGAAAAAAAAAAATGAAAAGACACTTAAACAAAACAAAATGTAACCCCAGACATCAAGTTCACCAAAGGCAAATCCACTGGTCAATGAGGTGAGGTGGGACATTGTGAAAGGCGCCCACCTGGCCTTTCTGAAGTAACAACAAATCAATTGAATGAGACTCTGAAAAAAATGAGATCAGAAATAATCTCTCAGATAAAGACCTCGCTTAGTGATGCTAGGACAGATACAGACCAAAAAAAAAGACAAGCTTAAGAAAATTATAGAAGCTCAGCATATGAAAGAAATGGAATCCATAAAATAGATTCAAGCAGATATCCAGGATAGTTAAAAATTCCATTGAAAGTATTTGAAGCAGATTAGGAAAATGTGAGGACAGTATCTCAGAAATTGAAGACAAGTTTGCAGTTAGCAATCAGGAAAAGGAAGATTTCTCAAAAATAGCAAAGGATCGTAAGAAATCAATCCAGCAGCTGCTAGATGAGACAAAAGAAAAATAACTTAAGATTAACTGGAATCAATGAAAAAAAGCAGGCAATACCTGCTTAAATTAAAAACATGTTCACAGACATCGTGGCAGAAAACTATTCTGGTAGAGAAAAAGAATTTGACATATAGGTAAGTGAGGCATATGGAACTCCAATTAGCCATGATAAAACTCTATAGCCAGGCATATTATACTCAAGATTCCAGAAATATGAAATATTCCACCTTCTCCTTTAGAAACAACTTTCAATTTAGACTGATGTACCCTGCAAAACTCTTTTAAAACTTATGGAGCAATAAGATACTTCCATGACACAAAACATCTGCCCACAAAACTAGTACTCCAAAATGTTCTGTAGAAAGCGATAATAAGGACTACAGCTCCATGAGCCCAAACAGAAGAAATCCACTAGGGCTAGGGGTTTAGCATAATTTCAATAGATGCAAAAAGTCCAGCATTCAATCATGATAAAAACCCTACAGAAAATTGGAACAGATGGTCTTTAGCTCAATCTGGTAAAAGGCATCTATGAAAAACCAACAGCCAACATCGTATTAAATGGGCAAAAAATGAAAACTATCTAAAATCAGGAACAAGACAAAGATGTCCACTGTCTCCACTCATTCAATACAGTCCTGGAAACTTTAGCTGGAGCAGTAAGACAAGAGAAAGAAATAAAAGGAATAAAGATAGGAAAGGAAGAAGTTAAACTATTGTTTTTTGCAGATGACATTATACTCTACACAGAAGACCCCAAAAACTTCAATAAAAAAACTGGTAGATTTAGTAAGCAAATTCAGTAAGGTAGCTAGATACAAAGTCAGCACTCAAAACTCAATAGGCTTCCTGTTGCATGAATAACAAACTCACTGAGAAAGCAATCAGGGAAACAAATACCTTTCACAACAGCATTCAAAAAACAAGAACTATTCAGGAATCAGTCTAACAAAGGGTGTAAAAAACCTCTACATTTAAAACTACAATACTCTGAAATATGAGACTGAAGAGGATATTAGAAAATGGAGAGATATCCCATGCTCTTGGGTAGGAAGAACTAATATAGTGAAAATGGTCACACTTCCAAAACTGTTATACAGATTCAATGCAATCCCAATCAAAATTCCAATAGCATCTCACAGAATTAGAGAAAACAATCCTTAAATTCATCTGGAACTAGAAGAGACCTAGAATAGCAAAGGCAATCCTGGGCACCAAAGGCAAGGCAGGAGGCATCAAGATCCTGAACTTGAAAATATACTATTAAAGCTACTGTAACAAAAACAGCATGATACTCGCAAAAAAAAAAATAGACCCGAAGCCACCTATCTTTGACACATTCACTTGAAGAAAGATAGTCTCTTCAATAAATGGTGCTGGAAAGACTGGCTTTCACATGCCAAAGATTAAAGTTGGACCTATATCTTTCACCATGCACTAAATTCAGAATGGATCAAAGATCTAAATATTAAAACAGAAAAATTACACCTACTGGAAGATAGAGTAGGTAAAACTCCTGAAGGCACTGGTGTAGGCAAAGACTTTACGAACAAAATCCCGATTGCACAGGAATGGTTACCAAGAATCAACACCTGGAATTTCATCTTATTGAAAAGCTTTTGCACAACAAGAGAAATCACCAACAGAGTAAAAAGACAACCCACAATGTGGGAGAAAATGTTCAACAGCTGTTCCTCAGACAAAGATTACATTAAGAACATACAAAGAACTCAAAAAAAGTCCTCCCAGATTTAAAAACCCGATCCAAAAATGGGCATCCAAATATTCATCACACTTCTCAGATGAAGAAATACAAACAAATAAATATATGAAAAAATGCTCAACATCACTGGTCATTCAAGAGATGCAAATTAAAACAATACTGAGATTCCACTTCACCCCAGAAAGAATGGCTAAGCTGGAGGGGCTGTGAGATAAATGAATCTTTCTCCACTGTTGGTGGGAATGTGGACTGGTGCAATCAATCTGGAAATCAGTGTGAAGATTCCTCAAAAAACTAGGATTGGACATTCCATTTGACCCATTTATACTACCTGGGTATCTTCCCAAAAGAATTAAAAATATCATACCACAGTGACATTTTTAAACCTATGTTCATATTCATAGTAGCACAATTTGTAATAGCTACATCTTGGAAACAACCTAAATGCCCACTGACTGGGAATGGATACAAAAGATGTGGTACTTTTATTCAGTGGAGTACTACTCAGCTATAAAGGACAAATGAGACTTTTACAGGTAAATGGATGCAACTTGAATCCATTTTCCTAAGTGAAACAAATCAGAATGCATGTGTGAACATCGTATAGTTTCACTAGTATGAGAAGCTGAAACAGTACATGTACGTGTGTGTATATATAAAAATATAGTTAAGACAGTAATACGACTGATTTCTGAGTTCACTGAAGAAGTTTGTAGTGTTTGGACAACTGAATGCAGAAGTCTTGTGTTCTGGGTGACCGATTTGGGGATGGCAATGTGTAATATACATATCATTGTTGTTCCCTGACTATTGCGTCTTGAAATTTTATTTTTTTTTCCTCTTTAAAATAAAATGGATTTGGAAAAAAACTCTACTAAAGACCTGGCATTTAAAATTTTTATTTATCTATTTACTTACCTACCCATCCACCCACCTATTTATTTTTGCAGTACTGGATATCAAACTCAGGATTTTCACACTGAGCTACATCCCCAGTCCTTTAAAATTTTTTTTTTAAATTTTAAGACAGGGTCTCAAATTGCGCAGGCTGGTTCAAACATGCCACTTCCTGCCTCAGGCTCCCAGAATGTTGGGATTACAGGTATGTACAGGCACACTCAACTTTTATTTGAGACTGTCTCATTATGTAATTGAGGATTACCTGGGATTCACTATGTAGTTCAGGCTAGTCTTGAACTAGAAATACTCCTCCCTCATTCTCCCCCAAAACCTGACATTTAAACTAATATATGATATGCTACCAGGCTTGACTTCATCCTCACAGGACCTGGAAGAGGTAAACTAAAGAAACAGTCTAACCCATACAATGGCCAAAAGCAGGACTACAGCTGGCAGCTGTTCCTCACAGTAAGTGCATTTCATATAGTTTAAAGACTAAAGAGAACTTGAATAAACCTGCTTCACTCAGAATTTCTTAAAGAACCCATCCCCACTCTGGCCCAAAATAGAAATCAGGTGCTATCTTTGGTTCTTCCCTATTCAATACCTACATCACAGCAGTCACCGATTCCTCCTAAAAGTCACTTCAATCTGTCTTTTTATCTCTCCTTCCTGCTATACATCATCTCACTCTGAATTCTGCAAGATTTCTGGTGGTGCCTCTCTCCAGGATACCAACCTGCCATACTCAAGCCTAAGCTGCAAACCAGACAATATGATGCCCTGACTAAATGCTCTAAAAGAATTCCATCATCTACCTGAAGATTAAACACCAACACGGTTGGACAAATGGCCCTCTTTTATAGGCCAGACCTTTCAGCTCTCCACTTACTGCCTTAAAAATAGTCATGCACTGCAAAATGCTGTTTTGATCCATCAACTGCATATATAACAGTGGCCCCATAAGATACTGTCTAGAGATGCAGCTGTTTCAGTTTATGAAAGTACATTCTATGTTTGCACATTGATGGAATCACCTAAAACAATTTTTCTCAAAAAGAAAAAAGGTATCCTGGTTATTAAGTGGTAGATTACTTCCATAATATCAACCTCTTTTTAAGTCCACATTCAAACCACACTGTTTAAAAAAAAAAAAATCCCACACTGTTTCACACCTCCATGTTCTTCCTATTGGAATTCCAATGCCAACCTTCCCATTCTTTGCCTAACTACTTACCCCTTTAAGGTTCAGGCTCACCAGAAACCTTTCCTTGCCCTCCTTTCCCACCACTGATTCTTCTGTGCTCACTCCCAGGGTGATGTGAATACTTCTTTTACAGAACCATGGTAAAGTTTCTCTCATATCTGTCCTACCTATAAGACTACAGGCTCTAAAGCACTGACCAGATTTCATTCTTCTTGTATTCCTAATGCCAAGCAAATTGTATATCAGAGAACAGAATGAAATATTAGGTGAATTCTGGAGTTTCCATCATTACGTCCTACCCACCAAAGTCCAGTGACTCATGGCTCACCTGTACTTGTAAGCTCAACTGATCCATCTTTTGCTGTTGCTTCTCCACAATCTGAAAGGCAAAATTATCAAGGCAGACTCCATATGCAAGGCTAATGTTGAGGTCAGAGAACAAGGGACTACACCAATGTCTGTGATTTAGGCCTCAGTACCTCTAGCTACAGCCCATTACTTGTGAGAACAGGGTAAAGACTTTAGTATTACTTATAGAAATCTTACTCAGACTGATCTTGACTATCCAGGTTCACACTGCTATGACTTCTGTGCTTCAATCACACATATGGAGTCATGACCACTACTGGAGGTAAAGGAACTCTCACCCTAAAAACTGCAAGTCAGTGGAATTAACTGTATACATGGCCAGTATATACTGTGATTCTTGGCAAAGGAGATAGCTAGGAATTCAGTTAAATAAAGCCTGCCCTATGCAGGGCTGTGATGGTTATTAGTGAGAACTATGATCCAAGGAGAGATCCTCAAAAGCCCCAGGTTCCTTAGGTGTTCTCTGAACCACTTTTGGGTGTTTTTTGCTGATCTGCACAGTCTCATAAGCAGGCTATAGACTGCCTCTTTTCTGATAACTGAGAAACCAGGCCACTTCACTGACTAGAACTCTGCCTAACACAAGTATAGACTTGAGCCACAACTGAGTGTACCAGGCTTTGGTGCACCATTTTAGGTTATCTACTCTGGATACTGACAGGTATGTTCTCCTATATTCTTGTTTTGCTTTGTTTTTTTAGTGGTAGTGTTACTTTCTGTAATACTTATTGACTTATGAAGGAGTTCTAGGCTAGAATTGTTTGTAAATTGGATTCATTCATAAACTGAAGAAGTGAGTCTTATGCAGAATACCTGGAAAAGTTTACAACTTTCACATTTATAAAGTAGGGAATTACTATACTGGGAACTGAACTCTGGGCCACTGCACTGAGCTACATCTCAAGCATTTTTAATTTTTCAGTTTGAGACAGGGTCCCACTAAATCACTAAGTTGCCCAGGCCAGGCTTGAAATTACAACCTGTCTAAGCCTCTGAGAATTGCAAGGATGTGCCAACAAGACTAGTTTCTCCCAGACTTTGGTCTACAGTATTTCTATGAGTACAGTTTTCCTATAATAGGCTGAATGTCTAAAATGCACAATTAATAGGCAGGGACAACTTCTCAGAAAAAGAGAAAACCTACTGGTATTCGATCCTAGGTAGCCTAAGGCCAGGAATTTGTTTCTTTTTTTTTTCCAGTACTGGGTATCAAACTTATGACCTCACACTTACCAGACAGGTGCTTGTATCATTGAGCCAAATCCCCGGCCTCAGTCTCCCAAAATACTGGGATTAATGATGTGGGTCACCAATACCCATATCCGGCTCTACAATCCTCTCTTTTCTCCCAGCCTAAACTTTATTATGATAGTCTAGACACTCATATTTACCTTTCGGAGAGAGTCACATTCCTTCTGCAGGGACACTATTTCCACTTTGGGATCTTCTCCATCAGCTCCTTCCACAGACTGCTTATCTTGCAAGCTGAAAGACATGGCCTCTTCAAGGACTCTGGAGTCAAAAAATAATGTGGCTTTGACTTCTGGTTCTGCTGTTGACATCTGCAATAAGACACTTGGGCCCTTCTAGGTTGTAGCTGAGGATGATGTCTTAAGTCTGTTGTACTGCAGTGTGAGCTGTAAGAAACTACTCTGCATATTGGTTGTCTGCCCTGTAAGAATCTACCAATGTGCCATCAATTCTCTACTTGTCAAGCCGAGCATGGTGGTGCAGGCCTGTAAACCCAGCACTCGGAAAACTGAGGCAGGAGGATCACTGAGATCAACCTGGGCTACAAAGTGAGCTCAAGGCCAGCCTGAACTGCACAGCAAGACACTGTCTCAAAAAGAAAAAAAAAAAAAAAAAAAAAAAAAAAAATAATTCACTGTATATATTTAGACCACAGAAGTCATACATGTACACAATAGAAATTAGGGGATTTAGTTCAGCGGCATAAGTACCTGCCTTGCAAGCAGGCAGTCATGAGTTCGATCCCCGGTACCAATAAAAAAAAGAAAGAAAGAAAGAAAGAAAGAAATTAGGGAAAATACAAAGAACTTTTTTTTCATATATATATATATATAGATATAGATATAGATATCTATATCTATATATATATCTATATCTATCTATCTATCACACTAAGGTATAGCCAACTTTGTCCCCTAACTCTGCTTTTGGCTCCAACCAACAACCTCCTCTAGTGGGTCCCTCAAAATCACTTCCAGCATAGCTCATCTGCTGATATAAACAGGGTCAGTATGGTTAATATGGGATGAGAAATCCAATCCACCCATTAGGAACTGGATTTAGTCCAAGAGGCTATTGAAATACAGTCATCATTTTCAGAAATTGCTATTAATATAAAGGAGGTCCCAAGACACTCTGTGAGCACATTATGGCATGTTGTTTTGTTCTCAGAAATTGTCCTGCAACTGAAAGCAATTCTAGGACTGAGAAGAAACAGATGATCCTGGTAGCCTGTAGCATAAAAGGTTCAAAAGGTGGATAACCCCAGACCTCAGTACCAGGATTCATTTTTCAAAATATATACTCTTGGTTCCTAGTTATTTATAAAGCATTTTCATTCATGTTATATACACATATTTTTTTCAAGGATTCTTATATACCAGGCACTGAGATAGATCCTCCCCAAAAGACAGTGAGAAGCACTATACACATATTCTATCCCATCCCACACAATCCCGGCCCACCATTAGCTTTTTTATCATTCACAATCCAAAGAAAATGAAATCTTATAGGTAAGTAAGTGGTAGTAACGAGGACCAGAACTGAGCTCTCCCCTCCTTTCCTCAATCCCACAGGGGCATTTACTTATGTTTAGTGGATGAGAATTCTGCTTCTCTCTGCCTCAGGCTTTCCAGCTGAATCTCCTTCTCTCTGCAGGTTGCCTGGGTCTCCTCCAGCAAACTTTCCAACTCAGTCACTCTCTCTTGCAACTCTGCAGTCTTCAACTCAGAATCCTTAAGCTAAGAAACAGGATCCCATGCTTAGATTAATAAGCCACAGAAGATTCTGAATGGATACCTCAAAACATTTTGTCGGGGCTGGGGATTTAGCTCAGCGGCATAAGCGCCTGCCTTGCAAGCAGGCAGTCCGTGAGTTTGATCCCTGGTACCAATAAAAAGGAAAAAGACAAAAAAAACCCCCACATTTTTAGTCCAGTTTTACAGATATGAACCTAGATATAATTGCTTTAGAATTTTCCTTTGAGGAAGTAGCCTTTCAGGTAGTAACAGCAAATCATGGGAAAGTCCTCCTGCTTGGTTCCTCAGCTTTGCCTAGGTATGGATCAGACATTGCTATTACCTGCTGGCTTTGCTTCTGATGATCTTCTAGTGTAGGTAAGTCAGCCAAGTAACGCTCCAAGGTTTCAATACGCTGCTGTTTCTCACGGTTCTGGTCAGATTCCTTCTGACATTTTTTTTTCAAATTATTGATATGTTTATCACGACCTTTGACCTAGGGAAAGAAATGTTGAGTCTGTCTCGATTCACTCCTTTAGGACCCTGATCATCAACTTTTTTCAAAGTGACCAGTGTCTCTGTCTTTGGAGGTGTACATGTTGTTCTACAGCAATGAAGGCAAGAAGTTCCAACAAATTCTTCCATTTGGGATTGAGGCATAAACTGCAGAGTTAACACAACTGAATTTTCCTGTCAAGGGCAAGGACGAAACACCCTGGAAGCAGTTTTTAAAAACCGGTAATACTTCTGTTTCAAAAGAAAGAATTTGTTTTGTAGGTTCCTGGAGGTGATCTCTGAACCCTTGGAATTTTTTGAATAGAACAATGTCTTTGTTATGTGTAGAGGATTAGAGCCTATCCCTGAATGAATTTATTCTGAAGGAGCACTCAAGAATGGGGTTGTTCATCAGCAAGATGAACCCACTTTTGAGGAGGAAAAGCTAGTTAGGCTTAAACAATGAAATTCCAATAAAAACTCTAGACACTTGAGCTTGGTGGGCTTCCTGCAGGGTAGACATGTGACCTATGCTGGAAGATTCCACATATTCTGATTCCCCACAGAGATGGAGCTGCTTTTAAAGAGCCTCCTAGACCTCAGGCTACATCTCTCTTCATCTGGCCACTCCTGAACTGTATGCCTTTATAGTAAGACTGTAAACAACAGTCTGGGTGGCTGAGTGGGAGGATTACTTAAGTGGAGGGATTTGATTTCAGCCTGGGGAAAAGTCTTAGACTGCAATTCAAAAACTACAGATAGCCAAACTATAATCATAAGTATCTTTTCTATACTTCTGAAAATTGGTCTGGAAAATTACTGAAAGGCTCACAAAATCTCTGGATTTTTAAGTTGGTCAGTACAAGTGTTGTGTGGACCTCAGAACTCATAGTTGTTGCCTGAAGTAAATGCATCTTGTTGGGCACGATGTCCTTAAGCTTGTGTGGAGTCTCGCATTCTGCCTCGGAACTAAATTTCTTTTTTTTGGTCTTTTTTCTTTTTATCGGTACCAGGGATCGAACTCACGACTGCCTGCTTGCAAGGCAGGTGCTTATGCCGCTGAGCTAAATCTCCAGCCCCGGGAACTAAATTTCAAAAGCACACACAACTTCCCTGTACAGGAAAGTTCGGTTTTGTTAACTCTGCATGTTCCAGTAAGAAAGACACTCTTCCTTAAAAAAACACACATAACATAAATCTGAGTAAACATGTGAAAGGGCTAAGAGATTATAAACTCTGACAGGAAAGCCTAGATTCATTTTCCTATATCATATTCATAAAGCATAATATGATTCTTAGCAAAGAGCAGTCTTTTTTCTCAAGCTCAGCCTGGGCAACTTAGCAAGACAAAAAATAAAATGGGCTAGAAATATAGTTCAGTGCAAAGACACTGGGTTTAACTCCCACACAAGCACACACACACAAGCACACACACATAAACGTGTATCTGCATATGAGGAACTGAAGAGAGATTTCTTTGGTTATGAAAAGGAAAGTTTTTGACTCATGAAAAAGAAAGCTGGAGGTGCAAAACAACAGAAAAAGTGAGGCTGATAACTGATATCAAAAAAGAGCACAGGCTTACTTCCACCCAAAGATATGTTGTAAGAATGATCTCTGAAATTCAACTCAAAAAACTACCCCAGGTCTAATCTGCAAACTTCAAGCTTTAAATCTGTGATTTTAACATTTCAATATGCATCAGAATCACTGGGAAGCCTACTGAAAAATCATTTTTGATTTTAAAAAAAGCAAAATTGACCACAGATGTTTATCTTTTTTTTCTTCCAAAACGTATCTATCAAAAGATAGGGAGAAGAAAAAATACTAATTTTTTTTCTAGTCAGCATGTAGCCTAGGCTAACCTTGAACTCATGACACTCCTCTTGCCTCAACCTCCTGAGGGCTAGGATTATAGGCATGTGCCACTGCACCTGGCTTAAAATACTAGTCTTTACTAATCTTAAAAAAGACAGGTCTCACTATGTAGTTCAAGCCAGCCTTGAACTCACTATGTAGCCTAAGCTAACCTCAAATTTGTGACCCTTATGCCTCAGCCTCCTGAGTGCTGGAAACACAGGCATGTGTCATCATGCCTGGGTTTTCAATATGTTTTCAAAAGATGAAAAATTAGGATTCCTCTGAACTTGCATCAGGAGTTTTCATTAAGAGAAATTTATTTTCATTGTTTTCTTAATTCAGCCTCCTGATTGCAGCTGGAATTACAGACATGTGCCACTGCATCTGGCCTAAATGATACTTCACCTCACCCCATCATTCTGGATACCTGAAGACTGAACCCAGGGCTTTTAGAATAAGCTACATTATTAGGCCTTTTTGTTTTGTTTGAGACCGGTCTTGCTATGATACTAAGTTGCCCAAACTGAGGTCAAACTTGCAATCATCCTATGTCAGCCTCCTCAGAAGCTGTAATTATGGGCATATGGCACCACAACTAACCCAAGTAATTCTTAAAAGTCTGAAAAGTCAGGTTGTGTGGCACATATATGTAGCCTCAGTTAATCCAGAGGTGAGGCAAGAGGATTGCTTAGGTCCAGGAGTTTTGAGACCAGCCTGGGAAACACAGCAAGTCTATGTCTTTACAAAAAAAAAAAAAAAAAAGTTGAGAAACACTATTCTGGTTGATTTTGAATGTTCCAGACCTAAACACTCCCAAACTTTCTTCTAAGAATGTGGGCTTTAGAGGAAAGTCCATGGAGATTCTAACATTGGGAGAAAAAAATTCCCAAAGTAGCACGTCTACTTTTTTAGATAGGATGAGATGAAAGTAGACCAAATGGAATAAATTTACCACAGGTATTCAAATGTCTTGCAACAATGCCACCTGGTATGACTACACAGGCTGGTTTTCCACCAAAGACATTTGGAACAGCACCTTACAACCTGGGACAAGTTTTCCCTGACTAGGGTATTTCTGTGAAGATGAGGCAGAAAAGAAGTGTTCTAAGAAGGGTACATAGGTCCTGCGTGAAGCCAAAGAAGGGTCTCTCCTAACTGGCTTCTCCTGGTTCCAAGAATGGGGCACATACAGCTTAGGCTGTTGGCAGAGAGGGTTGACTGCCAACACCCTTGTGGATTAGAGAGCCATCAACTCTTCTGCTCACCCTTTCTTCCTGTTTCTTCCCCTCCTCTGAATGCTTATGTAGTGTCACTTTGAGAGATTCTCTGATGAGCTGGACTTCAACTTCTGAAGCAGAAAGTTTCTTTTCAAGCTCGATCTTTTCTTTGCTCAAGGCATCTGTCTTCTGTGCAAACTGTGCACGTAAGAAAGTGTTCTCTCGCTGCAATTCCTGCCAGACAGATACTTCATACGTTAACTGTTCCCTACCCTTACAACTCTATATACTGTACTTTACTTATTCCCAACACACTTCATGGTCAAGTATCACCTTTCTCCAAGCAGTGCTTCCCAAAATGTGGTACAAGGATAAATAGTATCATCACCTGATGGTAGAATTTGTTTAGAAATACAAATTTTAGAGCCTTACTTATAGGCCCACTGAATCAGAAACTCTGGGGATGGATCACTATAACCTGTGTTGTAGTACACTCTCAAGTGATTCTGATACATACTGCTGTTTGAGAACCACTGCTTTAAAGCAGTATCTAAGGATTTGTTATATAATGGAAGGAATGCAGGACAAGACATCCTAGGACTTGGGCTTGAGGCCTGGCTTCCTCCACTCATTCATTGTATGATCTTAGGCAAGTACTTTCTCCTTCCTGGAGTTTAGTCATCACTAAATTAGAGGGCTAAACCAGATTTCTGCTAAAGAGCCCTCTCCATTCTAACATCCTGATTCTTTAAGATGGGACTGTCTTAATAGGCCTACTATGTGGCAAAGCCAGTACTAGGGCCTAATACTCATCAGTCAAAAACCCAAATTGTGAAAGCATGGTCAGTAAGCAGGCTTCACTGGGTGTGGCAGTGCATGCCCATAATCCCAGTACTCAGGAGGCTAAGGCAAGACTGCACTGAGTTCAAGGCCAGCCCAGCCTACACAGTGAGTTCAATGTCAGCTTAGACTATACAGTGAGACCCTGTCTCCAAAAAACCACACATAAAAAAAGAGCAAGGGGCTGGGGATTTAGCTCAGCGGCATAAGTGCCTGCCTTGCAAGTGCGCAGTTGCGAGTTCAATCCCTGGTAGTGATTAAAAAACAAACAAATAAACAAAAAAAACCACCAAAAAACCCCAAACCCATATATTTTAAAAAAAAAAAAAAACAAGCAGTCACCAGACATGGTGGCACGTGCCTATAATCTCACCACTTGGGAGGCTGAGATGGGAGAATCACTGCAAGCTGGAGACCAGCCTGGGTTACAAAGTGAGTTCAAGGCCGCTTGAACTGAACCGCATATGGAAATTTCGTATCAAAAAAAAAAAAAGCAGGCTTCTTTTCTTTTTTTGTGTGTCTTTTTTCCTTTTTATTGGTACCAGGGATCGAACTCAGGACTGCCTGCTTGTAAGGCAGGCGCTTATGCCGCTGAGCTAAATCCCCAGCCCCAAGCAGGCTTCTTTTCAACAACTCAAATCCCATATACACTGACCTCTGTAAGAGTATGGTTTTCTTCAGTTGTTCCTTGCATGGAAGAATAAAAATAATAATCATTGTAAATTTCCTTTGCACTTGTCTCTCCCCATTTGGACCAGGGCTCATAGATTAAGACGTCTCACAATACACCCAGTGCCAGAAAGGTACCATCTACTTCATTCTGCTCTCCTTTCCAAGTATGTCCTGACACCAAGACATCCAGAACTTTACCTGACTCAAGCCTTTTCTATCCTCACAAGGGCACAACAAAAGGTGCTTTTTATTAGGGTTACTCTATGATCTCTTTTGTATCTCTTGGGTAACTAATGGTGTCAAGCTCAGGAAAAACACTGAGTTGTGACAAGCAAAATGCCATCCTGGATGCCAATCTTACCTGCAGTCTCAGCAAGCAGACATCCCCAAAGGGGGCAGGGTGACCCAAAAGAGCACTGTGGACTTGCAGCTCACTTTCTCGTACTTTCTGTTCTAGTTGAGAAATGTGTTTCCTCTGCCTGCAAAAGCCAATAGAAACATCTCTGGGTCCTAATACTAAGCTCCTTATAATGCAAGCCCTACTTTTCTTAGACAGAGGAGTAATAATCCCTACAATTTATATAAGCAAAAACTTTGACTCTGGATATTAACTCTGCTTTTGAAAGAAAACAAATGAAAAGTATGACTAGCCACATTTGGTGGCATACGCCCATAATCTCAGCACTTCAAGAAGCTGAAGCAGAATTGTTAAGTTTAAGTCTTAGAAAGGCAACTTAGTGAGACCTTGTCTCAAAATTAAATACATACATATATACCTACATATATGAATAAGGCTGAGATGTAGCTCAGTGACAGAACAGTCCCCCAGTATACCCACCAACAGACAGACAGACAGACACACACACACACACACACACACACACACACACACACGAAAGATGACTGAAGGAAAATGAAAAAAGATCAATGGCATCCCCTAAAGCCCCTACAGTGGTATAGGACTTGTATTTCACACATAAAACAAGATATTTATCAATCTTCAATCTACCTCTATTATAAAGCAAGATGTGAGCCGGGGATTTTTTGGGTTTTTTTTTTTTTTGGTACCAGGGATTGAACCCACGACCACATACTTGCAAGGCAGGCGCTTATGCCGCTGAGCTAAATCCCCAGCCCCAAGCCGGGGATTTAACTCAGTGGCATAAAGCACTTGCCTGGCAAGCGCACGGTCATGAGTTCGATCCCTAGTACCAAAAAAAAGAAAAAGAGATATGGGCCCATACACAAGGAAGTGTACTACCCTTGGGAGGATCTCATTAGGTGTCCTCAAAGGGACATGGAGGAAGAAAGCCTGGACTTGCAGTATCCCTTGCCACCTTACTTGTCAATGAGAAGTTCCTTTTCCTTCAAAAGGTGTTCATTACTGTTGAAGATGCTGACCCACTGTGCTGGTTCTATGGTGGGCAATAAAGGAGGAAGAGCAGCAGGATGATGGCAGGTGGCTCCATTCTGAAGCTGGAAACAAAAAGGACAGAGGGGCTTGATCTTGACTCTAAGCACCTAAAAACATCTGGGTGGTACCTAGTTAGCTCTGGAATCAAGGCCCAGTTTGGCTCAGCCTGTTAAGGACAATGTTTATGAAATAATTTTAGTCCTGATGCATGACTGGAAAGAACCTGCCAGAGAGGTTTCTGCCAACTAAACACCCTCTGTTTGGACACAGTCTAGTTTCTAAGGTCAGTTATCTTTTATTATCTGGCAGTAGAGGCAAACTAGGAGCTAAAATGTCCTCACCAACCAGGAAAGGTACGTATGTTCTGCTTTCTTCCCACTCTTTAGCTGTACAAGGATACAAAAAGAAATACAAAAGTGGCATAGTGAAAAGAACACAGGTTCAAAGATGATTTTAAAACTTTAGCTCTGTTACTTATCAGCTTTGTAAGATTATTCAACGGACTTGGTAAGTTGTTATATTTACCTCATCAGGGAGCCATAAGAACTCAACAAAATTCTCTATAGTGGGGGCAGGAGATTTAGCTCAGCGGCATAAGTGCCTGTCTTGCAAGCAGGCAGTCGTGAGTTCGATCCCTGGTACCGATAAAAGGAAAAAGACCCCCCCAAAAAAAGCACCTAGTGTAGTGACTGGTATATATATAATCATATCTTGGTGATTGCTCTAAAACTTGTTGAATTTGGTACTTGGTACCTTCTGACATGAAAATTTTGTCTTGGTCTTGTCATCTGGTACTTGAAATGCAAGCTGGAACTGGTGTTGATTGCCTCATGACTTGCTACCTTTTCCAGCCAAAACAATTTGGTACTTGTTTTTGTACCAGCCTCCAGGAACCTTCACAAGCCGGTTGATGATGAGTACCAAGGTACCTGTTTGGGTTTTCCCTTACAATCTTGTACTTTAATGAGTGTTTATCTGGTGTTTGATTAGACCACTGACATGTTCAATAGCACAGAGCTCACAAACTTTCATTTTGTATCTACAAGTATCTTCCTTATTTCTTAACAACTGTTCTCTGTGAGTTAAAATTTATAGGGCAGAGCTAGGAATGGCGGTGCAAAACTGTAATTCCAGTGCTCAGGAGGCTGAGGCAGGAGGATCACCATGAGTTCAAGGCCAGACGAGGTTACACGTCAGTTCAAAGCCAGCCTGAACTACACAGTGAGTTCAAAACACACACATAAACACAAATGTACACAGTAAACTGGGTGTGTTGGTATACACCTATAATCCCAGTGCTTTGGCAGGCTAAAGCAGAAGGACTGCAAATTTAAGCTCGCTGGGCAATTTAGTGAGACTCTGCCTCAAAATGAAAAATAAAACAACAAAAACTCATAGGATAAATGTTATACAGCTTAAGAATCACATACAACCTACATACAACCAAGAAAAGAAGGGTTTCTACCTGCATTTGCTCCATCTGTAAACGAATTAATTCCAGCTGCTGTCGACAAGTACTGAGTTCACAAGACTGTTCTCGAGGATGCCAAGGGTCAGGACTTGGTTGCCACACTTGAGAAGATAGAGGCTTGGAGAGTCCAGGAGCAGGCTGGAATCCCAAAGGGAGCATTCCACTGCTGTTAGAGTGTGGTCCATTCCTCTCAAATACTGCCCCACTGCCTGGTGCCTTCTTAGCCTCAGGTAATACTTTATACACTTCCTTGTTTGGATCAGTTCTTGGGTTGTGGAAGTGCACTCGGTAGTGGGGATCTGAATAAAGTGTATCAATCATGGTGGACTGATTGAGAGTAGGTTCCATGCTAGGAACATCAAACTTCCTCATCTCCTCCTCTCTTTCATGGCCCACTGCTGGAAACCAGTGAGACTGCTCGATTCCATTTTCCCCTGTAGCACCACAAAGATACATGAGATCTCTAGACAGGCCTGGAGAACGTTTCACTGCACCAAAGTCTCCATTTCTTGTCATCCCCACACTTTCAGCCAATCCTGACAAAGGAAGTTTTGAAGAAGATGATCCAGCAGATGTAGAATTTGGCTTGGCAGGAGAGGTCCCCAAAGTAGAAGGCATCACATGGGCTGTTGGAATGGTTATGTGGCTTTTAATAGGTTGAAAAGAAGGGCTGCCACTTGAGCTGCAAAAATCTGTGGAGAGAACAGTCTTCTGTAAGTCAAAACTGAAGCAGCAAATTTTCTTGAGTTTTGCTGTTAAGCCAGATATTCTCTGCCTGTCTTTGGGCTGGGCAGAGTGGGCAGAGAGGACTGCAAGTATGAGGCATAAAGACACAGCAACCTAACCAATACATGTGTGTTCCAGGATTTCAAATACAATACACAAGGTAAATCAACAAAAGGTAATAACAACTTTAGTTTATTATTATTTTTTTTTAATCTTTTTGAGACAGGGTCTACAACAGCAGCTCAGGCTGGCCTTGAGCTCACTTTGTAGCCAAGGCTGGTCTTGAACTTGCAATGATCCTCCTGCCTCAGCCTTCTGAGTGCTGGGATTTCAGGTGTGTGAAACCACACCCTGCTAACAGCTTCACTTTTAACTTATACTCTTTTGTACTTGATTTAAAAATCAAGCAATCAACAATTAAAACTGGAAAGTGAACTTAAAAAAAGAATAACCACTTACTTTAAGGAAAATGGATTAGGTCCTGCTCTTCTGAAAGCTGGAAAATTCTACGAACTGTAAAATCTAAAAATATTCTTTCCAAGGGGGTACAAGAATCATCTGTAGCCTCCAAAACTTCCCCAGTGAAAGTGAGTAGTGAATCTGGACTATCCAAAGAATAAGGTGAACCAGACAGTCCTGCTCTGTATGCAAACAGGGAGCGCAGCATCTGAGTCAGGATTCTGTTCTCTCTCACACACCCCAGACCTGAATGCCTGGATATGAAAGTTATTCTTAGTAACTCTCAGGTTTCACCCTAGCACAGTGAGCACTCTCAAGTCAGTACACACTGAAATCCTCTATTTTACAATTTGTCTTTCACTTTCCCCTTGTTTTTCATTTTTCCTTCAGACTACATTTGTCTTTCCTATGGCTTCTTTCTAGTCTTGGGAGACAACTCTAATCAGCCTGGCTGCTAAAGTTTCACATTTCTACCTATTTCCAGCTTTCAAGTATACTTTGAGAAGAATTACAAGGTTATAAAATGAATGTGCTAGGACAGTGAGTTGCAGATAAGATGGGACTATAAGGTCACATATCTACTATTACTTTCAACAGGCAGAAAACTGAATAAGGAATCTGGCATGGTGGTACGTGCCTGCAAACTCAAACTTGGGAGACTGAAGCAGGAGGACTCCCACAAGTCCTCCTATGTAGTGGGACTACATAGTGAATTCAAAGCCACCTAGAACTATACAGTGAGACCTTGTCTCAAAAACAAAACAACACAACATACAATCTCTGTGTTATAATCTGTGTAACAATGTAAATTACATACAGTCAGTCAATTTACTGGAGGGAAAATCCAGACCAATGTTTGATTTCTAAAAATACCTGTCAAAATGAAAAGGTCCCATTATTGTACATATAAGAGAAAAGTCTTAAGTCAAAAATAAATACAGCTGGGCATGCTGGCACACACCAGTAATCTCAGCACTTAACAGAGTGAGGCAGAAATATTACTGTGAGTTCAAGGCTAGTCTGGACTACATGATGAGACCCTGCCTCAAAAAATAAAAAATAAAAATAGAAAAAATTTTTAAAAAGAGAGAAAATAGCAACATTCTTTTTTTGTCTTTTTCCTTTTTATTGGTACCGGGGATTGAACTCACAACTGCCTGCTTGCAAGGCAGGCACTTATGCTGCTGAGCTAAATCCCTAGCCCATAGCAACACTCTTGATTGCAAAACTGATGGAAGGAATATTACAGCCTGGGCTAGGGGTGTAGCTCTGGGGTAAAGCACCTGCCTCTACAGTAGAGGAAAAACAAAACCTTCCAGTCAGGAGATCAGAATATAATAAACAGCTGAGGGACCTTAGGCAAACTGTTTAACCCTAAGAGAACTGTTATTCACTAGCAACAAGGAGTTAAGATTGATTTTTAAAATCCTGTCTACTTCAAAATCTATAATTTACTGAGCACAGTTCACATATACATTCAGTTATCAAACTATTAAAATTAGTGACAGGTATCTAGGAGTTACTATTAGATACAGGATTTTCTGTTATCTCCTTTCCCTTTTCATTCCTTTTTTATTTTTTCCAAACATTTCTATTCTCTTTTATTTTGTTTCATTTTTCTGTTTTTTGAGACAGGGTCTCAATATATAGTTCAGGCTGACCTTGACCTCAAACTTGTGGTGATCCTCCTGCCTTAGCCACTCCAATGCTGGGATTATAAATTTGAACCACCATATCCAACTACTCTTTTTTTCCTTTTGCAATGCTAGAGATCAAACATATGCTAGGCAAGCATTCTCCTACTGAGCTATACCCCCAGCCACATTCTTTTAAGTAACTTTGAGATGTAATTCATATATCAGAAACTCACCCACTTAAAGTATACAATTCAATGATTTTTAGCATATGTATAGAGCTGTGTAATTATCACTGTTTAGTTTTTTTTAATTTTCATCATTGTAAAATGAAACCTGTTGCTTTTTAGCAGTAGCACTCCACTTCCCGTAACTTTTCCTAGGCCATTCACCTATTTTTGTACATTTCATCTAAATGATCATGCAATAGGTGGCCTTCTTTCTGGCTTTTTAAAAGAATTAGCATAATGTTAAGGTCGTCAAACTGGCATCATCTGAGTACTTAATTTGTTTCTATTACCAAATAATCTATTGTACTATAGGGATATATTACTCATCAGTTCATCAGTTGTGAATATGCAGGTTGTTGCTACTTTTTGACTGTTATTAGTAAGCTGTGAGTATCTGAGTATATATTCTTGTGTGAATTTATGTCTTCATTTCTCTGGGGTATATATCTAAGAGTATAATTATTGGTTCATTAAATCATCATGTTTAAAATTTTGAGGGGCTACCAAACTACCAAAACAACCCTATTATTTCATGTTTCCACCAGCAATATATAAAGGTTCCAATTTCTCTATATTCTCACCAACATTTGTTATCATCTTTTTGATCAGTCATCCTAGTAAGCTAAAAGTAGATATATTTATTTATTTAAAAACTTTTTTGGTACATGTTTGCAGTATATAATGATCACATTCATTATGAAGAGTTAGTACATAGACATTAACACATCATAATCATTTTATGTCCCCTTCTCCCCAGATATGTATTTAGATGACATGGTTAAGTGTCAAAATGACTAGATTTGTGGTTGTAATCAACTCATTCAGTCACTTTGAAATTCAGCTTTTTCATCTATAAAATGGAAAAAATAAAATAGTTCATAGTTTTTTTGGGGAGAGGGAGGCAGAGTTTCACTATGCAATTCAGACTAGCCTTGAATCCACTTTGTAGCCTCAAACTTGCAGCAATCCTTCTGCCTCAGCCTCTCAAGTGCTAGGATATAGAGGTGTTTTTTTTGGATACCGGGGATGGAACTCACGACTGCACACTTGCAAGGCAGGCGCTTATGCCATTGAGCTAAATCCCCAGCCCTAGGATATAGAGTTCTCAAGAGTATTAATGAACAAATGCAGAAAAATTTAGGATAGTACCTATCACAAAGTATGTAACAGTGGTTAATTTTTATCATTAGATCTTCTGCCCTCTAGGAGCTCATCATCTAAATAGAAAACAAAATGCCCTTGTAAACTACTATCTGGCAGTTTGTACTTAATTTAAGTAAAGAAATATAGCCAAGCATGGTGACATACGTGTGTCACCCTAGCATTCTGGGAGGCTCAGGCAGGGCACATTATAGCCCAGCCTGAGCAATTTAGAGACTTAGTGAGACCCTGTCTTAAATTTTAAAATTTTTTTCAAAGGGCTAGGGATACAGCTCCATAGGAAGGCCTTGGGTTTATTCCCAAGTAACAATAGGGGACAAAAAAGTACAGAGATAATAATATATAAGAATGCAAAAAGGGGGGACGGGGATTTAGCTCAGTGGCATAAGCACCTGCCCAGCAAGCGTGAGGTTGTGAGTTCAATCCCTGGTACCAAAAAAAAAAAAAAAGAGAAAGAAAGAAAGAAAGGAAGAATGCAAAAAGGAAGATCAGCTAGCCATTGGCACATTCCTGTAATCCCTGCACTCCAGGAGGCTGAAACAGACTATAAATTCATGCCCAGCCTAGAATATCTAGCAACTTAGTGAGACCCTATCTCAAAGTAAAAACTAAAAAGAGCTGGGAATGTACCTCAGTGCAAAAGCCCCAAGTTCAAATCCCAGTACTGCTTAAAAAAAAAAATTACTTCATGTGCTAGGAATGTAGCTCAGGGATACAGTGCTTGCCACCATGCCTGAGGTCCTGGGTTTGACAATACAAAGAGAACCATAGACCAGATGGGAGAGGAATAGGTTAAGAAGATTCAAGTAGCCAGGCATAGTAGTGCATGCCTGTAGTCAGATACAAAGATTACTGAAGTTCAAGGCTAGCCCAGACTACCTAGTGCATTCAAGGCCAGCCTGAACTGCACAGTAGGATCCTGTGTTAAAAATCAATCTTACTGGGGCTGGGGATTTAGCTCAGCAGCATAGGCACCTGTCTTGCAAGTGTGTGGTCGTGAGTTCGATCCCTGGTACCAATAAAAAAGAAAAAAGACACACACACACAAAAAAAAACACCAAAAAAACCCAACCAATCTTACCTTCTGCAATGTCTGAGCATGATGTACCAATGGCTGTGTCCCCACTGTCAGCTACACTTGAACAGCGGCTAAAGCGGCTCCGAAAGGCCTCTGAGAGAACTGGAGTTTGCCATTCAGTCCCCAGGGAGCTTCCTTTTTGAATCACATTGGAACCTGAAACAAGAGGCATTTTCCACCTTTTGTATGGAACTAGGTGAGATCATTTTTTAAAAAATCAGTTAAACCTATAGAAAACAGCATCCTATCCTTTTTTCTTAGCTATGCCTATTGCAGTTCCTCTGACGTGGCTGATTTTAAGTAAAGATAGCATAAGATGTGAGAATAATCAAAGACAGAAATAATACCTACCAAGAATCCAGAAGTACTGGGACAACAAATACTCCTATTTAATAGCAGCTAATTTATTGAAACCTAGAACATTTTTAGAAACATCATCTCACCTACCTAATACTTACTGCTAAGTATTTTCCTTAGTTACAGAGAAAAAGAGTTGACACTTGAACCCAGGTCTTTCTGATTCCAATTTTCCCATTCTTTCCTTTGCAGGGTCTTTTCCACCCCCTTTCTTTGTTTGAGACAGAGTCTTCCTAAGTAGTTTAGGCTTGCCTTTAACTCACAGTGATCCTTCTGCCTTAGCATTCTGAATGCTGAGATTACAGGTGAGTACCACCACAACTGGCTTTATACTACAGTTCTAAGAGACATTTGCTAAAATAAAAATTTTGGGGGTTGGGATGCAGTTTAGTGGTAGAGTCTTGCCTAATGTGTGAGGCCCTGGGCTGGATCCTCACCACCATACATACACCAAAAAGTTTTGATGCATTTAGTATAGAGGCTTGTGCTTATTTCAAATTTAAGTTTGACAACTGATTTCTTTGATTAATTAAATCCATCTTTTTAGAGACAAGCTCTTACATTGCCCAGGCTAGCCTAGAACTTCTGGGCTCAAATAATCCTGCTGCCTTAGCCTCCTGAACAGCTAGGATTATAGGTATACACCAGCAATATATTCAGTTTCTACTGAAATTATTTTGTGTTATATTACATATCCTTATCAGGCTAGGGATATAGCTCAGTCATTATTTACTTGTCTAGCATGCTCAAGGCCCTGGAACCAAAAGACAAAAGCAGCAGCCTTATCAAATATTAAAAATTTTTCTTTTGTGGCAAAGTCTTTTTTTCTTTTCTTCTTTTTCTGCATCAGCTATTGAACCCAGGCCCTTGCACATGCTTGGCAAATGCTCTACCAGTGAATTACAGTCTCAGCCCTTTTTATTTTTGAGACAGGTGTCACTAATCTGCCCAGGTTGGCCTTGAACTTGTGATTCTATTGCCTCTGTCACCTGAGTAGTCGCAACTGCGAATACTGTTTCCTACTATCTGGCACAAAGACCATTATTAATCTGGAAAAGATACTACTGAAAAGAGACAAAGTCATCAGAAAACTATGTAGCTCTGTTAAAAATTGCTATATTCCAAAAAACTTTTATTGCTGGGCATGCTGGCACATGCCTATAATCCCAGATTTTGGATGGTTGAGGTAAGAGGAGTGCTGTGAGTTTGAGGCTGGCCTGGGCTACATACTGAGCTCAAGGCAGGCTGAACTATATAGCAAGACTGTCTCAAAACAACAACAGGCGGGGCTGGGGATTTAACTCAGCGGCATAAGAGCCTGCCTTGCAAGCCTGTGGTCCTGAGTTCGATCCCTGGAAAACAGGCTCGCTCTCTCTCTCCCTTCTCCTCTTTCTCTCCCCTTCCCTTCCTGTCCTTCCCTCTTTCCCCTTCTCTCCCTCTCCCCATCTCATTGATTTTGAAAAAAAAAAAAAAAAAAAAAAGATTCAAAATAATAATAACTTAAAAAACTAAACAAACAAAAATTCCTCATTGAAAGCTGGGCATAATGGTGCACCTCTGTAATCCTAGCACGTGGGAAGCTGAGACAAGATCATTGTGAATTTGAGGCCAGCCTGAGTTATACAGTGAGTTCAAGGTCAGCTTGCAATATTTAAGAGACATTCTGGCTCAAAACAAATCAATTAACCCACCAAAAACCAAAAAAGCCTTCCTATTACATACATAATTGTCATAAGAAACTACAATCTAGCCTTAAGACGATGCATGCCATATAGCGAACAGTCAATAAGTACTTAACCGAATGAATCTTTGTGCATGTGTATGGACTAGGGAGTGAACCTAGGATCTTCAACTAAACTACATACCCAGCCCTTTTTTGATACAGGGTCTTCAATTAGTCAGTATGTTGCCCAGGTTGGGCTCAAACTTATGATCCTCCTGCCTTAACCTCCCAGAGTGCTAGGACTACAGGTGTATACTACCATTTCAAGGTGCTGTATAAATCTTGAATTGATTCAACACTTAAAACAATGCCTGCTATATGAAAAGCAGCAAGCCTAAAAAATTATTACAAATACATACTACCTGTCAACCATGAATAAGGTACTATAGGATTTTAAAGTTCAAGAAAACTATACTTGATTGGGGCTGGGGATTTAGCTCAGCGGCATAAGTGCCTGCCTTGCAAGCGCAGTCATGAGTTTGATCCCTGGTACCGATAAAAAAAAAAAAAAAAAAAAAAACTATACTTGATTGAATAAAATTTGTCCTTTTCTTAGCTTAGCACAGTGGCACAGGCCTACAATCTTAGCACTTTGGAAGGTTGAGGCAAAACGGTGTCTCAAAATAAAAAACAGGCCAGGGTATAACTCAGTGCAAAAGTTTTGGGTTAGATCCCAATAATGCAAAGAAAATAAATATACTAATTTTTTAAAAATTGTAAATGAACATAAAAATGGTGTCCTTTTTTCTTTTTTTGGTACCTGCGATTGAACTCATGATCTTGTGCTCATTACACAGGTGCTTATATCACTGAGTTAAATTCCTAGCCCTAAATGTCCTTTCCTCAATACCTCAAAACTTTAAGATTATTTTTAAAATGCTACTTATTTGAATTCTATCTCATCTACTGAATGTCTATAAGTAAATGTATATTTCCTTAATATATTTAGTGTTTCTACTGAGCTCTCACAATTTTTAAAAATTTTTTATTAGTACATGTTTGCACTATGTAATATAGTCACCATATGAAGTTGGCACATGTTTACAACACATCTTAATTCTTTTTATTTTCCCTTCTCTCCATTTCTTGTTCCCCTTCCTCAAAATCTTCTTAATATATTATAGAGATAAATTTCTGAGTCTTCTGTACCAGCACAAGAGACTGCTTGCATCTAAGAATTCCGATCTTTGTGGGCTAGCAGATGACTGAACAACTCAGAGGATTACAAAGACAACACAGAACATAATAGTTTGTGCTGTTTTTCTAATTTCAAATGGAACTATGTTCCAAAGTTTTTCTGTTCTAATTCTTTATGTGTCCTCCCCTCCCAACAGTCACATGGTCTTGCTGGAAGCTATGCAGGACCAGAGATAAATAATTGTTCCCTCAGAGAGATCCATTTTTATATTCAGTATAGCCTCATGGTTTTTGTACTGAATGCTTATATACTCAGTGTCTTAAGGAACATGAAATATAAGAAAAGTCAGAAATTAATCCAGACAACTTTGACTACTCACCTGGTGAATTAATGTGAGATGTCCTCTCATTTGAGTATTTCTCCTGCATGGCCATGTAAAATTAAGGAATAACTGTAAAATTAAAGAATAATCCATTAAATGTCTCTAGTATCTTAATTTCCTGTAACTCAAGTTTCCATTCAGCTGAAATTGTCAAACTCATTCTGAGGCTGTATGAATTAACAAACGCAGTTCTTCACATTACAGTATACTCATTCTCACAACATGCTTCTGACACCAGATTGGGAGCCCAAGGTGTTTCTCTTACACATCACATAAGTAGTTCTGCAGGGGACACCAGCCAAGTATCTTCTAACTCAATTATGACATTATCTATCTGGTGACAGAATCAGATTCCACAGACTAGGGCTTCAATCCCACAAGACTATCTCACTTCAAGTACCAACTGTGACCTACCTCCCAGATGTTTTACCTGTACTTCAGACCAACTAGCTATAAATCAGAGTCCCTTGCCAGGCATAAGTGGCATATCCTTGTAATCCAGCATTTTGGGAAACTGAGGCAGCAGAACAACAAATTTCAGCCAGTGTGGGCAATTTAATGAGATCCTATCTCAAGGCAGTGGCACTTCAGGATGTAGCTTACTGTGAAAGCCTTAGGTTTAATCTCCCATACTGTAAAAACCAAGAACTTCCCATGACCCCTTAGCTCCTCTTAAGATGCTGGAGTAGCTAGCATTTGCTAGAGCAGCTCACAGAACTCTGACACACTTTAAAGGTACCGGTTTATTGTAAAGGATATTACAAAGGATACAGATAAAGTGTATAGGACATGGTTTACTGCTTCCATGCTGTCTTGGCTATGCCCTCCTCTAAGACCCTCCCTACTTTTAGCTTTCCAGAAGTGCTCACAATCTTGTCCTTTTGGGTTTTTATGGGGACTTCTGACAGACTAACTAAATTTTATTACACAGGCAACTATGATTAAATCACTGTTCAACTTAACCTTTGGCCACTACCCTCCCCAAAAGTTGGGGCTGCAAGCCTCAACCCTCAAATTTTGTCTTGTTCTTTCTAATGACCAGCCCCCATCCTGAAGCTATACAGGAGTAGCCAATGGTCAACTTATTAGCATACAAGGATTTTATGGCTACGCCAGAAAACATGATGAAGAAGAAATACCTATTTACAGTATCACAACCATATACCGTATTCAAGTATTCATACTTTTACTCATCACAGGATTTAAAAAAGCAAACACACATCCAGGCAGCTGGCATATATCTGTAATTCTAGCCTCTGGAAGGTTGAGACAGAAGGATTACTGGAAGTTCAAGGTCACCCTGAACTACATGGCAAGACTATATGTCTCAAAAAACCAGAGAGAGGCCAAATGTGTGGTGCATGCCTGTAATCTCAGCACTCAGGAGGCTGAAACAGGAGGATCACAGTGAGTTCAAGGCCTGTCTGGGCTACAAAGTAAGTTCAAGGCCACCCTGAACTGCATAGTGAAACTCTATCTCAAAACAAAAACCCCAAACAAACTAACAAAACCAGACACAGACAGACAGACAGATGAACAGACGGAAGTAGAAGGACAGGGAGAAAGGAAGACAAATAGTGAGAAAAGTAGGATACTGAGAGCTGGCTGTTTTCCTATTCTTTCTAAAGCAAGCAGAGAAAATGCAGAACCAAATGGATTCCCAATATGGATCCAAGAACCCATACAACTGTTATATTACAAAATAATAACTACCTTTTTTTTTTTTTTGGTACCTATGTATTGAACTCACGACTTTGGGCTTGCCAGGGAAGCACTGTGCCACTGAGCTATATTCCTGGCCCAAAATAGTATTACTTTTAAAAATTAAACTTTGCCATGGAACTTCTTAGCCATGAGATATCTGATGGGAGGGGTGTGATACAGAAAGAACTAAAGAAACAAACCACCAGTGAAACATAACCACAATTATGATTAAGATAAAGCAAACCATAGGTTCCACTAGTAATGAAAGCCGCATGTTACACAGAAATCTTGGTCATAAATACAACTTCAATACTTAGCTGGAAACACATGGTTTTCTTCCCATTTCCCTTTCTCTTAAAACATTTATGTTTAAACGTATCAGAATGGCATAACTGATAACTCACTGGAGACTAATTACTATATGTGTAAATAAAAGCTTTAGTTATTACTAGTAATGACAAACAGTATCTTCCCAAGTGGCACAGTATCTATACAGTAAAGTTCAGACCACTGACTCAGATCTGACTTGATTTAAAGCCTGAAAAAATAAGCCCGAGCGCACTAAACTTCCAGTTAGCCATTTATTAGCTGTGTAATCTTGGGTAAATTTCTTAATATATCTGTGCCTTGGTTTCTTCATATGAAAATGATGGGTGGCTGAGATCACAGGATTATAGGTTGTGCACCATACCAGGTTAAAAGGTATGAGTTTAAACTATGAATTAATAAGCACTTCAAAAGAATTTGGGACAATTCACAAAATGATTTTTAGAGAGGAAATTCAACTTTGCAAAAATTTTTTACAAGGTCAAATAGTACTAATTCTTTAATGTACTTTACTGACCTCTACAGTTTTATCTTGGTAACAACAACCCCAATGGTCACTAATTCACCACATCCATAACAGATATGCTACCATCCTCCAAAATGTCACTTCTTTACATACACACAAGGTGAAACAAACTTTGTTCAGTAATAAAATCTTCAACGTATAGCTATTATCATTTATAGCTAGACAATTTATAGCTAAATTAATCATAACACAGGATGATTACCTACCTAAAAGTGACCCCTTTCCTATCAAAATCCTTTCCTTGCTAGGCTTGATGGAGTAAGTCTCAAATCCCAGCCACTTGGGAAGCTGAGACAGGAAGATCTCCAGTTTGAAGCCAGTTTAGGCAACTTAGTGAGACTGTGTCTTAAAAACAAGAGGGATGGGGAGGATTTGGGGCCAGGTAGGGTGGTGCCTACCTGTAATCCCAGCACTCTGGGAAGGTGAAGCAGATTTTAAATCCAATCCAGAATTTAGCAAGATTCTGTCTCGGTAGCTGGGGCTGTAGCTCAGTGTGCAGGTCCTGGGCTCAATCTCCAGTACCACAAAACAACAAAACTAACAACTGGGAAGTTGAGGCAGGAGGATCACAAGTTCAAATCCATCCCAGGCAACTTAAAAAAAACATGGAGAGATTGTCTCAAAGACAAAAAAAAAAAAAAAATAAAAAAATAAAATGAGCTGAGGATGCTGGAAAGGTCCTCCATTTAATCCACAGTACCAAAAAACAAAACAATTTCTTTACCTCTTTTTTAAAAGGTTAACATAATAGTAGACCCGACAAATTCACTTTTCCAAATTCAGATGAGTTGTGAATAAGGTGACAAGAGAACTCTCAGTTATGACTCAGTAACTCTATTCTTACGTACACTGTGATCCATCTGTACCTATAAAGGACTGGTTTTAGGAACTTACAAAAATCCACAGATGCTCAAGTACATTACATAGAATGGCATAATAATTGCATAAAATACCTAAGCTGCTTTAAATTACCTTTACAGGATAGGTACTGTATTACAGGCATGTAGTCCCAACTACTTGGGAGACCAAGGCAGGAGCCTAGGCAATACAGTGAAAGACCCACTCTCATCTCAAACAATATCATCATCATATCTAGATTACTTAAGTAGCTAATATAACATGAATGCTATGTAAATACTGCTTTATTGTACTATTTAGGAAATGAAGTCTGTACTGTACATGTTCAATACATATGCAGTTCCCTCTCCCAGTATATTTTCAATTCAGTTGGTTGAATCTATGCATGCAGAACTCACGGATACAGATTTAAAGGCCTCTGTATTAATAAAAAATAAGAAAACACAAAAAATGTAAATAAATGTGAATAGTGGTATTTATTTTATTTTTTTGTAGGTACTAGGATTCAAACTCAGGACCTCATGCTTGCCAGGCAGGTGCTACACCACTGAGCTATATCCCTGGCCCAGCAGCATTTACAACAGACAAAAAGTATAAGCTGGCTATGATGGCTGCACAGGACTGCAATCTCAACCCTGTGGGAGACTGAGGCAGAAGGACCTAAGTTCAATTCCAGTTTGGGCAATTTGGCGAAATCGTGACTTTAAAAAGTTTTTAAAAGGGCTGGGAAGATGTTTGCAATGGCACATGCCTACAGGGGATCAGGAGGCTGAAGCAGGAAGATCACTGTAAGTTTGAGGCCAGCCTGGAACACACAGTGAGTTCAAGGCCAGTCTGGAATACATAGTAAGATCTCATTTCAAAAATGAAAAAAAAAAAAAAAAAAAAAAAAAGGATGAGGCCTGGGAGTATAGTTCAGTGCAAAGGTCCTGGGTCAATTCTCAGTACAAAAAAAAAGTATATCAACTGAACAAAGGATAAATAAAATATAGTATATTGTAGAGGACCACCTTGGACAACTCTCCTTGAATATAGAATAATTACCTCCACTTTGGCTAAACCTGCACCTATCTCCATGTATTGATACGTACAGAGCTGGGTACTTCCTCTTCTTGTCAGCTGGCTCTAAGCAATGTCAGTAGGGCTAGCTGAAGTATTGATGAATAACCTTTGAAGCTAAACACAGTCACTATTTCTCTGCCTCAGTGTCTCCCTAAATGGCAAGCGGGATGCAGAGCTAATGCTCAGGGCAGTGAGACTGGGTTCGAGCCTCAAGACAAGAGGCTATATAATGACTTCCCAGAGCACAAAAGTTTGCACATCAGAACTGAGGCACTGCCACCTAAACATTAAATGATACCTCAATTGTGTTATGTAGATCGGTCTTTCTGCCTATCACTTTCTGACCTCCTAGCTAGCCCAGCTCACAGTACTCACATATATCCCACCATTCTCCCAGTCACTCATTTCCCTAGCTATTCCCTTCTTCACAAATTAATAAAATCCAGGTCAGGGCCTGAGTCAAAGTCTTTGTTTTGATAAACCTTCATATGGGCCAGGCTCAGGACCCCTTGACCCCCATAATTATAAATGTCTCAGTGTCTTTATTCTCGCCATGGATTACACTAGAAGGGATAGATTGGAATTAACTCACTATAATTCCAATAATATTTTCAAGAGATTACAAATATAAACTTATTGTACCACAACAAGAATGGCAAAAGGGACTTCTACAGTCTTATACACACATAATAGACTATTATTTGGCAATAAAAAGGAGTAAAGTCAGTACACGCTACAACATGAGTGAACATTAAAAACAATCTAAATGAAAGAAGTTGAACATTGATAGGAAATGTCTAGAAAAGCCAAATCTATAGACACAGCAGGTTACTGATCATCAAGAAATGAGACGAAGGGGTGAAGGGTATAGAGAGTGGCTATTTATGGATATGCAGTTTCTTCTCAGGGTGGTCAAAATATTTTGGGATTAGATGGTGGTAACAGCTGAACAACTTTGGGAACATACTAAAAACTACTGAATTATATATACATATAAGATGAATTTTATGGCATACGAATTATATCTCAGTTATTTAAAAAAGTTCTCCCCAAACAATATAGACTAAGTCATTCTTTTTTGTCTTTTTCCTTTTTATCGTTACCAGGGATCAAACTCACGACTGCCTGCTTACAAGGCAGGTGCTTATGCCGCTGAGCTAAATCCCCAGCCCCGACTAAGTCATTCTTAACTTTTCCCTACTAAGCTCAGAATTAAATGACCAGCTAGCGGAGATCTTTAGGACCAACTAAAGGACATACAGATATACTAGGATAAAGCTGAGAGAAGTGGGTGTACAAGGAGCAATATAAACAACCAATTATAAAGTTTAAAAGGTAGAAATGAATGAAAGCAGACAAGGAAAAAATACCCTCATCATGTTTGGTTTCTATATTCAATGCCCTTTACACTACCAAAATAGCTATTTATTCAAAAAACTTAACATGTATTTTAACACTGACCTATCCAGCACAATGCTTCACACTTTATAAGTATTGTAGGTCTTGTTTAATACAACAAACTATGAAGCAGTTACTATATATATATATATATATATATATGGTTGTTGTTGTTTTAGTTTTTTTTGGGGGGGGACAGGGTCTCATTACATAGTTCAGGCTAGCCTTGGACACAGTATGTAATCCAAGCTAGCTTTGGGTTACAGCAATCTTTCTGCAACCCTTTGGGACCTTCTGCATCAGTCTCCCCATTGCTAGGATTACAGGTGTGCAACACCACACTTAACAAAGCAGTTACAATGATTATTCTAATTTTACAGATAGAAAATAAAGGTTTAGGCTGGTGAAGTTCATAAAACTAGGAAGAGGCTTCAAAGCCAGAACTGTGATCTAATGCTTTAAGAGTTTAGTTAGCATTCTTTCTGTGTACGACAACACACAAAAAGAGAAATGAAGGAAGTTACTAAGGCACCACAAGTCAAGAGTTTCTGACTCAAAACACCCAGAGCTGCAAACCTTGAAGTTTGAAGCAGTGACAATTGTATACTTCTCGTTTCCCCCTTGCTCATTACTCAGGGTTCTGTGTACTAAATTGCTAATCAACAACTGGATTTTGCCTATTAAATAGTATTTCTCCTCTTGAAGAATTACAATCTTAGGATGGAATGTCACATATAACAGCTGTTTAGAGAAACACATCAAGACAGGAACGGTTTTCAAAGGATATACAAGCAGCTGACAGATACTTAAGAGAATCTCACACCAAGATGGGCGTGGTGGTGCACACCCAGCACTGAGGGAAGTAACTGGAAGAACTGCCAAATTCAAGCTCATCCTTGGCTCTTAAAAAACCCCAATCTCAAAGCAAAAAATAAAGTGCTGCGGGTGTAGCTCCCAGTTGCTCATTAAACAGATCTAGTGTAAAAGAAGATAACCCTTGCCAAGAAGTAGTCTTTACAAAGAACAAGTCTGTGATCTTTCCGCTTTAGCCTCCTTAGTGCTTGGGTTACAGGTGTGTACCATCACACCCTACTCAAGGTCAAGGTATAGTCATCCTAATCATCCTTAACATTGTATTCAATTCATCAATCAAATTTTACTGAGTACCTACTGTTTGCCTGGCCATTTGTGCCACAAGCTGAAAATGTACTGTTGTAAAAGAAAGACACGGTTCTGTTCCTCCTGGTTTACTGAGGTGAAGCACAAAAAACGTTGCGTTTGACAAATACACCTGAACACACTAAACTACCAGTTCACCCCAAGCACAAGCTCCTTTTTGCTATAGCAACACTTCTTAAGTTCGACACTACTGACATCGAGCCTCTGCTAATTCCTTGAGGAGAGAAGGAAGCTGTTCTGCACATTGCCTGATGCTTAGCAGCATCTTGGCTTCTTCATACTAGGTATTAGCAGCTATAACTCTTGACTTGTGATAATTAAAGATGTCTCCAAACCGAGCATGGTGGCTCACGCCTGTAATCCCAGCACTCGGGAGGCTGAAGTGGGAGGATTGTTCAGAGTTCGAGACCAGCCTGGGCTACAAAGTGAGCTCAAGGCCAGCCTGAACTGTATAGGGAGACCCCGTCTCAAAAAACAAACAAAAAAAAGATGTCTGCAAACACTGTCCGATATCCCAACAAGTGAAATTCCTCTGGCTCAGAAGCAGCGATGTAGTACTTCTAGTACTGCCTGTGACCCAGTCTTTTGTTGTTTACTTTGTGGTACTGAGGATTCAATCCAGGGAGCACTGAGCGACATCTCCAGCCCTTTTAATTTTGAGGTTGGGTCTCAAGTTGTCCAGGCTGGCCTCGTACCTGTCATCCTACTAGCTCAGACTGCCGAGTAGATAGGATTACAAGAGTGGGCTGCTGATCCCCCAAACAATCTCCTCTAGGCATCCTTCCAATCTCAGTTAATACTCCACGTGCCCAGGGGACGGTTCCCAGGTCACCCTGGCACAAGTCTAGAAATTTCCCAAGCAGTGCCTGTTCCCTCCTCCCCCACTCTTTTATTCCCCCGGAGAACAGCTCCCCTCCCCCGCACTGGGGATCGAACCCAGGTCCTCATACGCACTAGGCAGGCAAACCGCCATCCTTAGCCCCTCAGCTCAGAGCCTTAGTTTGCGTTCTTCGTAAAATCTCTCCACCCTACACTTACTGAACGCGAACTAAGTCATATTTGCTTCACATCTAGTCTCCCACGGGACTGTGTGCTCCCTGAGGGCAAGGAAGGCGCTAACACAAATGCTGTGGAGGGAATGACAGAAACAAAACAAGACAACCAGGGAGGGCAAGCGACCGGGCCACTAGGAATCAGGGGAGGGTAGTATTTCAGAAGGCTGAGGCAGAGAAACCCGACGGGGGTGCGGTGGGGGAGCCCGAGTTAGTCAGTCACCCTGCGCATGCGCGCTCCGCTGTCCCGAGTCCCCCAGAGAGGCCGGGTAGCTTCGCCAGAGCTACGCGAGGAGGAGCACAGTGTGCTACTCCGACTCGAGTCCCAAGAAGAACTTACGCGGGCCTGTGAGCTGGCGGCGAAAGCCCTCACTCAGAGATACTGCCTGCGGCCACCACGTCTGCCTCAGGCGGCGGTTGCGTCCCTCAGCTTTAACGGCCGTTACACACGCGCAAGGCCGCACACCCAAGAGCGCGCGCCCTCCAGCCCCGCCTCTTTCTGCCTACCCCTGACCAATCAGGAGTCAAGCCGCGTGAGTCTCCCGCCCTTTTCTGCCCACCTCTGACAAATCGAGAGTGCAGCCGTGCCGGTGTCCCGCCCCTGCACGCTCTACTCGGCGCGGGCCAGCCCAGTCGCTCTGCGCATGACCCCGCGGCCCCAGAACCTTCTGCTCAGGGCTGCGCGGTGCTACCTGGCGTATGAGGCGGCGGGGGGTCGTGCGCGCGGAAGGGTTGGCTGTGCCTAGGCAGGTTGCGAAACTGGCGGCGAGGGCACGTGGGAATCTCACCCTCCTCCTTTCCCACTGCTACCTGTCTGCCGTCCTCCAGCAGCGAGGACTCCTTGTGACCAGGGTTTAGGGTGGCGCTTGTGTCTCTGGCTAGTAAGGGTTAGAGCTTAGTCTGTGGTTGGGATATCAGCTTAGATGAATAATAAACTTGGGTGTGACAAGATAGGTGAATTTAGGGGACAGTCGCTGAAATTAGGACCTGTTGTCTGGCGTGGTGGTGAATTCCGGGAGACTGAGGCAAAAGGATCTGTGAGTTCAAAGCCAGCCTGAACTAGGTAGCAAGACCCTGTCTCAAAAAGAAAAAAAGAAATTATGACCTGTTAATATCAGTGATGTTTGAAGGATTCCACTAGCCACTTTCAGACCTTCATAAATTCTTCTGAGTCTTCCATCCTGACCCCACCATCACCATTGAAATGACAGAAAGTCGAGTGTGTCCGCACTTGATGGTTTTCATTTCTTTTGTGAGGAGTTAGGGAACAGACACATGTGGAAGACTTTAGAAAAATGGGGAAAATTTGAAGAAATGCAGAGATGTGAAGAGGAAAGAGTTGAGATTTAAATTTACAAATGGCTGCCAAGAGTTGTGGTGCACTCCTGTAATCTTCATTAATGGGTAGGCTGAGGCAAGAGGCTCTCAAATTCTTCATAGCCACTCTGAATAACTTAATGAGATCTTGCCAGAGAGAGAGAGAAAGAGAAAAAGAAAAAGTAAAAGTTTGGGGATGCAATTCAGTAGTAAATCACTCTCCTCCAGGCCTTGAGTTAAATCCCCAGTACAATAAAAGTACCAAGAGCTGGGGAATTAGGTCAGCAGCATAAGTGCCTGCCTGGCAAGTGTGAGGTCGTGAGTTTGATCCCAGGTACCAAAAAAGAAAAAAAATTTCCAAAAAAGTACCATTTGTACAGTTTTCTTCAATGGTTATCTATAGCATAAGCACTACAACAAATTTTCAAATATGAATAAGTCCTTATTTATATTATAGTAGACTTTGGCTCTAATTTCACAATCAATTTTTAGGTATTCTTAAATCTTCAGTTATTTTTAGCAGACTTGCTGCATATTTAATAAAATATATCAGTAAAAGTATGCCACCTGACATGACTGAAAGAAAAGGGACTGGATTTGGCCAGATATGTTTGTCCCAATTAAAGTGAAAATTGGTTATGATTAGATCTACCGCTTTCATGTGCAAAATGTTTCCTGGTAGATTATTGTGTAAGCATTTGTTGTTACACAACACCACGTCTTCTTGAACATGGTCAACTAAGTCTAAATTCAGTAGCTTCCTAGTGTGCTTAATAGTTTGTTTTGTTTTGTTTTGAGGCAGGATTCCAATATGTAGTCGGCTGGCCTTGAACTCACTAAGTTCAAACAGGCTGGTCTCAAACTCTCACTGATTCTCCTGTCTCAATCTACTGAGTGCTGGGATTACAAGCATGCACTACCACACCTGGCTCAATTTTGTTTTATTCTAATTTCTTTTTTAGATATGTGAGCATAATATAATCAAAATTTTGCCCTTCAAGATGTCTTTTAAATTTGAAAATAAAGGCAAGAAGTCTTTCACTAGAAGGACTTTTTTTTTTCTTTTCCCTAAAATGGTGTAAGATACCTGGCACTCACAATTTAAAGGAGGAAAGGTTTAATTTGGTTCCTGGTTTTAGAAAATTCAGTTCAGACCCAGCTAGCTCAAAGGCAATAACAGCACAGTGGAAAACTGTGGCAAAAGAGAGCTGTCCTATGTCAGCCAGAAAACAGAAAAGTGGAGCTGGGAACAAGAGTAACAGCCTACCAGGTCAGGCCCCCAGTGGTCAGCCCTCTCCTACTAGGAAGTACAAGATCTTTTTTTTTTTTTTTTTTTTTTTGTCTTTTTCATTTTTATCCGTACCAGGGATCGAACTCATGACTGCCTGCTTGCAAGGCAGGTGCTTATGCGGCTGAGCTAAATCCCCAGCCCCTGAAAGTACAAGATCTTTAAGGAACATTTTAGTTGTAAAGGACAGCATTAAGCCAATAAATAATAAAGTGTTAAGACTGTTAAATCTGGGGACTGGTGGAATAGCTCAAAGATAAAGTAATTCCTTAACCTGTTTCAAAATCTCAGGTTCAATTATGAGCCCTAAAAAAATATGTTAAAAAAATTTTTTTTAATCGGTACCGGGGATCAAACTCATGACCACCTGCTTGCAAGGCAGGTACTTATGCCGCTGAACTAAATCCCCAGCCCTCAACTTTTTTTTTTTTTGAGGCAATCTCACTTTGTAGTTCAGTTTGGTCTGGAACTCATGGCAATCCTGCCTCAACTTCCTAAATGCTAGGATTACAGGTGTGTACCACCATGCCTGGTTAATTTAACTTGCTTCTGCCAACATTTTCCCTCTGGAAAAATTATATTAACATAATCATCTATACCAATAAAAATAGTATTTCAAAAATAAAACAGTCAGGCATGGTGGTACACCCTTGTAATCTCAGCACTCAGGAGGCTGAAGCAGGAAGATTGTTGCAAGTTTGAGACTAACCTGGGCTACAAAGTGAGCTCAAGGTCAGCCTGAACTGCATAGTAAGACCCTGTCTCAAAAAGGCAATAAATAGGGGCTGGGAATTTAGCTCAGCGGCATAAGCGCCTGCCTTGCAAGCAGGCAGTCGTGAGTTCGATCCCTGGTATCGATAAAAAAACGAAAAAGACAAAAAAAAAAAAAAGGGCAATAAATAAATAAATCAGACAAAGAAAGATAAGGGCCTTTCTGTGCTTTGGCGGGTGGTACTTCATGAGTAGGTCTTAAAGCCTGTACTGCTTCCTGGTCCACACTAACCTGCACTCAGCTGTCTTCTCTGTGAGGTCAAAACTGGGGGCTTGTGTACTGCTGTCTCCCTATGGCCTGAAATAGGAACAGTTATGTGACAGATTCTGTTTTTGAATGAATTCATGATAGTAGCACAACACTGCTGTCTATATCCATCCTCTACTATGAAAGGGGAATTAATGAGATGAAAAATAATGAAGGGGTCAGAGGAGAAACTGTAGGTAATACAATAGGAATACATTTAACCCTCATTCTTGAATTACATAGTTCCTGCCCGTTTCACAGAAGACAAGGAACTTAGGGCCAGCTGGCCGTGGTCCCAGAACTTCCTCTGGAATGAGACAGAATTCCCATGTTGAAGCAGAGATCACCTGGTCAAAAAACAGTTCCATTTTAAGAATGAGGAAACTGTAGACCCATAAAGAACTAAATGACTTCTCACCCGCCTCTACCTCCAGTCTTTTAGCCCCACTGACCTGGAGCACTGCTTTTATGGTCAGCTTGTACAGTAAGGAAAACACAATTGGCCATACCTGCCCTACCTGTCCCTATCACATGGAGCAACCTAATCTCCCCACGCCCTGATGAAGAACTCCTTAGATGGAGACAGGGCAGGGTGAGCAAGGACAACCCAGTGTGCTCAGCAGGTGTATTCCTTACAAGGCAGTTTCTGGCTCCACACTAGCCTGGTCTCTTAACTTCTGGTCACTACAAGAGGATGAGAGGACAAGAGGATGGATTCCTTGCCTCTCTTCCTCCTTTCTACCCTTGCTTCAGGCAAGTGAAGTAGAAACCAAGCATTAATGTTGAGATTTTTATCTCAGCATCCGCCCTGTCCTCATCAGCAGCAAGATAAGCGTTTGGGCTCCTGCAGGGAACAAGGATTATAAAATAGGATCTTGAAAGCCTGAAAACTTTTGGGGCTTCCATACATAACTTTAAATGCTTTTGCCTTTACTCTAAATCATTTTTGGATGGTGTTAGATTCTGACAGGTACTGCTGAAGAAGGTCAGACTTGGTGAGGCCGACTTCCCTCAAGTCACATAGAGTTGAGAAGAAATGGAATCCAAGAGCAGCACCTGCTGAGACCCAGTGAGACCCAGCAAGCCCCTAGACCTTGATGCAACCATCAGAGACTCCTTTGTACCAGCCTGCTGCACTCCAGCTGCTGGAGACTTTGAACTCTGCCACCACAAAGTAACAAAGATTGAACTTGAGGTGTCATCCTCACAGGCTGAGGCCAGGCCTCCCATGATTTCATCAGGATTGAGCATAGATTGGTACTTTTTGGAAGCTAGGATTCTGAGGGTGGGATGATGTGTCCCCAAAGAATAGATTTACTAAAATGCTCTTTCCCAGGAGGGTTAGGGCATTGGAGGACTGTTATAGAATAGAAAGAAATGTTCCAGTCTAGCAAAACTGACCCAGGAAAAGGCTGGTGAGAGAGACAGCCTGGGAGAAGAGTGATCTGGTGTCACATTGCGCAGACAGAGAGGAAAACCTGGCTCAGACTTGAAGTTTGGAGAGAGAACAGGATGCAGAGAGTGAAGGGGACCCTCTAGGGCAAGGCGAGAGCCAGGGCCAATGTAGGCCCAGGGAGGAGACTCAGATTGGAGAAGTGTGAAGGCACGAAGGTAGGAGGGGAGTTGGTGAAGGGCCAAAGACTGGGGGAGTGGGAAGCTCCAGAAGATAAATCAGGGAGGACCCACAAATGATGGGTGCAGTTACACCTGCCAGCTGCCATATTGCCCGGGCCTCCACTGCTAAGATTAGCCAAGCTGGGATTTTGCTGGAGAGCCCTAGGTACACCTCTCCCACCACCACTGAGTGAAGTCACCAGTCTACATGGCCTGGACCTTCAAACTCTTTCCTACCAGCCCAAACCCTGCCACGCCACAGAAGGATAGAGAATCCTGACCACCACATTCTCTGC